CTTGTTCTACCGGAGTAGATTCACTCGCCAGCCTTCTGTTTCTTCTCCCCTCCGGTCCATGTATTTCCCGGTTCTCATTTATGGCCTGGTCCAGATGGACCTCCACTTCTAGCATAGCTTTTCGCTCTTCTGAGGACTTTTGACTCCTGGTTTCAACCATTCTGCTTCAAACCGTCTCCCCTTTGTCGGTCCGCGTTCGTGTGACCTTTTCCACAAAAGGGTCGGTCATTGCTCTTCTCTGTTTCTCAGGTATGAATTTCCTGGAGCTCTCACCTAGTTTAGGTATCCTTGACTTGTCTAGACTCATACTCAATTTACCACTTCTTACTACCTATACAATCAATTCGATTGCTAGTGTCCTTTTGATCTGACTACTGATAATAATAATACTACACAATAAATTCCAAAAATGCTTTTAAATAGTTACCACGAATCCTTGTATGTTATCACGGTACAGCGTATTTACAATTTATCCACAATAGTCGATTATTAATTGTAAGGTATGAAGCTAGCACAGTATGATGATATCAGTCTATTTAAAAGATAGTGTGTTCACTACCCAATCAAGCACAAATATTATTGATTTAAAACCAGAAATAACAAAATAAGAATATTTCTGTAAAAAAAACGTATGTGTTTTGTACTTTTGTTAGTCGCAGTACAATAGTCGAACTTGTATATAAAAAAAGAGCTTTCCCTGCTTAATGCTGCACCAAACAGACAAAACTTGAAGGCAGTAATTTTCTCAAGTGGGCGTCTATTGCACCCACCGAGTCCTGTGTTACCTATCTGCCTTCGGACTGCCTGAGCTAGACCTACTAAAATCCTCAGGGCAGTCACTTTTCTCAAAAACGTTTTTGATTTGAGTCCACACTTATGAGTTACCCACATTTGATCAATTTAGACTTAGTGTGGCGATGTCCGAGTTTAAACCTGTTTTGTTTTTATTCGGTTTTTCACAAGAGGCAATTTACCAGTGCAGTCACTGGTTCCCAGCCTATCTCTTAATAACCTAGTATCCTTAAGTTTTGACAAAAATCGGACCCCTCCGGATTGACAAAAATCGGACCCCTTCGGATTGGCAAAAATCAGACCCCTCCGAATTGGTAAAATTGCGACCCCTCCGGATTGGGACCCCTCCTATTTTGTAAAAATTTAGACCTCCGGGTTTGTAAAAATTTAGACCCTTCCGGATTGGGACCCCTCCGGGTTTGTGAAGATAGATTCACAAAGGCTTTCTATATTTCCAATCTATACCCTTCCGGATACGTTCTCCGATGCTATTATGCTGTTTGGATCAACTAGCAAGGGTGTGTCGTCCTTCCCAAAACCCATCCGGATCGAAGTTAAGCCTTTTATTCGACTATTCACCCTAACGGTGAAGGGTCTTATCGCTAGCCTAATCTCGGCTCAAATAAGGTTTTCTTGTGCCTTTAGCCTTCCCTTTTTGTCTAGAACAGCGTAAAATTGCCTTATTCAACCGTTTCTTCCCTTTGATAGGTGTGTAAGGGCTTTCCAAAAAAAATTTCTAAAACGTGAAGGGTCTACCTTCCCGAATTGGTGAATTTGCTAAAAACAACCCTAAATATTTTTCAGGCTTACTTTTTTGAATAATTGATGTTTTTATTAGTAAGCTCAGCTAATTTTTGATCTAATGGTACCAAGTCAACTGGATCTGTCCAGTAGTTTCAAGGTTACTAACCAAAACGTCTTTTTTCTAAAGTCAAAAAATTTCTCTCTTAAAGGTTCCGCCTAACTTTTTTGGCAATTCTGTTCTTTTCGACCCAAAAATTATCGATCCGAGCTCAAAAGGCCTATGTTCTTCTAGTTCAATGCAAAAAAAACTCGATCTAAAACGCTCTAGTTGAAAAAATTTGCGAAAAACTATGCTATTTGGACCCCTCCGGATTGATGAATCCACTGAATCAAACACGTTAAGTTCGATTTCTCTGTAACCCGGAAGGTTATCGGCAAACAGATTTTAAAACCTGTCGATTCACTAGTGGACCTTGTCCGAACAACTATTTTTACTGTCCTAACTCAAAAAAATTTTCTTATTTTATAGCGTTTCGTTTATTCAAAAATCACGAAAATTCGGTTTTTGGTACCAAAATAGTTCCAACCACTTCTGAACTAAACTCAACCGGTTCTGACTATTATACTAGCACAGTTACGATGTAACTCACTAATTTAGCGCTTTTTTCCGTTTGAAAAAATATCGATATATCAAAAATCGCGATTTGTGGGGGGATCAAAATATCGCTATTTTAACCCTAAAAACCGGTCCGCTTACTGTGTTTTTCACTGAAAAACGATATAGGAGTATTAATATAGGGTACATAAGTAATAATAGTAGTAATACTAAACCCCTCCGGGTTTGTTCAATATCCGAATTAAGATGCTTAACTCGGAAATTCGCAGTTCGGTGAAGGGTCACTACAGTGCAACACTGTCGAGCCCCCCACAGATTACTCTCTAATTTTTTGTACCAAAAGGGATACAAAACTTGTTAACGATACCCAACAGTCGACTGTTGTTGCCGTTGAGCCCCTTCTTGTTGCTCCTTGTACTGCTTGCCGGATCAGTCTTCTCCCAAGACCCCTCCGGATTGAGCGCAAATCAGCAGACCCTTCAGGACTGAGCGCAAATTAGCATTAACGTGCTTAAATACTCAAACAACCCTACAGTACAAGCCTCACAAACGGGCTACAAAAATGATCGTAATGATCCTGATATAAATGTCTGCAACAACAATATATTTATCAACAACAAACGGGAGGGTCGGATCACATCTTGTCTGGGGTGATGATTTCTACTGATTTTAACTTTTTTTTTTTACTATTTTTGGTTTTTTCGGTTATTTCCACGTTTTTTGATTTTCTTGGGTACTATACTACTTTTTGTTTGGTTTCTTATATATCTTTAAGTGTTTTTAGTCACAGACCTCTCAGGGAACGAGGGGACGGCCAATCCCCCCACCCTTCCTGGAACGTGAATTTTCGGTCTTAACTAGGTTAAAAAGCTATTCACGGTAATCCGAAAGGCTTCCACGTTCCGAACTACCCTTCCTCCCCGGCGGTTAGGGCCTATTAAAGGCGTTATTATGAGCATCCGCTCGGCGCTGAGTGCTCGTTAACGGTTCTGCTGGTCATGATGATAAAAAAGAATAACACTCGCCCGGAAGTACATATCGACGGAAAATAAAGCTAAGCTATAAAACGACTGGCCAGCGTCTAAACTAAGCTCTACATGCTTTTCACTGTCTCTACCAAAACCAGTTCTTTTGGTGGTTTTTCTAACATCGGGTCGACAAAAACGTTACTGTTCTCCAGCTTCGACCAGAACGCTCAAATTAACTTATTTACAAGCAGAATTAGTGTGCTCATGGCTGGGTCTCAGTATCCCCAGACCACAAGGTCACTCCTAAAAACAGGGCTACTACTATTTATTATATATTACTTTTGTTTTTGTTCATTAGATAAAAATCATCATCTCCATCGAAGATGGATCAACCCTTTCCCCTAACTCCTAGCTTCTCATCGTCGGAAATTGAATTCAGATGTTAAATAAATTCAATTCAGGACATAATAGGGAAGCTAAAAGTTTATATAAAAAGATTTCGGTTCGAGTCCCGAGACTCTTCCGGAATCCTGAATCCGGAGAAATAACAACCTTATCTTCTTTCCGGAAGGCTGTTTTTCTACCCTTCACCGTTGTTGTGAACGGCCTTGCAACGATTGTAGCGACACAATCGTTGCAACTCGGAACGGTCTCTACTAATTCTGCTTTTCGCTGTTGCTTTTCTATCACATTTCTCGTTGTTGTCGCCGTTGCAACTATTGTTGTTGTGTTTTTATTCTGGATTTTTTCCAAAATATCCGATTCTGACGTTTCTCAGAAAGATGACGTCATACTTCGAAATTTTAAAAATTTGAAATACCAGAATATTCCAGCCTTCACAGTTTGACTAATCGTTCCAATAACACTTTTAATCCTTCAAAACTGCTAGTTCTGAAGGTTAGCTGCTAACAATTCGAAATTGCTGAATATGCATTTTCGTCCATTCTGGTCGAATGTCACAGAAAACAACTACGAGAAACTAACGACAGATTGAAGTTATAACTGGAATTTGTCAGGAACCATTCAGAGTTGCAAAGATTGGGCCGCTACAATCGTTAAAACGCAGAACTCGGGAACAAGGAAGGGTGTTGGGACGGCGTGTCCAGCCTTCCTAAAAGAAATAAGGACGTTATTTCCCCGGATTCCAGAATCCGGAGGGGTCTCGGGCCCAAGACTCAAACTGTTATATAATAACTTTTAGCTTCCTGGTCATTTCCTGAGTTGAATTTAATTAACATGCCGATTCATTCTCAGAGAATGAGAAGCTAGGAGTGAGGGAAAGGGTTGATAAAAATCATCATCTTCGATGGAGGTGTTGATTTTTATCTACTGAACAAAAACAATAGTAATATAATAAATAGTAGTAGCCCTGTTTTTAGGAGTGACCTCGTGGTCTGGGGATACTGAGTCCCAGCCATGAGCTCACTATTCTTGCATATAATTAAGTTAATTTGAGTGTTTTGACCGGAGCAGGAAACAGTAACGTTTTGTCGACCCGATGTTAGTAAAACCACCAAAAGAACTGGCTTTGGCAGAGACGGTGAAAAGCACGTAGAGCTGTGTTTAGACGCTAGCCAGTCGTTTTAGAACCTAGCTTTTTTTCCGTCGATATGTACTTCCGGGCGAATGTTACATTCGAGAATAAATAATTGCAATTGTTTTAAAGTGTTTTCGAGCGAAAAAAAAATTGTTTCAAGAATAAATTTAGTTCATGAAAGCTCATGACACAAGTTTGTTTATCAATTCAATATCCCATAGTTCTTATTTGCGAACCGATAGTTCAATGTTTGTTGACCGAGCTTTAATAATTGAAATAGCAAAATGCGGCAGTTCAAGTGCTAATTGTATTTGAAAGTTTCAGTTAATGGGTTAATAGCCTAATTGTTGTGATAAACTTATTAAATAGATTTGTTATGTTTGATGTTTGTGCCTGTATGAGGAGCGCCCTCTGAGGGATTTTAGAGACAGGTCTGTCAAGTGGCTTTCTGTGGGGAGGTGGAAACTGGAACTGGCTTGAGGAGTCTGGGGGTGCGCCGCTGGACCTACTGAGCTCGGGTGAGATTGTTCCTTGTTTTTGATTTTTATAATTCGATTTTAAAATTTAAATTAAATTAGTTGTCTTTTTTTTATTTGTTGATTTGTAAAATTCCCAGTAACCGCTTATCATGGGTTAGTTCAGTCCCCTAAAGTCCAGTCAAAATCTTTTTTTTTACCTTTATGCTGCGTCAAGATGAAGAAAAACAACAAAGAGTGTACAAGCACAGATTGCTTAAAAACTTCAGGACTGATAAATTGGATTAGATGTGATTGTTGTTCTAGTTGGTATTCTATCAGTTGTGTAAATATTTCTCTTAGCGACTCTAAGAAAACCCAGTGGTTTCAGTGTCCTTTATGCGTTGATGTAAAATCTGTTAATAAAGCAACAAAAGGTAATGATTTAGTGCTAGACAATTATGTTAATACAGCCATCTCAAATGTCCGAGTACTCAAGAGAGTACCAAAAGACTCGCGTGATCCCTTGGCGGAAAGTCTGTCGGACAAAATGAAAGACATCGTCTACAATGTAGAAGATGTTACAAAATGGCTAATTTTTTTAACGTCGTTCTTGTTTTTTTTGGAGCAACCGAAAAGAAGTGGACGCAAACAGACCACAAGCATGAGTTCTTTGATAATTTAAAAAATTCAAGCAAATGACGTGTCACTTCCAAAATCCCATCCCCAAGTTTCAAGCCGGCCTCTGAGTGACCTCGAGCAGAGAATAAAGTTAATAAGTAGTAAGCTCGATGAAGGAAATGTAAAGGGAGGAATAAGGCTTGCTGCTTCGGATGACAAAATAGCTCCTTTTTCAACTGATAACTATCCAAAATTGTTGTCTAAGCAGCCGCAGCGAGCCAAATTTGCAGCTCCAAATCCAGAAAAGTTGGATAGTTTTTTCGTAACCGATTTCGACCTATACAAAGCAATAATGTCCTTTCCAAACGGATCAGCAGCAGGTCCTGATAAAATAGTTCCTCAAATTTTTTAAGATCTTGTTAGTAAGTCGAATGGCAGTGCAGGACTTAATTTTCTGAAATCGCTTACTAAGCTGATAAACCTCATTGGAAACCTCAATGGCAACATACCCGAACCACTAAGACCTTTCTTTTTTGGCGCAAAGCTTATCGTCCTCATAAAGATAGACGGAGGGTTGAGACCGATTGCCATAGGCAACACACTGAGACGTATCGCGTCTAAATGCGCTGGAAGCAAGGCCCTCTCCGAGCGACAAAATTTTTTCGGAAACGTACAGGTAGGATGCGGTACCAAACGAGGAGCAGAAATAGCTGCGCACTCGTTTCGAAACCTAATTGAACGCGACGACAATCCAAAATGCACTGTTCTTTTAAAACTAGATTTTAAGAATGCTTTTAACTCTTTAAACAGAGAAACAATGCTGAATCATGTTTATTCAAATCGCCCCGAATTGTATAATTACACCCATTGCGCGTATGGTAAACCTAGTTACCTTTTTTACGAAAGCTCTCTCATAATGTCAGAAGACGGAACTCAGCAAGGTGATCCTGAAGCCCCACCCCTTTTTGCGGAAACAATTCATACACTAGTCAAACAGTTGGAGTCGAAAATTAAAATCTGGTATTTAGATGATGGGAATTTAGCCGACGACTATAAGGTAGTACTCCGGGACCTTAAAAACTTTCTGAAATCGGAACAAATTTAGGGCCTGAGCTTAACCACTGAGAAGTGTGAACTTTGTTTTTTGGGACCGACTACTAGTACACAGTATAATTCAATTTTAACACAATTTCGAAAAATATGCCCCAAAATAACAATAAAAACAAAAGAAGAACTCCTCATTTTAGGATCTCCAATCGGCGAACTTTGCCGAAAAGAATTGCTTGACGAAAAAATTAAGGAACTTGAAAAAATCTCGGATTTCATTGACAAACTAGACGCCCATTATGGTTTTTACCTCCTGAAAAATTGCTTTAGCATGCCAAAACTCCTATATTGTTTGCGTACGAGCCCTTGTTGTTTGCAAAATGATTTTTTGGAACGTTACGATAAATTACAAAGAAATTCGTTATGCAAGGTCACTAACGTGAAAATGGATGATAACCAGTTTTTACAAGCAGTTCTCCCGGCAGCCAAAGGTGGCTTGGGCGTTTCTTCCGCACGTCTACTCGCTTTACCCGCTTTCTTAGCCTCAACAGTAAGAGCAAAAGATGCCTTGAATGAAATTTTTGGTTTGGAGCATGTGGATGGAACCTATGATGATGCGCTTAAACGGTGGTTTGACCTTGGAAAAATTGAAATGGCTCCGGAAAATGAAATGCAAAAAAATTGGACGGAGCCAATTTTTGACAGCGAAATTGCAGACTTGATTTTACGACTCGAACCAACGGACGTAAAAAGGTTCAACGCGTTCCAAGATAGATTTGGCTCCCAGTGGTTGAACGTCATCCCGTGCAAAAATTTACGGTTAAAACTGTCGAAACAACAACTCAGAATTGCGATAGGACTTCGATTAGGATCAAAAATATGCGAACGGCATAAATGCGTGTGCGGAAAAGACGTTACCGAGGATGGTTGGCATGGTCTTTCTTGCCTCAAAAGTGCAGGGAGATTCTTTAGGCATTCAAACCTGAATGCCCTTATAAAGCAGAGTCTATCATCTTCTCACATTCCGTCTGTTTTAGAACCACGACACCTCTACAGGACCGATCAGAGGCGACCAGACGGTTTGACGCTCGTTCCATGGGCTGATGGTAAGCAGGTCTTGTGGAATGTAACGGTAGTAGGTTCCTTAGCTCCTTGTAGGATTAATGCCGGGTCTGTTTGTAACCCTGGTACGGCTGCCGCTGAAGCGGAAGAGCGAAAAATTGACAAGTATAAAGATCTTGTAAATGATGGATATCTTTTCCAACCGCTAGCTTTTGAATTCAGGGCGCGGCCGGCCCCAGCACAGAAGTTTTTTTGAGCAAGCTTTGTAAGAATCTAAGCATATGCACTGAGGACCCAGAGCAGAGCAGGCAGCTTTTTAAAACAGAGAATCTCCCTGGCAATACAGATTGCGAACGCCGCTTGCGTACTCGGAACAATAAATGACAAAATAACTTTCGGCGAAATTTTTTACATGTAACACTTGTATATTATATTATCTCGTGTCGAGTTGGGTGTTCTTATTGAAGAAACGTAACCCGTATCGATTTTAATTGAAAAGGACTTAAGCACTTGTCATCTTCTTTTATCATTATCACTTCCATATCTAAAAAATTCCAAGGATTTTGACTGGAATACATGATGAAGAGACTCATGACTGTAACCTCGGTTACTATGATACTTTTGACCTTCTGATTACCTTCTGAGAAAGAAAAAAAAATAACGCTAGTTAGCACCAAATAAAATAATTGTCCGACCAAAATAAATATATTGTATTGTATTTACATATAGTAATTATATATATATATATATATATATATATATATATATATATATATATATATAGTAATTATATTTATTGTATTTATTGACAATAAATAATTTATAAAAATAAGTTATTTCTTTACACCCCTGGGCACACGTCTCTCAACACAATGGTCATGCGTTTGAATCCCACGGCGGGAGGGGTCCCAGTGTCATCGGTTCCTGAAGGTGGGACCGGATGCGGCAGAATGGATGACATCACCCTTCCCAACGGTTAGTCCTGCATTGAGCAGGACCGGGGGTAATAATGAAAGCGTTAACTTACATCTGTAATTTTTGTCTACTGGTAAAAAAAAACTCAGATTGAGCTGCTCAGCGCTAGATTTGTTTCTAATATTTTATCTAAGTAGCTCTATGTTTCAACAGATAAGTCGATAAGTTGAAATTGATTACTGCACTGCTCTGATAGCGCACAGTTGAAGGAGTAGTTATATGTTAACTGTTTTCAACGCGGTGACTTTTAACTTCTCGAGTTCTTTGGCAAACTCGATGATAAGTGTACCTAAATAGTGCAAAAAAACTAAGCAGCGTATCATATTTGGGTCTGTGGTTTCCTCAAAATGTCTCAAAGAAAAATGTACTACGAAATTTTGGAAGTTAGGGAACAGGCTTCTACGGCAGAAATAAAACGAAGTTATCACATACTAGCGAAGAAATACCACCCCGACAAAAACACAGAATCTGACAATACTGAACAGAAATTCAAAGATATCAATGAAGCATACCAATGCCTTGTTAATCGCGAAAGCCGTCTGAGATATGACCAGCTCTTGGAGCAAGATCGTAGACGATTTGCTAACGTGCCCACAGCGGAACCAAGTGCTTTCAATTTTCAACAGCCTGAGTTTGCTCAGGCGGGGTCAACAACTGACTTTGGAAGTGAGTATGTCGATCAAATGTACTTCGAACGGCAACCAGGGATGTTCGATTCACATATATATGCAGATTTTAACAATTTAGACGACGTTTTTGAAACTTTCTTCTCTTCTATGGAGTCTAGGGCAGCCACCAGAGATCCATTCGTGTTTTTTGACTTTGAAGGTGATTCAGAAGAGAGCACGCCTGACTTTTTCACAACTGCAGAAAATGATGTTTACGAAAACCAGCAGACTCAGGGTCCTAGGTATTGGCAACCACCACAAATGGCTCACCATATGTATAGTAATCCGGACAACATGGGTTTCTTTGAACAGCCTCAAAACTCGAACCATTTTACGAGATACAACTTTCAACAACCAGAATATGATACATTTAACGTTCATCAAACGCAACCTGCTAATCATATTCAAGGACATTTCACGAGACAAGCAACGGAAGATGTTGGTAATGCATTCACTGGTGATACACCACAAGGTACCTCAAATGAGTTTAACGGATTCCAAAATACAGGCAAGTCAAGTTATCCCAGTTTTTCGCCTAATAACCACCCTCTATATGAAATGTACTTGAACGCTGTGAATGAAAAACTACGAGAACACAATTCTCACAAGGAACAAACCAGCGAAAACCTCCAGTCAACCAGCGGAAACAAACTGGAGTCAAACAGCGAAAACGAACATATAGAAGCCACTGCTAATCAGGACCGACAAAAACGCAAATTCCCCAGTTTAAAAAAGCGAAAAAATAATTCTGCTAGAAGGTCAGCAGCTAAGCAGGAAACAAGCTCAAACAAGAAAAGTAAACTTTCAGAAAAGGCAGCAAGCCATGTTTCCAATGAAACAAAAAGCCACAGTGACGGAAGTTGTTGGGGGCCATCAAAGACTAAACTTGAATCATCTGCTGACGGATCGGATTTTTTTCAGCATGGCACCCGACCAAGATCATCAACAAAGCGAACAATTTCGCAAAATGATCAGAACAGAAAAACTACTTCTCAAAAAGAAACTGGAAATTTACATTCGAAAGCATCATGTAGTTCTGAAGGTAATAAGGGATATCAATTTGCTCCGGGTATGGGTTTCAATGAAGGAACTGTTTTCGCTGGCACCAATAGATTTGGCAGTGCTTGTACATTTGGCGCTAGTTGTCAGTTCAAACATCCGTGTAATTTTGGAGGAGATAGTCGCTTCGATCAGAGATGCATGTTCAGTAACAACTCTGCATTCGAGAGTGGGTGTAATTTCGGGGCCATGTGTGTGTTCGGAGAGAGAAGTCATTTCAAACCTAGATGTAATTTCGGTTCTGGATGTCGGGTTGGTGATATGTCGTACTTTGGCAGTGGTTGCAAGTTTGGCCATGGTGTCATTTTGGGTAATCATTGTCAAATTGGAGCCTTTTGCGAGTTTTCAAAAGAACACAGTTTCGGACACGGTTGTAACTTTGCATTTGGCTGTCGCTTCTAGTATGCAAGAAACTCGAAGATAACTAAGCATTTAATGGTAATATAACTAAAGTTACGGAAATATACAAAAAATTGTATAATTCTCCTTTTTGCTTTACCAGTTTTTGCGCGTTAACAGCGTTGTAAAATTCGAATTGAAGTCGTGGATACTCAAATTTTGAATAACACATTTTTAATTACGTAACAAAAAACTTGCTGGTTGTGGCTGAAATTAAGCGATTGGATGTAACATTATATCATCTGTTTAAGCAATGTCCTTTCAAAGATAATGAAAACCATTTTGGGAGGCTTCCACGCTCGGTGCGAGTTGTTTGAGGCTAGTCATCTTTTTCTTTTGAAAAATAGTTTTTTTTTCATTCTTTCCAGAGCAAGTATCTACAATCGGAAATCATGTCTCGTGTTAATAAATTTGTCCTGTTGTATAACTTTTTTTAAACGAGTGATTGATGAATGATAGTTGCCTTTTTCTTTTCCTTCTCAATCATTTCCCTTACTCCAGCATTCAATACCTCCAATTGAAGGCATCTAATTTCATTTTACATTTTATTGGAAATCTCTACCGGGTCTGACTGTCGAGAAAAAACTGATCCGAGGGTTATGTAGTTCAGACAGAAGCTAAAAATAAGCGAAGAGCGAGTGATTTAGTGAAAGGCAATGACTTCTCTCATTTCTACGATGAGCTCTTACTCTATTTCAGAAATTGAAGAAAAACGAGTAATGCTGTTTTAAAAGCGGTTCACACTCTTCTTAATGATAGGCTACGGGAAAATTAATGCAATATTTAGATGTTTTTGTGTCATAAAATCATTTTCTGTTACTGGCTTTTTGTTGGTTCAATTGATGAAAAAGAGATTTTAATTTTTTTTCGCTTCATGCAACGCTTTTAATAACTTATCTTTTTTCCAATGTAACTCGGTAGTTTGATTGCACGCTCCTGCTATGTTTTAAGTTGATTCTACCAACCCAACTGGTATACATTAGTGCAAAACAAACTGCCTAATTCGTGTAGGGTTAATTTCATCTAGGCGTGAACTAAATGGCAAATTTGAAATATTTGTAGCTTGTTTACTCAATTTTGTATCTCGCGTTTAAAGTTCCTGTTTACTATTTTTTTTGTTTTTGAGAAGTTAGTTTAGTTTCTTGATATCCATGCATTTGTGAAATAAGTTCAATCGGTTAAGCTACTGCTTAGTGGATTCTTCAAATGTCTTGAACTCTGAAGTTCAGCATTTCGAATCTTTGCTCTGGGTCTATGTGGTTCGAATCTTCTGGATATTTTTCAAGGTTGCTATTCTCCAGGTTTTTTTATATGTATAGAACACCTTTTTGTAATTTGTTTCCTTGTGTTTAAGAGGTAAAGCTTCGTCTCTGGACGGTAATCTTCCTTCCGTTTATTTGAGTCAAGCTTAGTATCAGTGATTTTTCATTTGATGTCTTCTGTTGCAATGTCGAGAAAAATGTTTTAAAAAAAGTGATTTTTAAAACACGCGTTGTTTTATCGGGAATTTGTACCAGTGTAAAGATGTTTTTGCTCAGCTGTGCATCTGTTAATTTTTTCGCACAGCTCTTCATTATCGGCATACTTGATTCGTTGTTTGTCGTCATTGTTACCTTAACAACGAATCGGCCTTGTTACACGGTCACGGGCATAGAATTTGCAACTTTTTGATTTAAACGAGCAACTGAAAGAATTTGTTCATCTTTTTGTCATTTTCACTGCAACTATTTGGTTCTTAGGTATAAATTTTGACTCAAGCTAGAAGAAATCATTTGGAAGGAGCTAGCCGGATCAAAATTTGAGAACTTTTGTCGTGAAAGGCGTAAAAAAGACAATATATCATAAGTAATTTCTTGAGTGATGTCCATTTAAATAATTAAAAATTGAAATTATGAAAAATATTGGGCATCAATTTGAGTTTTTCTGAAACTATTTAAATGTTTCTTAAGAATTTAAATTTTTTCATGCCTCTTTTTAGCAGCTTTTTTGCCATTTTCGGGTACTTCTCGCAATTTTGAAAAAAAATTAATTGCAAGCAATTTTTTTGGCATATCTATTTGCAACAAAATCTTATCAGTTTTGTCGTGAAAACTTAGATTATTTGCTTTTTCCGCGTAACTGAAAAGGAAAATTTTTTGACTAAACTAAACTGCGTACTTTGGCGTCGGATCGAATACCGCCCGAACAATTTAGATTTTTTAAATTTAAATTGTTCCAATTAAATTGAAATTTTTCATTTAAATTGAGTGGGCTCATAATTTAACATTTAAGTTAATTGAAATTTAAATGAAAATTCTAGTTAGATTAATTTTTTTTAATTGACATTAATGAGTTTCATAGATGTTTTTGCTTAAGAAATATCCTCGCAAAAACAAGGAATTTGATTTTTTTGGCTTAATTTAGACTTTTGGGGAGCTGGTGAGCCTGATTTACTCTTCATGCCGCCGAAATAAGACAGATAAAAGAATTGAAACAGTTACCTGGTCCGGCGTCAAAAACGAAAGTATCTATTTTATCTATACAGACATTTAAAAGTCTTGGGCGCTTTTACCAGGCTTAATATCGTAAGTGCTTTTGAGTTTTTTTGTGGATGGATTGAAGCAGTATTTTTTCCGATATATTTGCTGGAACAGTTCTGTTGTTTGCTTATTTTGATCATCCAAGTAACTTTCTATTCTTTAATCCGTCCTTTTCTGGCGTCATAAAGAGAAATCAGGTTCATCTGCTTCCCAAAAATCTTAATATTAGTCCAAAAATGCAAATTCCTTGTGTTTCCGAGGATATTTCCACACCACACACGTTTGAAACTTTCTGTGTTAAACGGGCTGGCTTACGCCTTCAAAGCAAGATTGCTCGAATTTTGATCAGGCTAGCTCCAAATATTTGTTTCTAGCATATGTCAAAATTGCAACCCCATACCTTCAGTAGTTGCAGAGAAAACGACAAAAATGTGAACAAAATATTTGTTCATTTCATTGCTTGAAATCTGAAATTTGCAACTTCTCTGTCCAGTGACTGTATGTGTACCAATCGTTGAAATGTACCGGATGAATTAGCTGATATACGTAACGGCTACAATACATTGCTTTTTTTTCCAGAAAGGTCATGCAATGAAATTTTTTGGAAAGAGTAAAAAATCCACGCCTCCTGTCTCGGCTGCGGTGAGTACCCCGGACATTGCCTCCTCGTCCTCAGATAGCAAAACAAAGTCACAAGAATTATTGAGTGCGAGTGGGGGACCGAGTCTTAATCGGAACAGCCTTCGTGCCTCTTCTGATTCGCTGAATGTGAATCACTATGCATACCCTTCGATTAAAGAGAAGAATTTGAAGGATATCTTCAAGGCCGTCTGGTCGGATGATTTTGTGAAAGTGAGGAACTCTCTGGCTAAGAATAAAACGAAACCAGATGCGAGAGACAACGAGAAAAGGTACACGGCAATAATTGTAAACCTAAGTATATAAATTAAAATAGTATATTGTTCAGGAGAGTTTAGGAAGTTCTGATGACATTTGACTTATAGATGAATAGCGATAAAATCCAACTTTGCATTATTTTCCTGTGGTTATTTGTTTGAGAAAATGATGCGTTGTTATCTCTTAGATGGGAAAATATGGACTTATAAGTAAAGACTTATAAGCATTAGTGCAGCTTTTTTCGAAACTGTCAGTGAAGTAAAAGAACGATGTTTTCAGACAAAAAACATAGCATAAATTTGAATAATATTAGATACAGCTTTTACTCATGTTAGAATGGTTTGATTAGATCCCCTCTGCACTTGGCGGCAGTTAAAGGCAACCAGGCCATCATGCAGTTGCTGATGCAGAAGAACTTCAACATTAATGCTGTCGACTCACACGGGGCCACACCACTCATCAAGGTACTGATTTTTTAGTCTGCATAATCTGGATACTGTCAGCAATGCATGCACGTTTAGAGGTCTCATCAAAAGCAGGTTTTTTCGTTATTTAAAACAATCCAAATCAATAGCATCTAAAGCATCGCATTGCGAGTTAGAATTAAAATTGAAAATTGAAATTTAAAGGAATTGAATATCAAGTTTCGATTATTTTGGTGCTGATTGCCACACCTATTCTCAGTTGTAAAAGTTCAGGCGAAATTGAAACTATTTAAACCAAATTTTTCATGTAATTGTCAAGGCTTCAGACAAGGTATTTGTCTGAAAAAGTAGCTCAAATAGACATTTTTTCCGAATCAAGTCAATTTTTTATAAATAATTTAGCATTTTCAAACTTTTTGTAAAATTTATTGGCAATATTGTTTACTGGAGCGCCTTACTCGACCAAACAAACAATACAGTGGCTTAGGTTGATTGTTTTTTTTTTGGTTTAAATGTTTACACAAGCATAGCTTGTGTTATAGTATGAACTTCCTTTTTTTCCAACCTAAGTCGCAAATATTGTTGCGATGCAATTGTTGCGACAAAATGTGTTCATTTTGATCCAGCTATTCAGTACAGCCAATGCTAAGGATATTAAAACAGAATATTACTTTACAAATAGCTTTTTAGTTTCAAGTCATCACTTATTTGTAGCGTAGAGGTAGGGAAGGAGAACAGCAGCAAAATGAGAGTGTTCGAACCTTGGCAGGGTCGGATGTTTTTAATGAAATACTAGTTAAAATGCGTCCGCTCTATAAATTGAGGCGTGTTAGTTGGTAAGTTTTTTTTTCAAAATGACTGGTACTGCTAATGCTTAATAATTGGCTTGCGTCTCTTAGCAATTATGTTGACTCATAATTGGCGTGCGTCATTTATGAAAATTTGTAGACTCAAAGTTTTAGCCATTCAGTTTTTACCAGTAGCGTTATCGGTCATGTTTTTGCTTGTGTATGCGAAGTGCAACTTCGGCTGTGTATGAAACTTGTGAAACGTTGGCTGCCGACGATGAAATGTGCGGTTTTAGTTTCGCCCGAAAAGGTGTTTTGGCTTGGTTTGTTTCATAAAGATTTACGCAAAAACTAACTGACCAAGTAAAGAATAAAACTTATCAAAAGCAGCTTCTTAAGTAGCGCGACAAAGTTCAAGTTTGATAAAAAACAGGACTTATAAAAATGTATGTGAGCGCGTTTTTATTTTTGTTCTTTTTTGTTTTTAAGACGCTTTGGAAAATTTTTTCACTTTTTCATAAAAAAATAGTTTTTCTCAAAAACTACTTGAACGAATTTTAAAAAATGGTATCAATGGAAAATCTGCCTGTGTGTTTGTCTTATCCCCTAGTCTCTTTTTACCTTACCCAATGATCTACAGGGTTCGAAAACTCTGTGTTGTGAATAGTTGACCAAAGTTTTTGGATTTTTTGATTATTGCAAAAACTCTGCTCCCAAATTTGAGATTTTAATTTCAAACGAAAGGGCGGGTTGTGGGAGGATCCCTGCATAAGCGGCTACACCCAAAAATGTTTGCACAAAAAGTTATGGCCCTCAGAAAAGTCAAATTTGAGATTTTGGTTTCAATCAAAAGAAAGGTTTAAAAGAAGCTCCCCAGATTAAAAACCGGCGTCCAAATTTTCTAACAAAAAAAGGTATGGTCCTCAGAAAAGTCATGGTTCTGATTTCGTGTTAATTGTTTGAATTCTTTTGACTTGTGGGGAGCCTCTGTGCAGGTTGTGGGAAGCCTCTGTGCATGAGCGCTACGCCTTAAAATTTGTACGAAAAATGTTCTTTTCTTGAGGAAGTTTCGAAATTTTCAAAAACTTTCACTCTTATTATCTTCACATTTTTTGAAATTATCTATTTCATCCCGCATCAGTACAACAAAATCTAAAATAAGTATTTTGTTACTTTCAGCTTAAGTACGCTCCTAGTCTGAAATGGTAATTTGCCTAGCAGTTTGTATGAACTTAAATTTTGCTGTCTGATAGCCGGAATGAACCGTTTTTTACTAAGTATTTTTTTCATTTAAAACATACTTACACAAGCATAGTTTTGTATTATAATACGAGATTGCTCAACGGTCCTGTTTATTTTCGCAATCTGTGTTTTGTTCTAATGCAATTTGGTGAACTTTCCAGTATTTTTTTTTGTGTTGATTACTTTTGTTCAAAGTTGTCCCGATTTGGGAAGAACGCGTTTGAAGATAATTTGAATCAGAGCGTTGTAAATTTGAATCAGAACTGTATCAATAACAGTATGGCCACGCTAATAGGGCGGTCAGTGCCATCAGTGCGAAGCGTGGTTGGTCAGTGCCAGCAAAATAATATCAGTGCGGAAAAGATGTTCGTGCACTTATTCAATAAATTATTACACTTGTGATCTGTTTAGTGTTTATTACGAACCTTCTTTTTTCTAACCTAACTCACAAATAATAGTTATCATTAAAAGTGATCACTTATTTGGAAATTTCACTGTAGCATTGGAAATTGCATAGCATCTGTTCTCTGCTTGATTTTTTTTTACTAATTCGAGGCATATTTCTAATTTTTATTGCACTTAATAGCTGCTTTTTGTGGTATTCTCGCTAGTGTTTGTGAAGCAAAGCTTCGCTTCTGTGTTAAAAATGGAAGCAGTTTCAATCAGTGAGTTTTTCGTCAGGTAATATGAGTAGAGCCTCAAAGAAAAAAACGATTCAAATCCTTTTTAGAAATTGTTTTTGGAAACAGTTTGAGAACATTCTTTTCGAAATGCTTACTTTTCTTTTTTAAGTGGCTTCAGTTGTCAAAAAGTGAAACTTCTTTTTTTTCGGAAATTATCAGTACCAGTCATTCTTTTTATTAGTGCCGTCTGTGCTAGCAATTTTTTGGATACGGTGTCCACCTTGAGTAAATGCCAGTTGGCTTTTGATTGCAGTTGCGGAGCCGAGGAGGTGAATCCAGCACCTGCTTTGAAAAGTACTCTCGATATCAACATTGCAAAAGGAAACCAAGTAAAAAATCCGCCACTTTTTTCAACCTCTTTTAAAGAGTCGATGAACGTGAAAACTTTCATGAGTCTACTTTTTTTGGGAAAAATCTGAAAATTGTTCACCCCCTTTTCGATTTTTCTCGGTTCGACTATAATTTTTTTTAAAGTTCACTTCTTTTCCTCTGTGGAAATGAAGGCAAACTTCACAACAACAGTATTAAGGCCACGAAAAACTTCTATGCCACGAATGATCGACTTCTAGTCTTGAAAATGGATTTGAATTTTCAATTTCACAGCGGAATAAAATTTTTACCTATTGATAATTTTGTCTCAAATTGAGTTAATCTTATCAACAAAAAAGTGTCAATCATAAATCGTTTTTGAAAATCAAAGAGCGGTAACGCCATATAATTTACAATTCGAAAAATGAAGTTTTAAAGACACAAGTCCGTTTTTTGTTTCCTTGACAACTTTCTAACGTTCATTGAATCTTTCTAACTGTCTGTTGGCTATGTTTTGAGGCTCGTTTAAAATCAGCACGGTATAAAAGCCATACACCATTCATATTTTGCGTTTGTGTAGGCTGTTCAGAACAAGCACGAGATGATGGTGCAGATGCTGTTCTCGGCTAAGCCAGCGCCAGACACTGAGGTGAGAGACAGGGATGGACTGGGGGCCATACACTATGCAGTGAGACTCAACTGGTCACAGGGACTGAAGCATCTCCTCAAGAACCACGGCACAAACCCTAACCTACCTGATAATGTATGCATATGTTTAGCCGGGGGCTTTTTGCCCCTTTTTTACCAAGACCCCCCCCCCCCCAATCTCGCCACCACAACCACCGAAAAATGTGATGAAGGTCAATTTCAAATGTGTTTGCAAAAGTAATATCCATGCATGCTGCATTTAAAAACAATCGTGCGATAATAACGAAAGGTTTAGATGGTAAAATTCACAGGTCGGTGAAACGGTAACAGCCGTGTTGCCATATTCATATATTCACTACAGGTTACCTCGCTATTTGTATATTATATTTGAGCTACTTCATGAAAGGTTACAAATTTCCATATTTCTCTGCGGATAAGGGAGTATGTGTAACATTGTGCTTGGTTGTTTGTCCCAGAACACAATTTTAAAAGAAAGAAAGAAAGAAAAAGTTTATTTCTCATTGTTAATGGTAAATTTGCATACAACGAGAATTTGCCGGGACCACGTGCACCGTAACAAGACCGTCAATGAGTGTTAAAAGAATTTTGGCTCCAATTTTTTTTCTGAATGGTTGTGTCATTTTGTTAAATTTTGTGTGGTTTATGTGGTCGGAAAATTCTGTGCTACTTGCAAAGCAATCAGCAGGTCTTGTTTAATTAGTTATTCCGTTTTTGGTTTCAGGATGGTAACACTGCACTGCATATTGCTTGTGAGAACAACTACCTGTCAATTTGTTCAGTCCTGCTGGCTCAGAGGGCAGATGCAAATGTGCAGAACAGAAACCTCAAGTGAGTTGAAAGTCACGTCCTCCATTTGTTACTCCATTTTGGCTGTGATGTTCAATTTTCAATACAATTCTGTCAGATACTGGTCGCAATTACAACTGATAATGGATATAACACCAATATAACACTCAGCGCAGCTTACTCATCTCTGTCAACAACAACAACATTTTTTTTCTCTATGATAACGTCGTTTGGGACGGAACTTGGTTTTCACTTGAACATTTATTAGCGTAAGGTTTCATTAATCTTGCGGACTCCTAATTTTCTAGAGTCTCTCATGACTGAAAAGGTTTTCATAATGATATGTTTTATTGAAGACCGGAAATACTCGCCAGGCGATTTTTTGTCAACATGAAGACAATTTTGATTTAGATGTGATTCTTTGAAAATAGAAAATAAATCAGTTTTGATCTAGATATATTTAATGAAGAGTTTTATTGACGCAAGGAAGAATTTTCATTCGGGAAAAGTTGATAGTGGTCGGGATGGTCACTCTTGAACCAACTTTGAAACTACTTATGGGGGGGGGGTAGAACCCATAATATAGCATTTATTTTTCTGTTTTGCGAGGGGAGTGCGAACATGAAAAAAAAGAAACCTACTCGCGTACGATACATGCTCGTATTTATTTGGTTTTAATGTCTCCTAGAATGATATGGTAATGATGTGGTTGTTAGGACTCCTCTCATTCTGGCGGCCGAGCAGGGCTATGGGGAAGTGGTGTCCGCATTAGTGGAGGGCGGCCATGCAGAGGTACTCCTCAAGGACGCTGATGGATGGACTGCATGCGACAGGTAGTACATTTGGCAGATTCGTACCATGTAAGGGGGGTACGTACCATATTTCAGATATTGCTTGTAATTCAAACCTCCATCCCATCCCCATTGTTCAATTATAGGGTTAGGTTTTTATTATAATGTACATTAGGAAGGCTTGTTAGGAAGATAAAAGTGTTCTCTTTAACATGCGACTGATGGACTTATCGTTGTTGAATTACGGTGAAGAAAAGCAAAGTCCAATCAGACGCAATTCAACTCAGTGGTTAACTCATTAATTACAAAATGACATTAAGGGCTTGAAGCTTGTCTGAATGTGAAGAAGTGTCTTTATCTCTTACTAACATTCAAACAGTAGCGGATTTGGGGGGGGGGGGGGGGGCTGATGCCCCTCCCCCTCAGGGATTCGACCCCCGACGACCCAAAGGGTCCTCCCTTTGTACTATTTTGAGATATCCTTTTTTGGTGACGGAACCTAAAAATGTTCTAAAGGCGCCTTTGGCGCCAAATATACTAATTTTGAGGGGGGATCGCGCGCCAAAAAAACGCGATTTTTTGGTCAACATTTTCCAAAAAGTGCCAAAAAACGCCGTAGAAAATTGGTCAAAATAGGGTCTTTATAGTGATTTGGAAGACCTCAGAAAATCAATTTGGTCAACCTAAAAAAAAGTCGAAATTTTTTTTTTTGAAAATCCGCCCCCCTCGAGAAATTTCTAGATCCGCGCCTGATTCGAAGTGTTCAATGGGATTTCAAAAAGAACCGAGTGGTTGTATTAATTAAATATCGGAGAACAACTCTGATACGGTAGTTTTAAAAATTCTAGTACTTGGGACATCGATTGCTTCAATTGATTTTTTCCTGTTGACAGGGCCCAGATGAACGGCTATAAGGACATCCACAAGTACCTGAAGGGCAAGGAAAACGAAATGCAAGGAGGCAGACATGCCAGCAGCAGCAATACACTCGAAGGCGAAAATGAAGAAGAAAGACAGCAAGAAGAAGGAAAAGATACTGAGGTGGATGAGGAGCAAGTTGGAGAATCGGCCTCAAATCCACCGAAGGAACACAATGGCCACAAGGAGAAGAAAGATACACAGAATAATGGTACATCTGGTTTTAGATTGAAGCATTTCCTTGAGTGGGTTCCCCTTTTCAAAGAAAAAATAGTATAAAAAACAGTTAATGCTTCAAATATTTCCTCCTGATAGCTAAAACCTTATTTGAAACTCACACGTGAACTTTTGATTATTTCATTTTCTTGAAATTGTTTCCGTACCAGTTTAATAAAATCCATCTTTTTTTCAGGTAACGACGACGAAGACGCTGATGCACGTTGGTTTGGATCTGACTCCGAGTCAGAGGCGAGTAATAATCCTCATCTTAATTGAACAGCTCATACCTAATAGCTCCAAACAGATTTTTAGTTAAAATTTATCTTTAGGACGACTCTGAGGGCATAAATATAAGTAAATCTGCAAACAACAAGGTGACTTCCGAAAGCCTCTCGCCAGAAAAAGACGAAGTGGAGAATGGCCCGGACCCTCAATTGTCTCCACGACAACTGTCGGATGGATTCGGTTCATTCGACGACGATGACTCGTTGTCGCTCAATTTTGGAAACAACAAACGTGAAAAATCCAAGCCTGTAAGTTTCCAAACCTATGTACCCGTGAGATCAGCAAGGCTGTTGCAAACGGGTACTAGATTTTTCCCCGTAAATGTTCACACAGGTAAATTTTGTAGGAATGATAAACTAAATGTGCAGACTGGTGCCATGCTCAATTTCCTGAAAGTTTAAGTGAAGCTACCAGCATTTAGGTTAGGTAGTTATAATGGAGATCGTTTCCGGCAGAAATGGTTTTTAAGTTTTTTTCGGGTTCACAATTTCCATACTAGTTTTTTTTAAACATGAGTTTTATTGTAATTGAAGATAATAATAGTTTTTTTTATAGTTGAAGATTTTTCCATTTGTAATTTTTACAAAGTATGATGTAGAATAATTTTATTTGTTTTCTGTTGTTTTTGTAGGTAGTAGTTAGGTGGAGCTCGATTTAGGAAGAAATTGTTTTTAGAGTCGATGAACGTAGTTCAGACTCTTATATAGGTAGGCGCGATGAGTTTTTTTTCAGGAACAGTCTTAAAATATGTTGAGGCTCAAATTTACTTTTTCGCGGTTTTATTTTTGATTGTTTTCTAAGTTCAGTTCATTTCCTTTTTAAAAGGAAGGCAAATTCCACTATCGAACAGCAACGTTTTAAAAGATAGGAAAAACGTGATTGACTTCTAGTTTGGAAAGTGGGATTCAGTTTTCAGATTTCGCAGAAGAGAATTTTTTCCCCATTGATCCATTTTTATCAAGTTGGGTTAGTCTTATGCAGTGTCAATCATAATTTGTTTTATAAATTCTAAAAGCTTTGAGGTAAGCTAATTTTTCTTTGAAATTTGAAAGTTGAGATTTGTTAAAAAACAAGTCAGTATGTTTTGCTTATTTGCGTTCATCGACTCTTCCAACTGTCTGTAGGCTATAATTTCAAAAAAAAGGTTCTGAAAAATTGGATTTTTTTTTCGAATGTGCGGTTTCCATCCTCGTTACGCCGGTTCAGTTTCCGTTTTTTTAAAATTCCATTTATGTAATCTGAAACGGTTTTTTATGATTATTTTATAATGGAAAATTCTGCAAGTTTTGATTTGTCAAGTATGATTTAGAATCGTTTTTTTTGCGGTTTGACTCATGGTTATTGGTCCACTGTTTACACTAGCGTCAGCTTAGTGTTTTATTAAGAACCTTCTTTTTTTCTAACGTACGTCTCAAATATTGGTGCCATTTTCGGGGCACCTGAACAGCTTTTTGATAGCATGTGCTTTGGCATTAGAATAGTAGTAAGTTAACACAGCTGATGCGTTTTTATTTCAACAAATGAACCGGAAAAAGCTATTTGTTTCAAAGATAACTTAAAGAAAAACTCGATTTATGACTTTTTCTAACTCAATGTATCTCTTATACTTAAAATTATACTTAATGTGGCTTTATGCTTTGCGATTTGTTAATTGCAAAGTTAGTGTGGGTGCATTCAGTTTGTTCCATTCCTAATTAATACTTGAAAAATTGAGTCTATTTGTATTTGGTGCCACTTCGCTGAATGGCATTGGCAATTTATTAGCATATGGAGCTGCTTTGTTCGTGACTAGTGTTTGTCGGTATTTAAGCGTGCGTGGCTGAAAGGCTGGTGAATGAGACTCAAAAGCTCTTGATTGCAGTAGATCGCAGATCGAATCCTAGACCTAGTCAAATTTTTGCTAATTCGAGGCTTATTTCTATTTTTTATTGCTTTTTCTAGAGTGCTTTTTGCCGTGTTCTTGCTAGTGTAAATGAAGGCAAACTCCACTATCGAACTGCAAAAGGTCACGAAAAACGTGAATGTCTTCAAGTTTCAAAATTGGACTTAAGTTACGGAATTCCCAATGAATATGCAGTTCTATAAAAGGGATAACTCTAAGGAAAAGTACCAATTTTTAATTTGAAATTTAAAAAAATGTTGAAATCGGAAAATTATTAAGAGTAATGAACGTAGTGAATACACTTATATAGGTCGTGCTGATTTGTTTTTTTTCAGGAAAAATGCTTAAAATATTGATGCATGTAGGTATAATGCACTTTTTGAGTTCAATTGAAATTCATCTGCTGAAAGTGACGTAAATAGCAATCTCCAAATACGTGAAGATGGCGCGAAAAAACGTCGATTTCTAGTTTCGAAAGTAGAATTTATTTTTAAGATTTCCCAGCGGAATAAAAACTTTACCTATTGATCCAGTTTTCTCAAGTTGGGTTCATGTTATCAAAAGCGCCAATCATAAATTGTTTTAGAAATTCAAAGAGCTTAAAGGGCATCTATTTTTTTCTTTGGAGTTCGAAAGTTGAAGGCTCTTGAAAAAACAAGTCAGTTTTTTCAGTTTCCTTGCGTTAATTACTTTTTTCCAACTGTTAGTTCGCTATGTTTACACTTGCTGTTTTATCTAGAGGTCCGGGTTTGATTTTTTTTCTGAAGTTTTTGAGGTTTACATGTTTTCAGTTTTTTGCTTTTTATGCGAAGAGCAGCTTTGCTTCTGTGTGATTGACTATATTTTGAGATTGAAGAATACAGTAGTTTAAAGACGTGTTTTGGCTTAGGTGCTGACAAACTACGTAGAGAATGGAGATACAACAGATGGGAAAACTGGTAAGTTTACCGAACTCATTTTAGCTATAGTTTGATAATAATCTTTATTTTTGAAGGAATTGTCATTGGAAAGTATTTATTTTAACGTGAGGTCGTGTATTTTAGGTGGAGAAGCGAGTAAACCAAACCGGATCGGGTCTTTTGGCTCTCTTGCGAACAATGTCATTGGGAGAACAATCTCTGAAATTGATGATGGTCAGTCGCGTAACTGATGAATTATTGAGTTTTGCTTGTAGTTGCAAGAGACGAATTAGGGCTCTAACCATGAAATTAGGTCGTGATGATTTTTTTGTTTTTTTTTCAGGAAAAAATCTATATTTTGTTCAAATTCAGCTCAAATTTGTTTTTTGGCGGTTCGGCTTTTAAGTTCAATTCAAATTAGTTTGCTAAAAGGAAGGCAGGCAATTCATGCTCTGCAATTACGAAAGTTCAAATGACTCGAAAACGTGAATTGCTATTATGTGAAAAAACTGTCTATCATTTCGTTTGAAAATTGAATGGCCTTAAACTGGTATTTATATTTTTATGAAACCCGTGAGTCGAAGTTTGTTCGTTGACATTTTTCCAACTGCCTGTTGGCTATGTGTTAGAAAACAAGTTGTGCTTGACTTGAAGCGCTTTCTGCAAATTTCTATAGAATTGAACGAAAATTGATTGAAAGTTGGTTCGGTAGAGAGGCAATCCTTTAATAGTGGTTTAGCTTAAACAACAACAATTGTAAACGTTTGTTTTAATGAGGCTGTATTTTTGTCAGATTCCCACTGGGGCGACACTGATACTGAATTGAAGTCACATGCAGACAAGGAGGGAGAGATGAACAATCCAAAATCAACTCATACACACTCTTCAGGTGAGCCAAATGGCCTACTTAAAACCTTTCTTGTAGCTTGAGACTGGGGCAACACTTTTTAGTCCTAGAAGTAACCTCTATTGTTAATAGAAATAAGCAAGCTATATAATCTAAATACACGAGAATAAGTGTATTGAATTCGGGTACGGAAATTTTTCCACGAACAACTTTGTTCTTAGGACTTATATCCTTGAGCGCTCTGTTGTAAGATTAGTGCAATGGACGAATTTTGAGCACTTTTGGAAAACTCATTTTATTAACGCAATCGAGCTAGCGAGCGTAGCGTCATATGACGAACTATGTTTTTTTTTTCTAAAATAACTTGCAAATAAAAGTGCTAATTTTGGTGGCAGTTTTTATTGCACACTGTTTGCAGTTTAATAGCATGTTTTGTTCAAATTGTAAGTGACTAGTATTTGGTTCTAAACTGATTTTACGCGATATTACTTATTTTCAAGTCGTTTATTTTATTTGTTAAAAGAAAGGCAAACTCCACTATCGAGCAGAAAAAAAACGCTAAGGTCCAGAAAAACGTAACCGGTTTTTAATTTCGATTTTAATTTTCAGAAGGAAATTCGGAAGTTGAGTTTTAAAAAAAAAACAAATATCTGTATTTTTTTTCTGTTTAATTGCGTTCATGACTTTTCCAACTGTGTTTGTTAGCTATGTTTTCTTCTTTTTACACAAGCATAGCTTGTGGTATAGTATGAACTTTCTTTTTTTCCAACCTAAGTCGCAAATATTGTTGCGATGCAATTGTTGCGACAAAATGTGTTCATTTTGATCCAGCTATTAAGTACAGCCAATGCTAAGGATATTAACACAGGCTATTAAATTACAAATAGCACTTTAGCTTAAGGCATCATGGTTCCGTAGCCTAGAGGTAGGGAAGGAGACCAGCAACAAAATAAGAGGGTTCGACCCCTGGCAGGGTCGGATGTTGATAATTAAGTTTTTCGTAAGCTAGTTAAGTTGCGCCCGTGCTATAAATTGAGGCGTGTTAGTTGGTAAGTTTTTTTTTCAAATTGACTGGTACTGCTAATGTGTCATTAATGGCTTGCGTCACTTAGCAATTATGTAGACTCATAATTGGCGAGCGTCACTTATGAAATTTTGTAGACTCAAAGTTTTATCCATTCAGTTTTTCACAGTAGCGTTATTGGTCATATTTTTGCTTGTGTATGCGAAGTGCAACTTCGCCTCTGTGTAAAAACTTCTTGTTGGCGGATGAAAAAATGTGCGAGCGAGGAGGGAATAAGGAAGGTTTCTTCGGTGTGTAACAGCGTTTGTGAGGGGTGGAAGGGGGATTGGTGACGGTTCAAAATGTTATATTTTGCTGGTTTTCCGTAGTGCAGATGCGCCTTTATATGGATCATTTCTACTTAAATATATTATCTTCAATGAAAATTAGCAATCGTTCTCCGAAAGTGTTTCTGCACATTCTGATTTCACAAACGGAAAAATTTGTTATTTTACCTACTAAACATGAATCAGCGAAGACATTTTTCATGTAGTTGAAGCATTTTTTCTGCGTTGTTGTAATATCATTCAATCTTATAAGAAGAGCTCTGGTCTTTTTTGGCATAAACCACCACCAGTAGCATGCCAAAGGGGGAGGGATGGGACCGGTCCACCCTCTCAATACTGGTTGCCACATTTTCCCGAAGGGTTCCCCTTTGGTTTACTTTTACGAGATCGATTTTTGGCTGGCCAACATCAAACATTTTCCAAAGGCGTCTTTGGCTCCAATAAAAATAAATTTAAGGAGAGCGCGCGCCAAAAAAAACTCATTTTTTGGTCAAATATTTTTAAAAATACTCAAAACGTCATTTTAGCCTGTTTTTTCAAAAATCAAGTTGGCTGACCTAAACAAAAATGTTTACTTTTTTTTCAAACCGAACTCTCTTGAAAAATTTCTGCGCGCCCACTGGCCACCACTTGTGCTCCATTCACAAAAATATGCTACATGTTTGTGTAGATCTTGAAGATCTTATGGAAGTGATCCCTTTATTACGCTTGCGATAAGCAAGCATTATCAAACCGGAATATAGTTTCTTTTCGGGTTAACAACATGTTTAATAGAGTCACTGATATCTTGGCTCACACTGAATTCAAATGTCTATGCGTTCCCGGCCAACTTAGCCTAGAGGTAACAAATATGCCTAGGACGGCAAAGGTCCGGGGTTCGAATCTGACCAGGATCTGTTCTTTTTTCAAACAGGAAATATTCTGTTTCAAATAAAATCGTCGGCTTATTATTTGTCTGTTGTCGCCTTAGTTGTCACATCTTGAATTTTTTTTGCTGCACGCATTTTTCTTTAATGTTGCTTTTAGTGTTTGATTTACTCCTATAATTTGTAATTTTACTCACCTTGACTTCATGTTTCCTTTGTTTCGCAAAAAAAAATCCTCTGTCCAAAATATTTTGGGCTATTTTACATCGACTGATGGCCTAATTTTGGGTCGTTTTAAGGGGAACATAGTTTTAACACTCCCCTCAGACTTTTTCATTTTGATTGTATGCTAACCAATCGGTTTTCTTTTTTCGTTATGGAAAATTATTTCCAAATTATTGGAAAATCTTTATTTCTCAGAAACTTCAGCTGGTTTCAAAAAAGGGGGTATCAATTCCAAGACCGCCTGCTCCCCTGCGTACTCCCCTTTCTACTCGACCTCTCTGTCTACAGCCTTCGAAAAAGTCTGTGGGAAAAATTTGACCCATAAGTTTGATTTTTTTCGTTTTCTCGAAAACTACGCATCTCAAATCTGAGTTTTTTGGTTTCAATAAATAGAACATTTTTGAAAAGCTCCCTGCATTAGCGGCTCCCCCAAAAATTTTTTACTCAGAGAGTTATAGCCCTCAGAATAGTCAAGTTTTTAATTTTTGACCGTTTTGTGAATCTTTTTGACTTTTCTTGAAACATAACCTTTCAAATCTGATTTTTTGGGTTCTGTGGAGATATCGGGTTGTGGGAAGCTCCCCTGAATTAGCGGGCACCCAAGAAATTCATCACACTAAAAGTTATCGCCCTTTGAAAAGTAAAGCTTGTGATTGTTTTGACCGTTTTTTCAAACTGTTTGAACATTGTCAGAAACTACCCTGCCATATATGAGATTTTGGGTTCGATTCAAAGAACGAGTTGTGGGAAGCTCATTTGATTATACGACTACGACCGAATTTTGTTGACACCTAAAGAAAGAGCCCTCGGAAAAATCAAATTTTGATTTTTTGGCCGTTCTTTTTAAAGTTTTTTACTTTTCTCGAGAACTACTCTTCTAAATCCGAGATTTTGGATTCAATCGATTAAACAGGTTGCGTGAATCCCTTCTGCATAAGCGGTTACGCCCTTTTTCTCAGTCAAAAAGCTGTAAATCTCGGAAATTTCAAGTTTCTGATTTGTTGACCGTTTGTTTGGATTTTTTTTCGCTAACTATCCTGCCAAAACTGATACTATAGGTTTAATCAAAAAAACAGGTTGTTGAAAGTCTACCTTTATAATTGGCCGAACTACCGTGCCAATTCTCAGGTTGTGTTCAATCGAGAAAGACGGTTTTGGGAATCTTCTCTGCTTAAGCGGCCACAACCTGCTTTTGAAGAAAAAGTAATGGATTTTGGAACGTTTTTTGATCGTTTTATAGAAACTTTTTGAATTATCTTAAAATTTACACAATTAAATCTGAGTTGAATAGTTCAATTTAAGCGGCGACTCCTCATATGTTTTGTAAGATAAATGTGATCTCCTTGAGAAAATTTATTATCTCAAATTTTTTTACTCCTATTTTGGTAGAAACAACTAAAGTATTATGCAAAGTCCAATTTTTGAAAACACATTTTTCGTGTCGCATCAGTATAGCAAATTCATTCAATATAAAACGCGTACCTACAGCTGTAGCTGGCACCCTAGTTGTTTTTTATCGAGACATACGACAAATTTGGTTGACTTTGTTTTTTTTAACATTTAACTTTTTTTTTCGACTTATGTGGTGCGAAGCTCGACTTCGCCTCTGTGTTTAATTAAACCTTTTAAAGACTACTTCTTTGTTTTAGATGTGAAGATTGTAGCAAACGGAAAGGCGCATTTAGGTTAGTAAAAATCAAACACTCATTTTTGATACGTTTTTTAAAGACTGCCTCCAAAAATCTCTTCTTAATCTGATTAACTGTTATTGTTCTTTTTTTTAATAACCACTCTCAACGTTCACTCCAATCCATGGTTTGTTTCTCTGTTCTGACTCACAATTTCTCTTTTTCAATTTCAGCTAATGCAAATCTATCTTCTGAAATACTAACCGACCATGCAACTTCACGTGGAGACGAAGAACCGAGTTCATCACATGTACAGAAGAATGTAAATAATGTAAAAAGCGATGTGCGAAATGTAAGCAAGGATGGTGAAGATGTAAATAATAATGGTGTACAGAATGTAAATAAACAATCAGACAACAAAAACAATAGTCATAAAGATGATGAAGATGACGATGGTGTAAATATGGTGGGTGGCGATTCAGCTCCAAACCGAAGTTCGAAGCCAGAAATGAAAGCAGAACGTAAAAACAGTTTGGACTTGGATTTTGATTGCAGCTTCTCAGATGATGATGACATATTTTCCGATGTCCAGCTGAATAATGGAGCGACCTTGAGCCAAAACAAAAATGCAGTTCAGCTGAAAAAGCAGGAAAATGTTGACAATTCAAATAGTTATAATATGAATAAAACTGAAGTGGCAAAAAGTGCAGATAGAATGAACAACGAAATTGAGAAAGTAAAGAAAGTTCCGAACAGGCAGGCGTCGGAGACGTTTGATGAGCTGAACTTTGACCTCACTGAGTCAGGTTCTGAAAATGAAGCTGATGAAAATGCTAAAGAAGAAGATGAAGAAGAGCGACTGAACCAGAGCATAAAGGACCTTCTGGGTCCGGAGTATCCCCGGGTCACTTCTCCGAGGCAGTTGCCGCCCCTGGCATCGGACCAGAGGACGAAAAGCAGGTGCGGTTGTAGCCCCGGAAAATAACTGACACAAATGTTCCGAGAATGAAAACTAAGATTAAGCAATTGCGGTAGTTTTTTTATTTCGCTCTTTTGGTATCAGTGTTTAATTTTCGTTGCACGAAAGGTTCACTTAGTAGATTCACTTTATGAGATCAAGCAAATTGATTTTTGAAGTCTTCTAAAACGATCTGAAAAGACTTAATTTTGTCGACAACTAGTTTTTGGAAAGAGTCCGGAAAAACCGTTTTGTGCATTATCTTAACGGTTGCGACCAAAATATCGCTTTTTGGCTAGAGCTTTCTCATTAATTTACAGTTATTAAGTTTAAGAGGGCCTTAAGAAAAAATAGGGTCCCTCAGGGAAAAAACGGGCTCCTAAAATTGTTTATTGGGGCCGAACTTCTGCCAAAGTGTAGTGTTAAGTCCCTGGTGTAACCGAATCATTTCGTTTTTGGTTAAAACCAATCTTGAGTTGAAGCAGTCCATATATGGTAAGCCGGAAGAAGAAACGTTTATGAACCATTCTAAAGCAATTGTGTCTACTGTTATCTGTGCATAAAAACAGATGCAGCCTGAGTAGCCAAGAAGACCAGCTATCTCCCAGAGCGAAGCCAGTTCTCAAGCCAATCACTTCATTCGATAGTGGCACTAGTGCAGCTAACAAAGAGGAGAGACTGAAAGAGCGGATGAAGTTGCAGGCTAGTGGAACCAGAAGTCAAACAGTGTCTATGAGTGTATGTGACGGTAGTAGTCCTCAAGAGGAGATTAAGGACTTGGAGTTCGCAGGTCGAGCAACGGATCAAGAAACTGAACAAAAAGGAGGATTTGACATGGAAAAGAATATGGCTGACACTCCTAAAGCGCTTCCTAGAAGCAACAAAGCTGCTGGAAAGGCTAAAAAGGGTATTGTATACCTAAATAACCTGAATCTTAATCTTTTTCCTTGGTGTGTTTCTAACTGTTTTTATCGATTAAAAGCGCAATTTGAGCGAGCGTTTCTGCACTTTAATTTTGGATTATTTAATCACTTGTTATAATTTTGGATTATTTAGTCACTTGTTCTGATATTGCTTGATCTGTTATTTAACAAGTTTGATTAAGTATTAATTTTAGATTGCTTTTTAACTCTGTTTAAATATGCGTGGTAATTTTGAATAGTCCGGCGCCGATTAGACTAACTAGTTATACTAATATATTTGCTTACTTTTTCAATATACCAATTTTATGTGATTATTCGACGAGAATACTCATAACTTGTGATCTAATCGAGTCAATGATATCAGTTTTTAGTCTATAAAAGGACAAAAATTGTACCGCTTGAGTAGTTTTCTTATTTTATTGCTTCTGTTTTCTAATTTTGATGCATGCAGATTTCAAGTAGAGCCGATGCATGCAAGAGATAGGGGACTTTTCCTATTTTCTGAAACAATTTAAGACTTCAACAAACGATAGGGATCAACCGTAAAATCACCCCTCTAAGTAACCTACCGTAGAATCTGCCCCCGTAGCCACGTATTAGTGCTGAAAATTGATTTCGTATAAAATATTCATTTCAAACAAAAGCACTGAATAGACTGCTCGAGAAAACGTTTCAAATACCTATTTTATACTGTTAGTTAACCAAATTATTATTCATAGCTATTTTTGAATTATTTTTTTTTGATAAATTTGATCAATTTAATTTGCCCTCAAAGTTGATATATCAAAAACCAGTATTTTATCTCCCCTAAATCGATTAGAGGGGAATTTTTACGGTTGATCCAACGATATAAAGTTAGAGAAAAGGTTGTGCATCTTGCTCAACGATTCCGAGTGCGCTATTTTTGATTTATGAGGAGCTCGACAACTTAAAAAAAATCCACTGGCGAAAATCAAACCTCGTACGAGAGAAAACCGTTACAGAAAAATTGTTTTCAATCGCCAAAAAAGATAATAGCGCTCCATTTAGGTGGTTTATTTACAGATTTCCTTGAATAACTCAATTGGATTGGGTTATTTCATTTACAGACAATTTAAAATGAATAACCTTTTACACAAACGGAGCGTTGTGTCATGTTAACGGTATCCATTTTTTTCCAACCGAAGTCGCAAATAAAAGTCCTCCTTGATTTGGTGACACTTTTGCATTATTAGATATGTTGTAATTTGTTACTGAAAACAAGTCCATTTTTGTTTTCATTGCGGTCATTGACTTTTTCCTACTGGCTATGTTAAACTTACCCTCAAAACAACCCTGCCAAATAAAAGATGAATGGTTTCCTCGAAAGAAAATATGTTGTGTATCTTCTCTGTACAAGTGGTGGTCTCCTATTTTTTGCTCGTTTTATAAGGTAAGAATTTTTGCATAAGCGAATTTTCCCAATTATGAGAAGGAATCAGGAAATTTTGTAGACTCAAAGTTTTACTCATTCAGTTTTTCCCAGTAGCGTTATCGGTCACATTTTTGCTTGTGTATGCGAAGTGCAACTTCGCCTCTGTGTAAACTATTGTTAAGTGGCAATGTCGCAGATGCTAAGACGTACACATCTCTAGGTCGGGAGTACGTATCGGGCACAAAGTTTTATCTTGTCCCTCCTTTTTCATTTTTAGAGCCAATTTTTTTGCATGTTGCGAAATGCAGCTTCGCCTCTGTATAAAATGATTTAAAAAATATAGCACCCGGTGTAATAAAACTAAACAGTTTTTTTGATAAAACATGCAAAAATAAAGCTAGGTTTGATTGCAGATTACGACGAGTCAGAAGATTTCTCCTTTGGAACAGATAAAAACTCAGCTTCACAGCAGCCCAATGGGAAAGGAGACAAGGACAAAGAGTACCCATTGACTAGTACCTATTTTGATTCTTCCGAGGACGAGACTGCTGCCCAGGATGAGTTGGAGAAACAACGGCAACGAGAGAAAGAAATGTAAGATTTTTTATGATTCGATGAACGTAGTTCAGACTCATATATAGGTCGTGATGACTTTTGGGTTTTTCAGGAAAAGTCTTAAAAAAATTTGTTCAGGCTCAAATATGATATTTTGCAATTTGGCTTTTGATTTTTTAAAAGAAATTCAGCTCATTTCCTTTGTTAAAAGCAAGGCAAACTCCACTATCGAACAGGAAAAGTGAAAGGGTCACAAAACTCGATTTCTAATTTCGAAATGGATTTTAATTAAAGATTTCCCAGCAAGTTCAAAGAGCTTCAAAAAAGGAGTCTGTAGTTTTCTGTTTTCTTGTGTATATTGCATCTTTTCCAACTCTCTGAGGGCTGTTTTTGGTTAACAACGGACAGCAGTAATACGGCATACTGAAAAGGCTTTTTCGGTGGGACTTTGTTTTTATACGTATGTAGCAGCAAGCTGATCTTTTCCTAAAAATATTGAATTGTCTTTTTTTGTCGGCTTATAGAAATTGAATTCGTTTGTCGGTTCATTTTTTATTGGCTTAAATTACGGTGCAAGGAGATTTTTTTGATTGAAAAATTTCTTACTATTGTTGGCGGTCGTCCTGTTTATTCGTCAACTTTCCAACTCGGATTCTTTATAAGTTCTTTTTTCTGTCATTATTTTTTTTCATTATAAAGGTTATTTTATCGGCATGTGTAGAAAATTTTAAGTTCTAAAACTGAATAGCTAAACAAAATTTTTGTGACAACAATTTCTATTGGCATTTTTAGAGTCATGAACGAAGTCAATACTTTTATAAAGGTCTTGGTTTTTTTTCAGGAAAGAGTCGCAAAAAAATTGATTTTTTAGGGTTTGACTTTTGATTTCTGAGTCTTTTATACTTTTTTGGTTGAAATGAAGGCAAACTTCACAATCGAAAAGCAAAAATACGAAGACCCCGAAAAACATAATTGACTTTTAGTTCTGAAAGTGGTTTTTTGGGTTTAAATTTCTCAGCGGATTAAAAACTTTATCTATTGATGCATTTCTCTCTAATTGATTTTTTTAAACAAAAAACAAGCTGTCCTTAATTGCTCTTGAACTTGAAAGAGTTTCATGGCATTATTTTTTTCTACTTTGTGATTCGAAAGTTGAAGTTTTTTGCCCGTTTTGCGTTCACTGACTCTTTTCGAACTGTCTGTTGGCTTTAATTTTTCTTATTTTTGCTGCAGTGTTCGCATTCCAAATGAGTTTTTTGGCTGCTCCGTAAATGTTTTTAAAAGCTGATTTAATGATTGGATGTGTGTCTCGGCTGTCTTTCAGAATGATTTCTTCATTTAATCAAAAAAAAATTCATTTTTTATCGATTTTTTTTCTCATAATAGTAATTTCTGTCTGTTTCTTTTCGGTAGCTTGCAATGCTTCGACTTTGCGTTGTGATGCTTGTAATTCTAGCAGCGATATCCGAGCGACTTCTCTCGGTACTATTGTTCATTATCTATCTATATAATAATCGATTGACATGTTATTTGTAGTCATAAGGCGCAATGGTTAAGAAATACCACCGAGCACAACGTTTGAGAAGGCTCAGATCAGAACAATCATCGAATATTCTAATGTCTGGAATATCCCTGAATATAAAGTTGTTCGTTAATTATTCTATAGTTTTTTTTCGAAAAAAGTCCGGAGAAAAACGATGAACTCGGTTCAACTGCAAGGCTAGACAGTACGTGCCATCTTTTTGTCCAAAGTTTTGCGTTTATGGATTTCTTTGAATCTGGTACGAATCAACTAAAAACAACAATCACCGTGCTTAGAAAAACTAGTTTTTAGCAAACCAATTTGCGGTCTATGAAATAATTTGGAATGTTTCAAATTTTCAGAGCTGGAGTAGCTTCCTTAAGAAAACTTAAAAACTCCTCGCAAAACGATTCAGTCTATAAATTAACTTGAAAGGTTTCAAATTTTCATTGCTTGATTAGCTTGCTTCGAACAAATTTTTCGCGAACCAATTCGCTTTTTATGAAAAAACTCGAAATATTTCAAAGTTTCAGAGCTGGAGTAGCTTCCTTAGAAAAACTTAACTCCTCGCGAACCGATTCAGTCTAGAAAATATATTGAAATATTTTAAAGGTTCTTTGCTTGAATAGCTTGCTTTGAAAAACTTTTTGCAAAGCGGTTCGATCTATGAAAACATTTCATTAGTTGAATAGCTTACTGAAGTTTTCTTGAATGATTTGCTTCTTGAAACAGCTTGAAATAATTCAAACTTTTTTGTGAACTGATCCATCTACGAAGTAACTTGAAACATTTCATAGGATGAATACTTTGCTGAAATAAAATTTTTGTGAACCGATATGCGTCTCAAAGTATCCTGAAGTATTTCAACGGTTCATAGCGTAAAAAGCTTTCATTCAATTAACTTATGAATTAACTTAAATATTTCGTAGCTTGAATAACTTGCTTAGAAAACCTTAAAATTTTTGCAACTCTATACGCTCTATGAAACAACAAAAAAGTTCCATTGGTTGAATAGCTTGCTCAAAAAACATAACTGTCCCGCAAATTTATTCGCTGCCTGAAACAACATCAATGGTTCATCACTTAAATAGTTAAAGTTAAGTTGAAAGATCTAAGTTTCATAGCTTGAACAGCTGACTTAAAAAACTAAGATTTCACTATTCGATTCGTTCTATTAAAGTGCTTGAAGTATTTCAATTTTTCGTAGCTCAATTTGCTTGCTTACAGAACATCAACTTTTCGCGAACACATCCGGTCTCTACAATAACATCAAATGTTCCACAGCGTGACTAGCTTGCTTCAGAGAAACTGAATTTTTAGTGAACCGATCCGCTGCATGAAACAATATACATTTTAAGCTTCGGTCAGGTCTATGTAACGAGTTGAAATATTTCGTAGCTTGAATATCTTGCCGAAGGAAAACTTATCTTTTTTCGTGAAAGCATTCGCTTCATGAGAAAACTTAAAATACTTTAAAGTCATGTTAGCTTGATTAGCTTGCCTAAGAAACACTTTAATTTTTGTGGACTGATTTTTTGTAATTTTTATTGCTTGCTTAGAAAAACTTCAAGTTTTCGCGATCGATTTGATCTTCGATATTGTTTGAACTAATTCATAGCTTGTACAGCTTGCTTAGGAAATTTCAATTTTGTTCGAAAGCGATTCGGTTTATAAGATATCTTGAAAATTTTCATAGCTTCAATATCCCTTTTAACAAAACCTTATTTTTTGTGAACCGATTTGCTTCATGAAACAACTTGAATTTTTTCAAAAACTCTTCATTGAATAGCTTGCAAAAGAAAACGTGAACTTCTTGAAAAACGTTTCGTCGGAAAAAAAACAATTGGAAATTTTTCAAATTTCTATCGGTTGATTAGCCTATTAAGAAATGTTTGATGTTTTTGCCAACCGATTCGCTTCATGAAGTTCCTCGCTCGATTAGCTCGAAAAACTAACTTTTCGCAAAACGCTAGCTTAGTTTTTTGCACACTGATCCGCTCTATGCAAAACTTTGAAATAGATCAAAATAATGACCGAAAAGTTATTGCTATGTTTTAGCTGCTATAAAGCGCAATGGTTAACGGGATCATCGAGCTCGACATTAAAGAAGATCTTCTGAATCTAGATTAATCTAGACTTTTTGGTCAAAATCAAATGAATGATTCAGATTCATTAAACAGAAGCTGGAATATTTAAGAATTATTTTTGGAAAAATTTCGAAACTCTTTAACCAAGATGAACTCGATTGAAGTTCGAGGCTAAACAGTTCAGACCCACTCTCAGCTTTTTGTCCAAAATTTTGCGTTTCAAGAAGATTCATCTCAGTCTAAAACGAATCTACTAAAAAAACAACCATCATGCTTAAAAAGATTATATGTGAGCAAACGATTCGCGGTCTATGAAAAAACTTGAAAAATATCAAATTTTCAGAGCTGGAATAACTGGAAACAGTTCAAATCGTCATAGCTTGAACTGCTTGCCTAAGATAAAATATCTTCTTGCAAACCAATTCGGTCTCTGAAATAACTTGAAATAATTCAAAGTTTCATCGGTTCAATGGCACTAAGTGAAAAACTAAAAGTTTTTGGTCATCCGATTCCCTTAGTGAAATAACTTGAAATAGCTCAAAAAAGTTTCATCGCTTGAATAGCATGCTTGAGAAAAACTCACTTTTCGCGAATCGATTCGGTCTATGAAATAACTTGAAATATTTCAGCGTTTTGTCGGTCTAATGACTCCAATTGGAAAAATAAAACGTTTCGCCATCCGATCCTCTTCGTGAGATAACTTGAAAATTTTCAAAGTTTCATTGCTTGAACAGTTTGCGTTGGAAAACTTATTAAACCTCTCGGAAAAAACGTTTTGCTTTAAAAAATAACTCCGAAATGTTTCAAATTTTCTTTGCTTGATTAGCTGGAATCAAAAATAAAAGTTTCAATTAAAAAAAGTTTATCAATTTTTGCTGGCTGATTCGCTTCATGAAATTTTTCAAAATTTTTTTATTAACTGTAGCTTGAAGTTTTCGCCATCCGATTTGCTTAATGAGCTAAATTGAAATATTTTAAAGTTTCATAGCTCGAAAAGCTTCAAAAAAACCTTTAATTTTTCGCCAATTTCATTGGTGATTTAGCTTGACATTTCTAAAGTTTGTTGGCTTGATTAGCTTGCTTAGAAAAAAATTTTGAACAAACAAATTTCGCAAGTCAATTGATCATGGAGACACGCTTGCTAGTTGCCTTTCATTTCAGCAACAGTACCGAACAGTTGCTGCATAATGACGATGACAGGTTGTTCGAGGTGGAAGACGTGAAAGAGATAGAGAAAGGCGAAAAGATTTCGACCAATGGTAACTTGTCTTTTATTCGGAAACGTACAACGGTTCTTCAGACGTTGTTGCATGGGTTAATGCAAATTTTTGCACATCGGTGACCTAAACATTAAAAAATACATAGTTCAAGGCTAGTTAATTTCTTTCAGATTCTCTGATTTAAAAGGATATGCCAACAATTTGTTTTGAACTATAGATACTTAGTTGCATGATGTTTTGTTAAATGTGAATAATTTTTGCTCGGAGCCTGAACTGAAAGTGTCTGGAACGTATTTGGTGAATGATGTGTTTTTTTTAGGTTTTAAGGCTAAGAAGTCACCGCAAAAAATAATAAGTTTTAAAAAAATCTTAGCTTTTAATTTTTGTTATTTTTTATCGCTTTACCAAAATTAATGTGACCGGTGCATTCTGTGCTACTTGCACAGCAACCCTTTATCCTCGATTCAGTTATGTCGAAGCTGCGCTTGTACCGTCTTGCTTGAAGTTATCAATTTGAGTCCGACCATATTCAACATGTTACATTTTAAAGCTCTAGAATAATACGATGAAAATGGGGGCGAATTTCTCCGTTTGTTAAAAATTTTGTCGACTCTTTATAGGTCGATCAAGTTGCTTTCGAGCTGTCCGAAAACATTTTAATGACACCATGACAACGTTATGCCTAAATATTTAGCGCCACAATGTTTTTGGAAGGTTTTGACCAGAAAATGCGTTTTAGTTCGGCCGGCGCTCGCTCTTTCAAATTTATATTGTATTAGCGCACCAAAATTAGAGGGAGGGACCCTTTGGAAAAATTGATTAACAAGAATTGAGGAAGGGGAGGGGCACGCTAGTGAAAACGAGATTTAAGAAGTGGTTACCATTGTTTGTTTTATTGAGAGAGACTGAGTTGTTTTAATGGAGTTAGTTGCAAGAAATTTGTCGTTAGGAGAGCATCAAATAGCTTGTTCTTTGAGATTTCGGTGATTTATAAACTAGTAGAAGTATAAGCCAGCTACCTTTTGTAGCCCAAAATGCTGAGCAGTTACGTAATAAGTATACACCATTTTCAATTGAGTGAGAGTTAAAAGATGAAGCATTTTTCCAGAATTACTTAAATGTCGCCTGTTTTATAAACTATGGCCATGTTCGGTTCGTTTATACTTGGAGTGGTACTGCACAATCCTATTTACAGTAGATGCATACAAAGTGAGTGCTACTCTGACAGCAGAAGAAGCAACCCCAGTCTCCGCAATGTACGAACAGGAGGAAGAGGATGCTGATAGCATGGATTGGGATAGTGACGTCAGTGAGAGTGAGGACAAGAGGAAGACGGAGGGAGGAGTGGGGGGATCGAATGTACCAGTGGAGGCCAATGTTGTAGTGCAGAACAGTCCATCAGAGGGTAAGGATATCGTCAAAGTAATAACTAGAATCAAAGGAAGAGATTGTGAAGAGACATGGCACAGTTTTAAGCGAAGAATATTAAAAATAGGACTTTTTTCAAACTATTCACAACTCTATTAATTTTTGAATTAATTTTTTTTATTATGGAGTACGGACTGTTCAATAGAATGTTAAACTTGTTCATGTCGATTTTTTTTTGTGTAAAGCGGCAGCCGTATGCAACCCAAGTGGGTTCGTTGGCTGTCCTCTCAGACGTATTTGTTGTATATACACAGTGCTTTATTGTTTATAACTAGTATCTTCTGAGAAATAACTCTTCTTCTTCAAGAATAAGATAATCATTTAAATGTGTCATTAATAAAATTGACTTGTGTGTTATAATAAAATTAAATGTGTCATTGCGAAAAATGAGAGTTTTTCCTGTGCTCCTCATTATGTTCGGCTTCAATTAATATTGACAGAGACTTATGAGCTAACTTCTCTGATATAATAATATAAACTTGATTGGTTGACTAATTTCAGTTGTATTTTTATTATATTCAACTTTCTGGAAAAGAGACTGCTTGGTTTGATCATTTGATCAGGCACTTTCTTTTCATGTCATTTTTTCATTTAGCAAGTACGCGAGATTGGGGAATACCTTTTTCTCGAAGGACCGAATGCGCCAAAATAAAGATCACCAAATCAGAATTCCTTATTCAGTAACTCGATGCAAATAGCGATAAAAATCAGCCAGTCCAAAGGGCACTGATTGGTTGAAAGTTTTCGCGCATTCGTATTACGCGCACGAGAATAGCCCCCGAACAGTTGCAGGCAGTTTTTTCATGTCATTACTATTCCGCAAGAAGCGACTACGCGTGATTGCTTTAGTTGTGTGAGGTGTATGTTTAGATATAATGAGGCCACCCTCCGCCTCCCCTTTCGACTCCGAGGAGGAAGAAGAAGATAACGATAAGAACAAAGACCAGAAGAAAGGAGAGCGAGCAGTAGAAACAGGGAACATGTACGAGAAAGCGAACAGTACAATGGACAACAGCAGAGTCAGCACAGGTGATTGCTACTATGCTTTTCTAGCTTATTCTCAGGGTCAGATAATCTCTCCTTTTCATCCGAGAGAATAACCACCGAATGCTTGAAAATAATTGATTTAATTTTTCTCAAAAAATTACAAAATATCTATTCAAGCATTCTATTCGAAGAAAACAATTAGTCGCTTTCAACTTACTTTCAGTTTCAGCTTAGTTACGTTTCAGAAACTTTTGGTTCGACTCCTAACGAAAGGTAGCCTTAATCATTTAAAGCAACCATAGGTGTTAAGGGGTTTTTGCGGTGAGGTTAAAGAACCAGAATGACGACTCAAATTTGAGGCAGACTTATTACTCTCTTAGTTCATAGTATCTGATTTCGTTTGTTCGCAGCGTCGGACAACGAGAACAATCCAGATAAAGCGAAACAGGAGACCAAACCCGAATATCTTTCCAAAAGGACTACTGGGGAGCTAAATCTGGATGTGATTGGAACTAAGGCTGCGAAAGTAGACTCAACAAAATTGCTGCCTACAAAAGATAAAAAGGACACAAATATTGAGAAGGTGTCTTTGGATGTCATGGGAAGAGATTTGCAGCAGGATAAATCCAAGTCCATTTGGGACGACGATGAAGAAGACGAAGTTGACAGGACTGAGACTATAAGCTCGTGGGAGATTGAGAACCGAAATCGCAGACAGAAACAGGTATCTGATCATTTCAAACAAGTAAATCTACAATAATAGTAATAATCATATATTCCTTTTCAAGTCTTTTGTTGCTATATTTGCAAATAAATAAGTAGTACACCTGAATATGTAGGTATCATCAGACCTTTCCGAGTGTGTTTTTTGATGATTTTATGAATGAGATATTCACCCTGACATAATTTTAGTTTGGAGTATTGTGTTTGGTTTTTCTACGTTGCTTTAATATTTAGCTGTTTTAAGGACAAACCAGAAGACAAATCCAACAATGTCCTCCAAGAGGTGCTGGAGGACTCCTTGGTGAATGTGGACTGGGCAGAGAATAACGAGAATAAACTGGAAGCAGGCGTGGGAGGAGAACTAGGAGACGACATGCTCTCCACCCGAAACGAGAAAAAAGAATCCGAGTCTGAAGATGAGGTGAGTAAAATTTATATATTTTATTGATCAATCGAGGAGGCGTAAACCACATCAGCTGATTTCTTTACCTACCATTTCAATATTGTTGCATTAAATATGAGGTTTTCTGTTGCCGTTATTTTGGATAAATATATTCTGCTTCAGATTGAAGTCGGGTTCAGAGCAGGAATGGCAAACAGTCTAGTTGTTGGAAAAGAAGACAGTTCTGTGAATGAAGTGAAGATTGCAGAAAATGCCAGAGGGGGTTTGTCGAGTGCTGATGTTGATGGGGGTGCAGGTGGTGGCAGCTTGCTCATTCCCAGTGTGGAGGGAGGGGGAGACCGAATTCCGAGCACCCCTTTTCCTTCCAAGTGAGTGTTGGTGGCGAAACTTACCCATCGGGTTCAACAATTTCAATTGTATTAGTCTGAAGCAATGTTTTGTTGTTATCATCGCGCTATTGCTGTTACATCATACCTCATTGCTTCTTCCTATTCTAAGAGCTTTAAAATAGTCAATGAACGTAGTGAGCCACCGATTAATTAGTTCGTGATGATTTTTTTGCTTATTATTCTTTCAGGAAAAAGTCCTAATTTTTGTTCACGCATAATTTTGATTTTTCGCAGTTTGACTTTTGATTTAATTTTTAGATCACTTCTTTTCGTTTTTGGACAGAAGGCTCACGCGATTATCGAACAGCAAATTTGTAAAAGTCCCTCTTTTTTTCCAACCAAAGTCGCAAATAGTTTGATATTTTTGTGCAATTTTGATATTCAGTTGCACCTTTACAGCTTATTGATAACATGTGCTTTGACATTCGAGTAGTTATAAGTTTACACAGTTGATGCTTTTTTAATTCATCAAGTGAACCGAAGAAAACTATTTGTTTCAAACAACAGAACAATGATAAAGTCTTGATTTCAGAAATGTTCTTACTCAATATATCTCGCAATTTTTTAAAATGCATATTTTATACATAAGTGGCTTTATGACTTGCAATTATTTACATGCATAATTGTATCTTTCTGTGTTTGATGCTACTTTTGCAGCATCGAATTGGCTTTTTATTAGCATATGTAGCTGCATTATTGGTGGCTAGTTTTTGGGGATTTTAAGCATCCGTGGCTGAATGGTTAGTGCGTGAGACTTAAATTTGCTAGGTCGCAGATTTTTGCTAATTCGAGTTTTTGTTAAGCCTTGAGTTTTCACAAATTCGAGGCTTAATTCTACTTTTCTCATGTTACTTGATAGAGCTGCTTTTTGGTCGTGCTCTCGCTGTGTAAGTTTTCGCAGCGGAGAAAAATTATTATCTCATGATCCAGTTTTTCAAACTGAGTTAATTTTATCAAGAAAGTGTCCATCTCATATTGTTTTGATATTTAAAGATTTTCAAAGCCATATATATATTTTTTCTAAAAATCAGTATTTTTGGTTCCTTGCGTTCGTTTGTTTTTCCAACTGTCTGTTAGCTATGTTTTTTCAATTAACGAATTATTAACTCGCAGTCGACTTGTCTTTACAAATTGTATGTATTTTTTAAGCGCAAAGCCAAATACTGTTTAAGCGATTATCATAGGGGACAATGGTTAACATAAGGCGTCAGGGACAATGTTTAAAGGCTTACTTCTTCAGCTTAACTTTTATTTAGTCTGAGTGAACACCCAACTGAAAGCTTTCCAAATATCGCTCAACAGTTTGTGCGCGTAGTTTCTCTGCGCTGTTGTCTTTTTTGTTCTTTTCTTTGAATAGTGAATCATATCTACGCTTGAAAAATCTCCTAGTGTGTTAATTTTTTGGCAAGATTTTTGTGTTGGCTGAGTGAACATCCAATAGGGCTGAATGATCACCCCATTGAAAACATTCCAAATCTCGCTCAAAAGTTTTGCGTGCGAAGTTTTTCCTGCGCTGTTGACTTTTTTTGTTCTTTTCTTTGAATAGCGCATCATATATACGCTTGAAAAATCTCCTAGTGTGTTAATTTTTTGGCAAGATTTTTGTGTTGGCTGAGTGAACATCCAATAGGGCTGAATGATCACCCCATTGAAAACATTCCAAATCTCGCTCAAAAGTTTTGCGTGCGAAGTTTTTCCTGCGCTGTTGACTTTTTTTGTTCTTTTCTTTGAATAGCGCATCATATATACGCTTGAAAAATATCCCAATGTGTTAATTTTTTGGCAAGATTTTTGTGTTGGCTGTGTGAACATCCAATAGGGCTGAATGATCACCCCATTGAAAACATTCCAAATCTCGCTCAAAAGTTGCGTGCGAAGTTTTTCCTGCGCTGTTGACTTTTTTTCTTTTCTTTGAATAGCGCATCATATATACGCTTGAAAAATATCCCAATGTGTTAATTTTTTGACAAGATTTTTGTGTTGGCTGAGTGAACATCCAATAGGGCTGAATGATCACCCCATTGAAAACATTCCAAATCTCGCTCAAAAGTTTTGCGTGCGAAGTTTTTCCTGCGCTGTTGACTTTTTTTGTTCTTTTCTTTGAATAGCGCATCATATATACGCTTGAAAAATATCCCAATGTGTTAATTTTTTGGCAAGATTTTTGTGTTGGCTGAGTGAACATCCAATAGGGCTGAATGATCACCCCATTGAAAACATTCCAAATCTCGCTCAAAAGTTTTGCGTGCGAAGTTTTTCTGCGCTGTTGATTATTTGTTCTTTTCTTTGTGAATAGCGTATCATGGCTTATAATTATCGCTTTCTGAGCAGAAGAGTTAAGGGGGAGGAATCTTTTTTATCCCCCGGTCGGCATATTTTATCCCCTGTCTCTTTCTATTGGGACCAAGTTAACATCCTTCCCCCAAAGCGGTCTGGATGGAATTAAATGCTGGGTTGGAAGATGTTATATCCAATCAAGCATATAACGAACATCAATCAATTTACCTCGGGGCCATTCGTATCAAATAATTCAAATTTTCTTCATGACGCCAAATCGAACTGTTGGATAAACTCAGTTTGCGTTGTTAATCATTTGATTTCCGAAACAATAGCGTTGATATAAAGCGTGACACATACAAATGGAGCACAAGTTCACAAAAAACTTACTGTCAGTAGCTCTGCCAATTGATTCGGAATTTCTCTTTTTTTTTCTACCGATTCAATCTTCTTTAATTTAAACTCTTCCATAGAAATATAAATGCAGTCGGTCATTCAGCGCTTTGCCCTAATACGAGCACTCTTGTTTAATCTGCAATTTGTTTGCGCTTGCTTGTCATATTTTGGCGATTTGACGTTTGATCTGTTTAAACTGCGATCAGCGTAGTATATTAGTTCGAACCTTCTTTTTTTGCTAAGCGAACTCACGATCTGTAGCAGTGGAAATTTCACAGCATCTGTTCTGCTTTTTTGTGGCTTGTGTTTGTGGTTTATTAAGCGTCCGTGCGTGAGACTCATTATCTCCAGGTCGCAGCAGGGCGCTGATCGAGTCCGAGACGTAGCCGAATTTTTACCAATTCTAGGCTTATTTCTACTTTTTCTTATTGCATTTTGTAGAGCTGCTTTTATCGTGTTCTCGCTAGTGTTTGCGAAGTGAAGCTTCGCCTCTGAGTTAAAATTTTTCGGCTAAATGGAAGACGCTCCTCAACTACTGAAGTGCAAAAACAGAATTGATTTGTAGTTTCAGAAAAAATTACAAACAATAGATTTTTCAGAGCAACTAAAATTTGCCCAATAATCCAACTTCATCAGTTTTTTAGTTTTAGTTTTACCAAACAGTGTCTTTTGGCTAAGATAATTTTTAAATTTTTTTCTTTGATTTCAATAACACTTTTCAATGTAGCGGTCAGTCTTTAATAGATTTAAATTCTAATAATGCTAACATTATGGAAGGTTTTAATTTGATGCTTATGTATTGACGAAAGGTGTAACATTTATAAATATTTTGAAGTTCTGTATTTTTAATTGCACAACTGTGGTCGCCGTTCTTAAGTGTTTGTGAGTGTAGAGGCATCTGGACGCTATGGCCGATTAAAACCGTAAACGAATTGGAATTTCAATTTGACCCCATAGCTGCTTTTGTTGACAGCCTTTAATATTTGGTCAACGGAATTTATTTTGAACCATATTATTTTTCTGCTTGTTTTTTTTTTGCAATAACTTCGATAATTGTTAGTTTTAAGCTTTTGAAGCTAATTTGTTAAGAAAGTGCTCTGCCATCATTGTCCATTCGATTTAATCATTCTGCCTCTTTGATTGAGCAGTCTAGTATCTCTTCAAATAAGCCAATAGCTGTTATAAAATTTATCACCTTTGCTGTCCAACCGAGTGTCAAATAGTTTTTCAATCTTCTAGAACAGAGCTTAATTTGCCGCTCTGGTGCAAGCGAGAAAAACCAATACTTTTTGAAACATCAGTGCATAACAAACGATCTACTTGATCCGAACTATTAACTGTGTTAGTTAAATTTTTCTACTCTGGTTGACCGTCTGGACTTTATTATGCAGAAATATAGACAATCGCGAGCTGAAAGTGACATCAAATGCAGTAGACAATAAAGCAGAAGATCAGGACATGATTGAAAGTTCACTCAGTGAGGAATCGGCGACAAATGCCCTGCCTAATGGGGCGAATCACGAGGACAATCAAAACGGAGTAGTTGACATTAACTCAGTGAAGAAGAAGACCAAGTCGGAAGATGGCGTAATAATGACGTCAGAAGAGGAGGATGATGACGCAATGGATGGCGAGGAGGAGGCGGACGTGAGTTCGAAGAGTGCGCTGTTTTCGCCTAGACTGTTGGATCTGAAGAAACGTGAGTTTATCTTTGATGTCAGTTTTCAGTTGATTTACAACTGCCACCTTTCTATCTGATAAAAGCGTTATTTTGCTTTAAAAAGTTCAAATTTATTTGAAATCTTAAAATATCAAAATCACATAAAAGTTTGCTAGTGCTTGAAGGTTAATTTGTTTTTATCAATTCTGTATGAAGAGTATTTGATGAAACTAAATCCTAATGCAGCATATTAATTTGGCCGGAAATCAAAGTCGAATTAAAAGATGTTTTTTTTTAAAGATAATGTGCATCCAAATTGATTTGTTGAGCCCAATTTAAGTAAGATTTCAGGGTATCATGTCAGATTCCGTGAAGCGCAATACCAGTCAGGTTTGAGATGATATAGTTGCGGGAGTTTCTTTAAAGTTTATAATATTGACCTATAGATATATGTTTTGGTAGGTAGTGCTAGAGCTTTTCGAAAATTGCTTTCAAATGTTTTAATTGTCAGTTTTCTCAGAACAAAGCAGAGGTTATGAAAATAACAAAAATGCCCTTCACACCGATGCATATTCTGTATTTTGTGGCGTTTCTCCCTGATCAGGAATTATTTTGTGGCGTTACCAAGAAATTTGGGAAATGGCTCGAAGAAGAGGGAATGATTTTTAATGTCAAATGTGCATTTTGATTTTTAGATTTCTTATCGGATTACACTAAATACTCACTCATTGATCTAGTTTTCTTGAATTCAAGCAGCTTAAGGGTGATATTTTTTTCTCTTTGAATTCGGAAGTTGAAAAATTGAGTATCATCTTTTTTTGCTGTAATTCTTGTTCATTGATATTGTATTTTGTTTCTTTCTTCATTTGGAAAATAGTTTTTTAGGAATCTTGATTATAGGAAACTTTGGAAGAGTTTTATTTGAAAAACAATTTTTCTTCAGAATAAATTGAGGCGAGAATTCGTAACACCATTGATTAAGAGATTAAGAGTCTCGATGAACGTCGTGAAAACTCTTATATAGATAGTGCTTTTTTTCCGGAAAGTCACAAATATTGATCACGCTCAAATTTGATTCTTCGCTGTTCGACTTTAAGGCGGTATATTTTTACTTTGAAGTTCGAAGGCTCAAGTTTTTTTCAAAAAAATTGTTTCCTTGCCATATTGACTATTTTCCAACTGTCTGTTGGATGTTTTTTTAGATTGGTTACAGAAACACCGTTTCAGCTGAAAGAATGGACAATTAACATCTCATAGGATGAAATTACTCTGTCTGCTCACAAAATTTGAACACAGTTTGCACACAAAGCTAATGATATCTGTTTTCACAGGTGTATAATTTTACGATGGAAAATTGGTATTTTCCCCGTTTCTTATTTCAGAAATTTACACTTGCGATCAGCAAAAGTTTTTATTAACCTTCTTTTTTCTAACCTAACTTGCAAATAAATGTGTTCTTAAAAGTGTTCGCTTATCTGGAAATTTCACTGTAGCATTGAAATTTGTATAGCATCTGTTCTCTGTTCTAATGGTTGTGGCTGAGTGGTTAGTGAGCCTCTTAATCTCTTGGTCGCAGGTTGGAATCTCAGAGGTAGCCGCATTTCCACTAATTCGAGGCTTATTTCTAATTTTTATTATTGCCCTTATAGAGCTGCTTTTTGTCGTGTTCTCGCAAGTGTTTGCGAAGCGAAGCTTTGCCTCTGCGTGTAAAAGTTCGATTTCAGGGCAAGTACATTGCGAAACAGTTTTTCGTTTACCGCTTAATTCGTGCAATGACCCGCGAAAATGTCTTCATTTTTTTTTTGCTTATTTTTATGTTCACTGTCTAGATCAGATCCGGATCCTTGTCATTCACCGTTTTTTTTTCAAGCCAGACACCGTTTGTTGTAATTACTAAAGCATTTACCAGCAAAAGTGGATCGGTGGAGTCTCTTTTTGAGGCGACTTCGAAGCGTGTATTAACGCCCGTTTTTATTACTATGGATGATAGAAAACTAATATGCACAAATAGTTGGATAATTAGCATTCAATGAGTGTTTTAGAAGTGACTTCGTCTAGTGGTCTGGTGGGATTGAAGAATCAATTCAGACAGCAGAGGAGGGATTTGGAGAGGGAGCAGATGGAGAGGAAAGATAGTGAGAGGAGGGCTCACACATTTCAACAACAAGTGCAACAGCTGCAACTGTGAGTAGTCAATTATGATATATGCTCTATACCAACTGCTGATGGTAATGGTGTATATTGGGAAATAAAGGGAAATATTGGAAATTGAGTTAGGCAATCAGAATCGAACGGATTCACTGTGTCAATTCGGTCGAAATAAGATGTTTTAATTGAACTCGCGAAAAAGCGTATCATTTGTTACAATGAATGGGTTGGACAGTTTTAAGTTGGTCTCACATACGATGAAGCGAATGTGCTGTTGATGATATATTTCTCATTCAGAAGTCAATATTCAGACGTATCCTGCCAAAGTTCGTCTGAAAGTTCACTTGCATCTTAATTATTACTGAAAAAACTGTAAGCGCTATCGGTAACTTCTTTATTCGAACGGAAGATTTGTATAGGGGCGTATCGATTAAGTATTGCAAACTAGAGTTCACATATAACGCCTGCTCTCTGAATTTTAACTCTACAGTACTATTTAAAGTTCTCTTAAATTTGCTATTTAAATTCGCTAAGAAAATTAATCAAAAATTCTTGAGTTTGGTTCTCCAAATTCGATAAGATGAATAACTCTGAGCTAAAATTTGAAAAGTTTGATCCATTACTCTAAATACTGGAGAAAGTGTCTTTTGGAAAGTGTCTGAGTATGATGTTTTCGATTCCAGGGAGTCTAACAGCTCAGAGGAGCTAAGGTATAAATGATGTTACTGTTTACTGATTTAAAATCATAATTTCATTTTAATTGCTCACCTTATCATAGTTTTCAGGAAAATTTTTAAATTTTGTACAGGCTCAAAACGGTTTTTTTTTCGTATTGACTTTTGATTTCTTATATTCAGTTCGTTTCCTTTGTTATTTTGATAGAAAGGCAAGTTCTACCATCTTACTGCGAAATTGTACAGGTCTTATTAAGTGTGATCGAATGCTAGTTTTGGGTAAAAATTTACTGGATCAATAGGTTAAAAAAATAAGCTATTGATCCAGTTTTCTCAAATTGGGTTAATTTAACCAAAAAAAAGTGTCAATCATAATTTGTTCTAGAAGTTCAAAGAGCTTCAATGCCATCTATTTTTTTCTTTAATATTCGGAAGTTACGATTTTTCAAAAAGCTATTCAGTATTTTTTTTCAATTGCGTTCATTGACTTTTTCCCTCTGTCAGTTGGCTATGTTCTGTGTTTACACTTGCGAAGCAATGTGTCATAGTACGAACTTTCTTTTTTTAACCTAAATCGCAAACATAGTTGCTACTATTATTTTTGCTGCAATATTTACTGCAGCGAATTGGCATGAGAGCTTATTTGTTGCACCTTTACAGCTTATTGATCACATGTGCTTTGACATTCGAATAGTTATAAGTTTACACAGTTGATGCATATTTAATTCATCAAGTGAACCGAAAAACGCTATTCGTTTCAAACAACATAACAATAATAAACTCTCGGTTTCAGAAATTTTCGAACTTTATGTATCCGGCATTTTTTTGAAATGCACAATTTATACATAATGTGGCTTTATGAGTTGCAATTTATTATATGCAAAGTTGTATCTTTTTGTAATTGGTGCTACTTTTGCTGCATCAAATTCGCAGTGTATTAGCATATACGTGCATTGTTGGTGGCTTGTTTGTGGGGATTTTAAAAATCCGTGGCTGAATGGCTAGTGCGTGACTCAAATTTGCTAGGTCGCAGATTTTTGGTAATTCGAGTTTTTGCTAAGCATTGAGTTTTGCAAATTCGTATTTTTTTTTCTTATGTCACTTGATAGAGCTGCTTTTTGGTCGTGTTCTCGCAAGTGTTTGCGAAGCGCAGCTTCGCCTCTGTTTAATTCCCAAAAGTGTCATTAATCATCACACATTTAGAATTAATCGTTGTCAGTGTCAATCGATCAAAATACCATGTACAGCTTCATATCATATTATATCGTTTGACTGTTGAAACAAGATAGTCGGCCAATAGTGTCTAAGGGTTGGCTTGGTTACCAACGCACTTTTCATGTTAGTTATTGATGTTTTTATCGTTAAAAACCGAAATTTTAACTTAAATTAACGTCTACGAAAAGTTAGGAACAGATTTAAGCAGTGCTTTGATGATGCAGAATTGCGTTTCAGGAAGGTGCAGAATCTGAACAAGGAAAAGGAGGCGTCGGAGGAGGAGATTCTGCAGCTGAAGAGCGAACTAAAAGCCCTACAGTGAGTACTAGTTCATTAGCAGTTGCTTACTAAGACCATTTACTGTGAAATGACCAGCATACGAGCTGTTTTGCACTAAGAAGAACCGCTGTTGTGTACCTGCTCGCAGCTAATCTGCTTCAATAAAAGTTTCATTTAAAATAAATTGTCGTCGAAAAATAAATAATCGATGCTGCATACAAAACCGGTGGAATCCTTCATATGCGAAGGATCGAATGCGCGAAAATAAAAATCAGCTTTCAGTGATCTAAAATTTGGAATGAAAACGTGAAAATCTGAAAGAAAGTAAACATTTACAGGGATCTAATATTGATATTGGCCGATTATAAAAACGGCAGAAATATGCAAAATTTTCAAATTGTCATTGATCGCCGCCGGATTGGAACAAATTTTATATTTCAAGGGTTTCGTTATGAAAGATTACTTCATTTAATTCATTTTAATTGAATAGCAATTGATTCTCTTTAAAAGTTTACTTTCGGCTAATTTTGTTTTCGGTCTTTCGCCCACGAGTTTTTCACCCATTTCCAAACACACACACAAAAACCTCTTTTCCGCCCCCTGCCCGCTTTTTACCCCCCAATCCCCCCCCCCACCCCCCAACACACAAAACCCTCTTCAAATTTAACATTTTGACAATCACAGAACAGCAGTAAAATTGTCATTTGAGCAGAAAAGTTTCGAATCAGAGCTAGCTGAAGTTTTGGTATGACACCTGGGTTTCGATCGAGTTCACAAGTCGCGATAGCCATACTCCCATCCGTGTACGTTGTCCAAATATAGTGGCTGATTTCCTGTAGTCACCACGAAAGATCTTCGCTTGTCCTTATATGGAAGAACTTCGATTCCATTCATTACTGCATACTCGCGGATTGATGCCTTGGGTAGCTCGATGTAGGCGGCCAGTCTGTTATCGTCTCCCCCATAGCGAAAGCATTGTCGCTTGATATATCTTGTATGGGCTTCATAGTCAGCGTCAGTAATGCACACGCCTTTCTCGTGAATTCTAAACCAAAATTTTTGGTTATATTTCTCATTACTTATTGAGTATTTTTTTCCATCGTCTTCATCATTATCAAAAAATTTCAATTAATAATACTCAAAACTGCGGAATTGGTTAATATGGAAATTATGGATAATTTGTCAAATTGGAGATCATCTGAAAAAATGTAATTTTCTCTGACGTTATTATGTACAACTTTTGTTACCACTTGCCCTGAAAACTGCTTGTGTTTGCTGTTTGACTTGATGTACCCCGATTCAATGATCTGATCTAAATTTTCCTCAGTTGTGTAGTGGAAGTAACTCCCTTGGCTGGTGAAGTTCTGAAATGTGAATAAAAGTGGTTAATTTGATCTAACGAAAAGGGGTGTTGTTTTGAGAGCTGCTGTTACAACGAAGCTTATCGTGAGTTAAAAGTCCGATAAATGGTGACTGATAACATTGAGACAGTATCAGACAAAGTTCATAAAACTCATCCAAATTTTTGATCTTAATCGAATTCAGTATAAGTTTTTGTGGTTTTTACCGTAAATAAGTAAATCCTGAAACGCTTTGGAATTGTTTCTGTTAGCTGCGAATTTCTTAATTAAAAATTAAGTCGGATCTCTTTTTTACCCCCCTTCCCCTTGGTACCTAGTAACGAAATGCCACCCCTATAAAAAAATTAATTCAACGGTTAAGTACGTGAATTTTGAACCTTATAACGAATCTCCTCTCACCTTTGTAAAAGGGGAGTGGGGGAAATAGTTAAAGAGATCCATAAATTCGTTTTGGATCCTTTGCTTGGGTCAACTTGAACACAGAATTAATGTAAGCGAAGTTGTGTTACTGTTATTATTTTTCTAATTTTACTATATTGTATTCGTCCTCTGGATTTTCTCGAGAGCCTTTGATAACATAGTCTGCCTCTGCAAGATCCAGCGACTGTTTCTTTCCGTCCAGTAAGAACCGATGCAGCTGATTTCCTCCATCCAACACAGTGTAGTTCCACTTGCCGCCATTCGCTTGTGCCTCCACCCACGCCTTGGGAAGTTTAATATATTCATCAAGATCCTCGCCAAACTCATCGAACAACGAATCGTGTAGTTTGTTTGAAAAGGGAGAGATATTGGACAAGTAGATGCCGTACCTAAACAAAATGAAACAAGGATAGCCGGTTACTGAAACAAGGATAGCCGGTTACCGTGCAAGTAGCACAGAATGTTCCGACCATAGTCTTAAAAAATAACAACAGAAAAGTTTTTCAAATTATTGTCGTTTTAAAGAGTAATGAACATAGTGAATACTCTTATATAGGTCTTGGTAATTTTTTGGTTTTTTTTTTCAGGAAAAAGTCTTAGAATGCTCTATTAACTACAGATGTGCATTCATACATACTAATGCATTTATAAATGTATATAAGTATATATGCCTTTTTTAATTCAATAGAAATTTACCTGCTGAAAGTGACGAGAATAGCACTCTCCGAATACAAACCTGGAAATGGCGCGAAAAAACGCAATCCGTTTTTAGCTTCGAAAGTAGAATTTAATTTTTGATTTCAGTTTTCTCAAGTTGGGTTAATGTTATCAAAAAAGCGCCAATCATATTTTGTTCTAGAATTTCAAAGAGCTTAAAGGACTTCTATTTTTTTCTTTGAAGTTTGAAAGTTGAGATTTTTTGGACAAAGTCGGTGTTTTTTTTGTTTACGTGCGTTCATTACTCTTTTCCAACTGTCAGTTGGCTATGTTTTATCGGCTTGGTGTGATAAAAGGAGCTGAAAAAAACAGGGGATGAGGTATATTCGACACTCATGGTAATTTAAGCAAATTGAAAAATAATTTTTGTAGAAAAGTTACTAGAAAATCGAAAAAATATAAAAAGATTTTGATTCCAAGGAGCTAAAATACTCAAAAAAAACTAACGTTACTCGAGAAAAGTGAAGTATTTACGTTATAAATTAAGCTATTGTAAGATTTTTAAGCAATTAAGTACTACAGACTATGAAGACTGGCCTATTAGCACGTGCTTCGATTAGCTCATGCCTGTTTGAAACAATGTAGATAATTGCTCCTAAATATGATTTTTTTTCCTTTGAAATTCGAAAGTTAGTGTTTTTCCCTGCGTTCATTGACGCTTTTCCAATTCTTGTTTGATTTGATCATGGGTACTAGTTTACTTCTTTGGTCCCTCGAAAATGCTGTGGTCCCTAATAAAAATCGTTTACAGTATGTGGCTAATTCTAACAGTAAGCATTTTTATTTCTCTATTTGCTGTTGAAACGGGCATAGTTAGTCTAGCGGGTAAAAATCCGGTTACCAACCGCAAGGCGTATGTTCACAGCCCGCGCTGGCTCTTCTTTTAAGAAAATAGGCGGGACCAATCATCTGAACTAGTTTTGTCATGAGACCAAAGAAGTAAACTAGTACGTGATCATGAATGTTTGATCTTTCACACCATCATGTCGCTGGATTTAGGAAAAGGGGTCTAGGCTAACAAGTCGACAGGACTCCAAGCCGGAGGGATTTCAGGCCGAAATTTAAACTTTACAAGCACCTCAAATCACTATTTTTTGTTCTGTAAAACGTTGCTTTTCAAAAATTTAGGCAAATTTATTCCATAATAAGCGCAAGTCATGACCATGAATGACTTAGGATTGACATCCGTTAATAATATCAGCCGTTTTTTGAAATGCATAATTTATAAACCAGAAAATTGCCTTCAACCGTGTTTTTTTTCAGCTTTCCGTAACATCATTTGGAGGCTTAAATTTTATGAAAACGCCAATAAGTACTGAAGAAAGATCATGAAGTTGAGAAATTCTTTACAAAAAGTTTTCAAATTAATCATGTTTCATGACCTAATTAGAAAATTTTCGGCTCGAAGTCCCCAGTTTTACGATTCGGCTTGAAGTCCCGTCGGCTTGATGCCCGGCACCCTAGGAAAAGACTTGCGCGTCGTAGTAGTCTTCGTCTTCCTCGAGCTCTACACAGTATATCTTCCCACTCTGCTCGATTCGCTCCGCCTCTCCTCCGGGGCAGTAGTAAAACACATGATTGCTCTTGGGCTAAAACACAAACATTGTATTACAGTTTATTAGAGGTTGGCGGTTCAGGATTTTTCAAAAATCGGCTCGGTTCGGTCGGTTATTGCATTTTCGGATCGACTGTTTATTTAATGGAAAAAATTCAAAAAGATGAGCTGCTGCTTTTTTATGATCACTGCAGAAGACGACAACCGTTTTTGATGGGATGTTTAGTAGTACCGTTTGGTATGCTAAAAGATCGGTTACCTATTCCCCGTTATAAACAAAAAATTTTCGAATTAAAATATTTCAAAAAATATTTCCCAGCCACCACACAAACGTTTTAACTCACCATTTTGACTTGTGAAGGGCCGTATTCACGTGAAGTTGTTTCTCTTGTACGTGCGGCTTGAGTTGGACTTTGCAATTGAGTGCTGAGTTGATAACGGGACTTCAAGCCGACTTTCTTTCTATTTTTCTTTCAATTGTTTTCAAAAGCAGACATCCTGATCAGGTGCAGAACATCAGGCCGACGGAAATCCAAGTCGAATTAGAAATTAAACGATTTTGAACTAAAAATAAGTCCCGCAAATCTCACTAGTAAAAACTGTAAGCGCTATCGGTAACTTCTTTATTCGAACGGAAGATTTGTATAGGGGCGTATCGATTAAGTATTGCAAACTAGAGTTCACATATAACGCCTGCTCTCTGAATTTTAACTTTACATTACTATTTAAAGTTCTCTAAATTTGCTATTTAAATTCGCTAAGAAAATTAATTCTTAAAATAGCACTTAAAAATCTAGAATAATTTGATAGAAAATTTTAAACCTCAAAAATTCTTGAGTTTGGCTCTCCAAATTCGATAAGATGAATAACTCTGAGCTAAAATTTGAAAAGTTTGATCCATTACTCTAAATACTGGAGAAAGTGTCTTTTGGAAAGTGTCTGAGTATGATGTTTTCGATTCCAGGGAGTCTAACAGCTCAGAGGAGCTAAGGTATAAATGATGTTACTGTTTACTGATTTAAAATCATAATTTCATTTTAATTGCTCACCTTATCATAGTTTTCAGGAAAATTTTTAAATTTTGTACAGGCTCAAAACGGTTTTTTTTTTTCGTATTGACTTTTGATTTCTTATATACAGTTCGTTTCCTTTGTTATTTTGATAGAAAGGCAAGTTCTACCATCTTACTGCGAAATTGTACAGGTCACATTAAGTGTGATCGAATGCTAGTTTTGGGTAAAAATTTACTGGATCAATAGGTTAAAAAAATAAGCTATTGATCCAGTTTTCTCAAATTGGGTTAATTTAACCAAAAAAAAGTGTCAATCATAATTTGTTCTAGAAGTTCAAAGAGCTTCAATGCCATCTATTTTTTTCTTTAAAATTCGGAAGTTACGATTTTTCAAAAAGCTATTCAGTATTTTTTTTCAATTGCGTTCATTGACTTTTTTCCCTCTGTCAGTTGGCTATGTTCTGTGTTTACACTTGCGAAGCAATGTGTCATAGTACGAACTTTCTTTTTTTAACCTAAATCGCAAACATAGTTGCTACTATTATTTTTGCTGCAATATTTACTGCATCGAATTGGCATGAGAGCTTATTTGTTGCACCTTTACAGCTTATTGATCACATGTGCTTTGACATTCGAATAGTTATAAGTTTACACAGTTGATGCATTTTTAATTCATCAAGTGAACCGAAAAGCGCTATTCGTTTCAAACAACATAACAATAATAAACTCTCGGTTTCAGAAATTTGTATCTTTTTGTAATTGGTGCTACTTTTGCTGCATCAAATTCGCAGTGTATTAGCATATACGTGCATTGTTGGTGGCTTGTTTGTGGGGATTTTAGAATCCGTGGCTGAATGGCTAGTGCGTGACTCAAATTTGCTAGGTCGCAGATTTTTGGTAATTCGAGTTTTTGCTAAGCATTGAGTTTTGCAAATTCGTCTTTTTTTTTCTTATGTCACTTGATAGAGCTGCTTTTTGGTCGTGTTCTCGCAAGTGTTTGCGAAGCGCAGCTTCGCCTCTGTTTAATTCCCAAAAGTGTCATTAATCATCACACATTTAGAATTAATCGTTGTCAGTGTCAATCGATCAAAATACCATGTACAGCTTCATATCATATTATATCGTTTGACTGTTGAAACAAGATAGTCGGCCAATAGTGTCTAAGGGTTGGCTTGGTTACCAACGCACTTTTCATGTTAGTTATTGATGTTTTTATCGTTAAAAACCGAAATTTTAACTTAAATTAACGTCTACGAAAAGTTAGGAACAGATTTAAGCAGTGCTTTGATGATGCAGAATTGCGTTTCAGGAAGGTGCAGAATCTGAACAAGGAAAAGGAGGCTTCGGAGGAGGAGATTCTGCAGCTGAAGAGCGAACTAAAAGCCCTACAGTGAGTACTAGTTCATTAGCAGTTGCTTACTAAGACCATTTACTGTGAAATGACCAGCATACGAGCTGTTTTGCACTAAGAAGAACCGCTGTTGTGTACCTGCTCGCAGCTAATCTGCTTCAATAAAAGTTTCATTTAAAATAAATTGTCGTCGAAAAATAAATAATCGATGCTGCATACAAAACCGGTGGAATCCCTCATATGCGAAGGACCGAATGCGCGAAAATAAAAATCAGCTTTCAGTGATCTAAAATTTGGAATGAAAACGTGAAAATCTGAAAGAAAGTAAACATTTACAGGGATCTAATATTGATATTGGCCGATTATAAAAACAGCAGAAATATGCAAAATTTTCAAATTGTCATTGATCGCCGCCGGATTGGAACAAATTTTATATTTCAAGGGTTTCGTTATGAAAGATTACTTCATTTAATTCATTTTAATTGAATAGCAATTGATTCTCTTTAAAAGTTTACTTTCGGCTAATTTTGTTTTCGGTCTTTCGCCCACGAGTTTTTCACCCATTTCCAAACACACACACAAAAACCTCTTTTCCGCCCCCTGCCCGCTTTTTACCCCCCCCCCACCCCCCAACACACAAAACCCTCTTCAAGTTTAACATTTTGACAATCACAGAACAGCAGTAAAATTGTCATTTGAGCAGAAAAGTTTCGAATCAGAGCTAGCTGAAGTTTTGGTATGACACCTGGGTTTCGATCGAGTTCACAAGTCGCGATAGCCATACTCCCATCCGTGTACGTTGTCCAAATATAGTGGCTGATTTCCTGTAGTCACCACGAAAGATCTTCGCTTGTCCTTATATGGAAGAACTTCGATTCCATTCATTACTGCATACTCGCGGATTGATGCCTTGGGTAGCTCGATGTAGGCGACCAGTCTGTTATCGTTTCCTCCAGAGCGAAAGCATTGTCGCTTGATATAGTTTGTATGGGCATCATAGTTAGCGTCAGTAATGCACACGCCTTTCTCGTGAATTCTAAACCAAAATTTATTCGGTTATATTTCTCATTACTTATTGGGTAATTTTTTTCCATCGTCTTCATCATTATCAAAAAATTTCAATTAATAATACTCAAAACTGCGGAATTGGTTAACATGGAAATTATGGATAATTTGTCAAATTGGAGATCATCTGAAAAAATGTAATTTTCTCTGACGTTATTATGTACAACTTTTGTTACCACTTGCCCTGAAAACTGCTTGTGTTTGCTGTTTGACTTGATGTACCCCGATTCAATGATCTGATCTAAATTTTCCTCAGTTGTGTAGTGGAAGTAACTCCCTTGGCTGGTGAAGTTCTGAAATGTGAATAAAAGTGGTTAATTTGATCTAACGAAAAGGGGTGTTGTTTTGAGAGCTGCTGTTACAACGAAGCTTATCGTGAGTTAAAAGTCCGATAAATGGTGACTGATAACATTGAGACAGTATCAGACAAAGTTCATAAAACTCATCCAAATTTTTGATCTTAATCGAATTCAGTATAAGTTTTTGTGGTTTTTACCGTAAATAAGTAAATCCTGAAACGCTTTGGAATTGTTTCTGTTAGCTGCGAATTTCTTAATTAAAAATTAAGTCGGATCTCTTTTTTACCCCCCTTCCCCTTGGTACCTAGTAACGAAATGCCACCCCTATAAAAAAATTAATTCAACGGTTAAGTACGTGAATTTTGAACCTTATAACGAATCTCCTCTCACCTTTGTAAAAGGGGAGTGGGGGAAATAGTTAAAGAGATCCATAAATTCGTTTTGGATCCTTTGCTTGGGTCAACTTGAACACAGAATTAATGTAAGCGAAGTTGTGTTACTGTTATTATTTTTCTAATTTTACTATATTGTATTCGTCCTCTGGATTTTCTCGAGAGCCTTTGATAACATAGTCTGCCTCTGCAAGATCCAGCGACTGTTTCTTTCCGTCCAGTAAGAACCGATGCAGCTGATTTCCTCCATCCAACACAGTGTAGTTCCACTTGCCGCCATTCGCTTGTGCCTCCACCCACGCCTTGGGAAGTTTAATATATTCATCAAGATCCTCGCCAAACTCATCGAACAACGAATCGTGTAGTTTGTTTGAAAAGGGAGAGATATTGGACAAGTAGATGCCGTACCTAAACAAAATGAAACAAGGATAGCCGGTTACTGAAACAAGGATAGCCGGTTACCGTGCAAGTAGCACAGAATGTTCCGACCATAGTCTTAAAAAATAACAACAGAAAAGTTTTTCAAATTATTGTCGTTTTAAAGAGTAATGAACATAGTGAATACTCTTATATAGGTCTTGGTAATTTTTTGGTTTTTTTTTTCAGGAAAAAGTCTTAGAATGCTCTATTAACTACAGATGTGCATTCATACATACTAATGCATTTATAAATGTATATAAGTATATATGCCTTTTTTAATTCAATAGAAATTTACCTGCTGAAAGTGACGAGAATAGCACTCTCCGAATACAAACCTGGAAATGGCGCGAAAAAACGCAATCCGTTTTTAGCTTCGAAAGTAGAATTTAATTTTTGATTTCAGTTTTCTCAAGTTGGGTTAATGTTATCAAAAAAGCGCCAATCATATTTTGTTCTAGAATTTCAAAGAGCTTAAAGGACTTCTATTTTTTTCTTTGAAGTTTGAAAGTTGAGATTTTTTGGACAAAGTCGGTGTTTTTTTTGTTTACGTGCGTTCATTACTCTTTTCCAACTGTCAGTTGGCTATGTTTTATCGGCTTGGTGTGATAAAAGGAGCTGAAAAAAACAGGGGATGAGGTATATTCGACACTCATGGTAATTTAAGCAAATTGAAAAATAATTTTTGTAGAAAAGTTACTAGAAAATCGAAAAAATATAAAAAGATTTTGATTCCAAGGAGCTAAAATACTCAAAAAAAACTAACGTTACTCGAGAAAAACGAAGTATTTACGTTATAAATTAAGCTATTGTAAGATTTTTAAGCAATTAAGTACTACAGACTATGAAGACTGGCCTATTAGCACGTGCTTCGATTAGCTCATGCCTGTTTGAAACAATGTAGATAATTGCTCCTAAATATGATTTTTTTTCCTTTGAAATTCGAAAGTTAGTGTTTTTCCCTGCGTTCATTGACGCTTTTCCAATTCTTGTTTGATTTGATCATGGGTACTAGTTTACTTCTTTGGTCCCTCGAAAATGCTGTGGTCCCTAATAAAAATCGTTTACAGTATGTGGCTAATTCTAACAGTAAGCATTTTTATTTCTCTATTTGCTGTTGAAACGGGCATAGTTAGTCTAGCGGGTAAAAATCCGGTTACCAACCGCAAGGCGTATGTTCACAGCCCGTGCTGGCTCTTCTTTTAAGAAAATAGGCGGGACCAATCATCTGAACTAGTTTTGTCATGAGACCAAAGAAGTAAACTAGTACGTGATCATGAATGTTTGATCTTTCACACCATCATGTCGCTGGATTTAGGAAAAGGGGTCTAGGCTAACAAGTCGACAGGACTCCAAGCCGGAGGGATTTCAGGCCGAAATTTAAACTTTACAAGCACCTCAAATCACTATTTTTTGTTCTGTAAAACGTTGCTTTTCAAAAATTTAGGCAAATTTATTCCATAATAAGCGCAAGTCATGACCATGAATGACTTAGGATTGACATCCGTTAATAATATCAGCCGTTTTTTGAAATGCATAATTTATAAACCAGAAAATTGCCTTCAACCGTGTTTTTTTTTCAGCTTTCCGTAACATCATTTGGAGGCTTAAATTTTATGAAAACGCCAATAAGTACTGAAGAAAGATCATGAAGTTGAGAAATTCTTTACAAAAAGTTTTCAAATTAATCATGTTTCATGACCTAATTAGAAAATTTTCGGCTCGAAGTCCCCAGTTTTACGATTCGGCTTGAAGTCCCGTCGGCTTGATGCCCGGCACCCTAGGAAAAGACTTACGCGTCGTAGTAGTCTTCGTCTTCCTCGAGCTCTACACAGTATATCTTCCCACTCTGCTCGATTCGCTCCGCCTCTCCTCCGGGGCAGTAGTAAAACACATGATTGCTCTTGGGCTAAAACACAAACATTGTATTACAGTTTATTAGAGGTTGGCGGTTCAGGATTTTTCAAAAATCGGCTCGGTTCGGTCGGTTATTGCATTTTCGGATCGACTGTTTATTTAATGGAAAAAATTCAAAAAGATGAGCTGCTGCTTTTTTATGATCACTGCAGAAGACGACAACCGTTTTTGATGGGATGTTTAGTAGTACCGTTTGGTATGCTAAAAGATCGGTTACCTATTCCCCGTTATAAACAAAAAATTTTCGAATTAAAATATTTCAAAAAATATTTCCCAGCCACCACACAAACGTTTTAACTCACCATTTTGACTTGTGAAGGGCCGTATTCACGTGAAGTTGTTTCTCTTGTACGTGCGGCTTGAGTTGGACTTTGCAATTGAGTGCTGAGTTGATAACGGGACTTCAAGCCGACTTTCTTTCTATTTTTCTTTCAATTGTTTTCAAAAGCAGACATCCTGATCAGGTGCAGAACATCAGGCCGACGGGAATCCAAGTCGAATTAGAAATTAAACGATTTTGAACTAAAAATAAGTCCCGCAAATCTCACTAGTTTGAATATTCGGAATATTTACTCAATTTAATTGATTTAATATACATTTCATTGCCCACCTTTTTTCTGAAGTCCAGCTTTTTTTGAAGTCCACCTTTTTTCTGGACTTCAGAAAAAAGGTGGGCAATGAAATGTATATTAAATCAATTAAATTGAGTAAATATTCCGAATATTCAAACTAGTGAGATTTGCGGGACTTATTTTTAGTTCAAAATCGTTTAATTTCTAATTGGACTTGGATTCCCGTCGGCCTGATGTTCTGCACCTGATCAGGATGTCTGCTTTTGAAAACAGTTGAAAGAAAAATAAAAAAATACAATGCGCGCACTCAGGCTGCGTATGGTGTAATTTCAATATAACCAACTGTTTCAATTTCTGAGAAATACTATTTGGCTGCTCGCTGCTGAAATAAAATGTGTGGTGGCTGGGTAAATAAGACGACAGGACATTAAGACGACAAATGAGAGATGAAACATGTAAAAAAAATGCGTCTTTTTATATCCCATCAAAAGTAAATTTATAATTTATCAACTAATTGGCTTTTTGTTCTCTAAATATGATGAGGAAGACCTGTGGCATCTTGCTAACTACCCCCCCCCCCTATGTTACCTCCTTATACAGAATATCCCCTCCCCACTATAAAGAAATAATTAAACAATGAGGCTTATACGAATAGGGGGGCTGGGGGGGATAGTTAACAAGATCCGACGTGTATGCGTAGTTGTCGTCTTGACATCTGTCATCTTTTTTCCCGGACACTGTGTGGTGATACAATAATCATAATAGAACTAACCGAAGTATGAACCAGCTACCATGTAAAAAAGTACCAATTGGTACAAGTATGATAGTTGGGCTCCTGAAACAGCAAGTATGAAAGATGTGTCCCGCAATTGTTGCGAAAACTTCCAAAATACAAAAACTGCAGTTTTCGAAAATTTTAATGCCTGAAAACAAGTAATCCAGGTTTTCGAAGATTTGAAGTCCTGAAAATTTTCGTTCAGGAACCCATATAACTTCATGGTACCCAAATATCATACTTGTATCTAACAATTAACAGCCAATTTTTGTAAGAAGGCCGTAATTTTTGTCTGATTTATTTATTCTCTCAACTGGTTTATTAAACTGTCTATAAGCGATTTTTCCCAGTAGTTTTAACTGAGTGTGTGTGCTCAGATAAGGATAATGAAAAAAAGTGAGTCGTTTTGCATGTGTGCAAATTTACTTCAACACTATGTCGACACCTACAGTTTATTTTCATTTTTTTTCCTGCTGTTCAGTTAGAAAATATTATAAATAATGCATTGTCCAAAAGTATAGGCACGAAATATTAAGACGACAACAGTTTTTAAAAGTGTATCCATTTTATTTAAATATTATGTCTTCAGCTGCAATAACCCATCCGTACATAAAAAGTGAACATCAAATGTCTGCCGACGGGACTTCGGTTAAGCCCGAAATTCTAACTTTACAAGGACCTCAAATCGCCGTTTTTCATCTGTAAAACGTTGCTTTTCAAAAAATTAGGCAAGTTTTAGTCCATAATAAGCTATATTCATGACAATGAATCACTTGGCATTGGCATCCGTTAATAATATCAGCCGGTTTTTGAAATGCATAACTTATAACAAGAAAACTGCCATGAACCTTCCTAAACATCAACTTTCGGCCCTTTTCCACATTCCCCCTCATTTCAAGTTTTCTATTTTTTCAATCGTCTAACGTGTTATTATGTCTAAACGCGTGATGTTACGAAGTAAGGTATGAAGAACAAATGTGTTTAAGAGTAATGAACGCATTGAAGACTCTTATTTAGGTCTTGCTATTTTTTTTGTTTCAGGAAAAGTCTTAAAATTTGTTAATGCTCAATTTTGAATTTTCTCGGTTTGACTTGTGATTTCTTTTTAACTTCAGTGCATTTCTATTGTTAAAAGGAAGGCAAACTCCACTATTGAACAGCAAAATTGTAAAAGTCACGAAAAACGTGATCGGCTTCTAATTTTGAAAATGGAAATTAATTACCAGATTTCCCAGCGAAATGAAAGTTTTACCTATTGATCCAGTTTTCTCAAACTGGGTTAATTTTAACAAAAAAGTGTCCATCATAAATTGTTCTACTACGAATTCAAAGAGCTTGAAGGCCATCTAATTTTTTATTCGAAATTTAGTAGTTGAAGATTTTCGAAAAAAAACAGTCGATTTTTTTTGAGTTTCCTTGCGTTCGTTACTCTTTTCCAAACTTAGTAAACTTAGTCCAGACAACGTAAAATTAGTTTTCCAAAGCTGAAATTCAAATGATGGTATGGTAAGTGGAAAAGAGCTCAACGTTCCCAAATACATTTGGAGGCTTAATTTTTATGAAAACGCCAAAACCTATTGAAGAAAGATCATGAAATAAGCTCACTTTATGACTTAATGAAAATTTTTCGCTTTGAAGTCCCTAATTTTACGATTCATCTTGATGTCCCGTCGGTTTGATGTCCGGCACCCGTCTGCGTCGACGGTTTGAGAAAATTATATTTCCAAATTAAGAATTTTTTTTTTCGTTTACGTAGCAAAAAGTGGATAGGCCATAAAGCAGATAGTTAATAGGATCAAGTTAACATCCTCACCCCTCCTAATTGACCAAGTTAAGATCCTCCATCACAGCGTTCATTTCAAATAAGGTGTGCTAAGTTCTCTTTGTAAAATGCTCAGTTCTGATTGGCTGAAGTTCGAACTAAGAACCAAGTTAACATTCTTCGCTAAACGGCTTGGGGGCTGGGATGGTTGAGGTGAGCAGAAGTGGATTTAGGGAGGGGGGATGGGCGGAGTCCCCTCCCTTAGGATTGGACCTCCCGATGAACGAAAAGGTCCGCACTTAGGTACTAATTTAAGACCACAATTTTTGGCTGGCTGACCCTAAAATTTTTCTAAAGGCTTATTTGGCGCCAACATATATTTATTTTGAGGAGGATGTTATTTCGGTCCGAATACTATATTGACCCATTAGAATCAAGACAAGAAAACAAAAGCTAATAAATAACAAAACAAATAGATAATTAGGCCTGGAGTTAGATTCTAGTCGGGACCTGTTCTTTTTTCAACTATTTTAGACTATCGTCTGTCTGCTTATTTCGTCGACCTAGTTTCCACAGAAAGGAAGTTTTAGAGTCGATGAATGTACTGGAGAGATTTATCTAGTTCGTGATGATTTTTTCAGGAAAATCTAAAACTTGATTTTTCGCGGTTTGGCTCTTGGTTTCTTTGCAAGTTCTGTGCATTTCCATCAGATTTTGCAGGTGAATAAACTCCTATTATCCAGTATAAAAAAAGATCAAAACTCCGAGCATGATTTGAAAACCGCTTGCATTCAAAAAGTTTCCTTCGTATTCCTTTCCAAAAAATTCCCTTTTTTTGGGCGGTTTGACATACAATTTCTTAGAAAATTCACGGTCTTATTCGCCCAACAGCTAGATTGAAATACGCAATTGGCCCAAAATGTGCGATTGGTGCAACAGTGGATTTGACTTTTTTAAGTTTTCCAAAATTTTTTGTTTCAAATTAATAACATACCAATTCATCTAATTTTCTCATATTTACAAAAAACTGTCTGTTGGCTATGTTTATTCGACATCCCTTAAACAATGATGTCGGAGTTTCCACGAAAAAATCTTTCAAAGATACGTCGACCACCTGTTTGTATACGGCAATCAAGTTTCTCCCCAATCACTAAAATTTTCACGCAGCACGCAACAAGAAAATTTGTCAAAATGGCTCTATGTTGAACTGAAAAGGTTAGATCTAAAACGTTGTAAGTAAAGTCTAAGTTTTTCGACTTTCGTGGAATAAATGGATCATGGGGGTGGGGGGGATTCTTTACAAGGTACCATAGTGGGGGGAATAGTTAACATGATCCGAATAAATTTGTCTTCCAATTGAAGAAAACCGTTAAAAACATAGGAACAAATTGCTGTACTGGTACTGTACCGTGATATAAAGTAACCTGATAAAAGTTATTTGGCTACTGCAATGAACATCGCCATCACCAACCTAAATTGAGCTTTAAGTCTTTAAAATAACGAACTTCTGGATTTAAATATGCTTAAAGTTTTCATTTGACTTGAAAGTTTTTCAAAGGCATTCTAATGCTCTGCAAGAACAGACTAACCTGAAGTACGAAGATATATTGAGTTCTGTTTCTTTGATGAATAATTATTACACTGGCTTGCTGCGACGAGACAATTCTAACCTCATCTGTTTATTCGAAGTAAACATCTAAACTGAACTACTCGTATTAAGATCGTTTTGATATTATTCTATACAAGTTATCAAAGTTGTTAGGTTTCTGAGGGTTTGATGGAAGGAATTATAAATGATTCGTCTGTAAGGTGACGGAGAGATTTTGCTCGTTGGGTTTTTCTACAGACAGATTCTACTTTTCAACTAACAATTTCTGACAGAATTTGTATACCGTGTGAACGAAATTGACGCCTTGACCTCAAATAGCTTAATTTTGTCGCGACGTTTTTTTTAGTAATGGGCGTATGAATCTTGCCAGTTTGGGTTAATTCATTAGTAAGAATTGTCATTTTTAAATTAACGCAAAAGTGGCTGCGTGCTCGTGCGTGTAAGGAGTGCGTGCCGGAAAAACACAATTTGGTGCTCAAAAACTTCCATAAAGGTTCAAAAACCGCTTTTTTGGTGATGTGTCTCAAAAAATTTCCGGAGGCGCGAAGTAATTTCATGCATTAGGAGTCTCCTTCACAGTTTTGGGAGAATTCGGAACCCCCCATTCTAAGTGGAAGAGCGCCGAAAAAACGCAATATTTTGGTCAAAACATTCCAAAGGGTCCCCCAAAACTGCCTTTTGACCTGTTTTACAAAAATTCGCCTGCGGGGCATAATTTTTATCCACATAGGGTCTCTATGGTGTTTTAAGAGAGCTTCGAAACTCAATTGGGTCGACCAAAACAAAAAATATATATATATTTTTTTTTGCGTTTTTTTGAAATTCCGCGCACTTCGTTCGAGAAAAACGTAGATCCAACTTAGCACATACTGCACTAAGTGAAGGCTCAACCTATATTCTATAATTTTTTGAATATTAATCCGATTTAATAATTTTTCAAGATCAGACTCAATCTTTCTGCTTTTGGCCTGGATATTAAAAACAAGTATATCGCCATATAGGCAGACTGGTTGTTTTGTTTGTTTTCTATCATTAAAGGCTACTGCATACACGTTAAACTGCAGTCGGGACATTGAGGATTTTGCCCTGATACTTGCGTCTTCTAGTCTCAAGTTTTTGTTATTTTCAATGATGCTTTTTTCCAATGATCAATTAAGGAACCGAAAATAGCAATCGTTAATGATTACTCATACAGGTAAAATCTAATTGGGAAATCTTCAAATAGTTTTTATCAGCATTTCCACTGATTAAGTGTCAAAGGAGAAGACACTTATGGAAAATTCTAATCGGATTATTTTCATGAAAAAATATCAATGAATCCCTATTTTAAGTCGTCCTTCAAAAGCAAAGTGGGTTGTTTACTTAAGCTTTTCATGTTGACTAGGTTTTCTTCTTTTTTAAAGTGATTGCAACAAAAATATCATTTTGTTGGGTTATGTGTAGACAGCAACTGGAGCAGGAGATGGAGAACAGACAGTTGAATGAGCAGTTGTTGAGTCAGAGGGCGACCCAGCTGGGCAAAGTGGAGAGGGAGTTGACGAGGGAGGTGGGGGAGAGAGAGGAGGCCCAGAGGCAGGTCAGACAGCTGCAGATGCAACTCAACGAGGCACACTCCAAACTCAAGAGTGTAAGTGAATGGATCATACCCTAAGCTGCACTTATTTACATAATCCAACCGTAATTGCGTGCACAGCCTTCTAAAGCCACTAATACTGAATACAAATGAGGTTTTGAGGGGAGGGGGGGGCAAGGAAAAAGAGCCATGTGCTTTTAAACATACAACCGAGGTCTAAAAGATGAAATAGGCAAGTAATGATGCAAACGTTTTTGATCCAGTCTGAACACTTTATTCGCTATAACATTGAAGCCTAAACTCTTCCTGAAATAGTGGGCAGATTTTCAGTCGAAGTTTCATTTCAGTGATAGTTCATATCCATTCAAATTTTTGCCAAGTCTGAAAAAAGCTTTCTTTTTGAATAGAGAACATTTTTAGTCTTTTAATGTTTTATCTAAAGAACCCCTACTTAACCATCAACACTGAACCCTCTATATGATTAATATTGTTTTGGATCTCCGTTTAGGCGGAGCACCTGTCCACTTTGAACTCCCCTCGTGCAGTGTCTAGGAACGAGAGTCTCCACTCACATCACAACAGGTAGGCTGAATATTCAGTGATTTGGCAAAATTAAGGTTACTTAATGGAATTAAGAGAATGTTGTTTTCGAGTCTTACCTACATGTTGCAATTTCAATAATTATGCGCAGATTTTTATGCTGTACATAATACAATCGATTTTGAGATCCTCAGATGATTTGTAGGGCAATAAAAATAGGGTTCATTAATATGATTTCATTTTGTTAATAGTAATCATAAAGCTAGTAGGAATTCATGCTAGGACTGCTTTTTTCTCCCGCTTTTTTGGTACATGAATGGAATTTTTGTTTCATCAATAGTCGCATAATTTTATAAATTGGAGACACCGTAAGTTTTAGCGGGTCTCCTTTTCTGTTCCCCTATGGTGCCTTGTAACGAAAACGAATACCCACCCCTCTAAAGGACTAAATATAAATGAGTTCATACTTGGTAAAATATATTGATATTTTGTAATAAGGATAAGTAGTAAAATATATACAGTCCGTTTTAACTCATAAGTGTTCAGCAGGGCAGACCAGAGTCGGGCGAGTGGGACTGGGAAGGATCTGATGGGCACAGACGACACCAGTCTAGCCCACCAGCTGGAGGAGAACTTGGCCGAACAGAACAGCCTACACGAGCAGGTGCTTCTACCTTGCTTCTGTTTAATATTTGTACAAGAAAAGTTTTGTATATTTTAAACTTTTTCTTTATTCTGTTGTATAAGAGTCGATGAATGAAGTAAAGACTCTTATATACGTCGTGATGATTTTTTTCTTTTTGTTCAGGAAAAATCTTAAAATTAGTTTACGCTCAGATTTGATTTTTCGCGGTTTGACTTTTAATTTTTTATTGGAAACTATTGAACAGCAAAAACGCGATCGACTTCTAAGTTTGAAAGAGGATTTTGTGAGATTTCCCGGAGGAATAAAAAGAGTACCTATCAATCCAGTTTTCTCAAAATTAAATAATTATTAACCTTGCGATTAGCAAGGGTATTGCAATCGGATACTAGACTTTTTCCAGTAAACAAAAAAAAACTGTGTATCAAAAAAAACTGTCAATCATAAATTGTTCTAGAAATTCGACGAGCTTCAAGGCCATATATAAATTCGAAAATTGAAGATTTTTTGTTTCTTTGTATTGATTTACTCTGTTCCTGTTGGCTATTGTTTTTCAGTAGGCCTTGAACTCCGTTTCACGCATATAGTTTTCGCGCATGTGATGCAGTGTGGCCATTTGGTCACCTGTAATGAAGCGGTCCACAAATGAATTTTTTTTTGCTTGATTTTTCTTGATTTTTTAAAATTCAAATTATGATTGTGGCCGGAACTTTCTGAGCTACATGCACAGCAGCCGGCTATCTTTGTGTTGAATTTGCTTTGTAATGTGTGTTGGTGTTGCAGATAGATGAGTTGACAAACAAGAATGTGCAGTTGAGTCACCAGTTGGAGGAGAGGAGTAGGGAGAAGGCGGAGATGGAGAATGGACTGCACAGACTGAAGGGAGACATGCAGAGGCTGCAGGAGGAGAAGGCAAAACTAATGGAGTGAGTCATGCACACAACTCAACTTAATTTTTTTTGTAGGGGGCTAATTGCGCGAACATATTGGATTCAAAGGACGCCGCCCTCCAATGATGCATCCGACTCCTGACTGGCAGCATGCTAATGGCGTCAAGCCATCTTTGCATCCATGCCTCCCTCTCAAATTGGCCAGGAAATGCTCAGAAGTAGTTTAAGTTGTTGACACTATTTTCTGGGCTATGTTTTAGTGATTTGGCAGCTGAGAAGGCGGACAGGAAAGAGTTGAGTGCGAAGTTTGAGTCGGAGAGACAGAACAGTGCAGACAAACTCATAGCTCAGGACAAGGTCAGTAAAGGTCATCTGATATGTAATAGAGAATAGTCTGCCATTTAAAAAACATAAGTCAAGGTCAAGTTAATTGATCCAAATAATTGTCTCATTGGTCGAAAGTACGCAAAGGAAGTGATTCAAATGGTATCTGTTTTATATAAGTTGCCTCTATCTACTCTTTCCTATGTACAATGTTCCCTAGGAATTTCATAGGGTAGAGTAGCACAGGGTATGTTTGAATAGAGCCGAATGACATGGGATCATTTAAAGTATGGTGTTTCTTTGTGAATTGAAATCTTACTCAAGCGTCCAGTATAAAAGATCATTGCTTGAGCGTCTTTCATTGTGTAGCTGGAGTCTTTGCGTGAGGATCTGGCAGCCAAGACTCAGGTGGTGCAGAGACTGGAGTCAGAAGTGGAGGCAAAGAGGGACCAGATTGAGGAGTTGAGAACCCAACTACACAACACGCAAATGGACAACACCCGCATCACAGCTGAGCTCACCCACATACAACAGTGAGTCCCTGTAACATTCATGGTATCCTCTTAATGGTGGTATAGCAGCCAGTCGAAGTTATGAATCCCCCACCATATAAACCTACCGAAAGTAGCCAGGAGCTATATAAAAGTTTTCGGTTCGTTTGTAGTTCGTCTGGTGTATTCCAGTCGCCATTACAAAGATAGGATAGAAAAGTCTAATGAATTAGCTTCAATGATAAATGCGTTGTCTTGCCAAATAAAGCTGCTGCGAAAAAAATCTTTGATTTTGTTTTTGCTGTCAAAATACTGTATTTGAAGTTATGTTTTCAGAGTTGATGACCCAGAGAATGAAAAGTATGAATCACCTTATTGAAGATTCGCAAAAATTTGTGTTCGAGAAATTTATTATAATTTGGGAAAATTCTCACGATTGTGCATTAAGCATGTTTTTAGCACTAAAGCATTTTCAACTCTTTTTTACAGTCAACAGTGTTTTTTTTTTCAGGCAGATTAACTCGGAAAAAGAGAAACACGAGGAAACTATTGGGACGCTGAAGAAGGAAAAAGAAGAGGTAAATGTGAACAATTAATCGAATTGATCCAAGGCCGCCGAGGTTTTTTGTCTATAAACTAGCTTATGCCCTCATTAGTCCGCCCCATTTTCTCATTTTGTCTTTTTTTTTCAAATTGCTTCACAAAAATTGTTCATTTTTTCAGTTCATTAGTATTTTGTTAACTGTCTGTTCTGTTCGCGAGAGCGTTCAAATTATTGTGTTTTCGACCAAATTGCGCTTCGAATGGTGTTATTTTTGTAGTGGTATTTGGTGTTATTCTCAAGGCTTCAATTAATTCGGCCACATCTGATGCAAGTTTATGCGGTTTATTTCGGTTATCGATTTTCATGACCGAGAGTCTTGGTTTAAGTGTTCTAATTAGTCGTCTATGGGTGCAAATATTAGTTTTATATTGTTATTTTTACAATATAACATATTTTTTTTCGCTCTAAATGCCTGTGCTTGATCACATCGAACGTTTCGCGCGACCCCGTGGTTGAGAATGTGTGTTTGCATAAACCGAATTATTGTGTCCGCCATATTATTTGTTACTACTTTGGCCGATGGGAAACGTGAAAATTGATCGATCCCTACCAGTATGTAGACATCCTTTTCATTTCGTCTGGCAGCGGCCCCGCGAAATCTAATTGGATTTCTTCGTTAGGTTCTACCACCGCGTCTGGCGCCGTAAAATGATGTTTTCCTGAGATGACCTTTAAGTTTTTACCTTTTTGTCGGCACTCTTTGCAATTTTGTGTCGTGGCCACGATCCTGATGCAGGTACGGATAACACACGTTTTTGGCTGCTTCGAGCGTTCCGCCTTGGCCCGGGTGTGTGAGATAGAGCGAGTCCACAAGGATTTGTCTCAGCTGCTTCGGTATGACTGCTCTGACATCGTACAGTAGTATACCATCTCTAACTGACAGTCTGTGTCGCACATTGTAGAAGTACGGTCCGTAACATGACTTCAATGTTTCCCACTTCTGTCCTCTCACCATGTTCAGCAAGGGATTTAGCGATCTATCCTTTTTCGTGGTGGCTGCTATAAAGGAACTATCAAATACGTTCCTAAGTTGGCGCCTATACATTGGGATGTCCTCCTCCTCGGACAGTGTTGTGGCCAGACAGGTTTGTGGCGTGGTCTCCTCCTCCGCTTGGGTTGTTTGGCAGGCTTGATCCTTGGGCAAACGTTTGAATGTGAAACTGTCTTCCGATGGTATGACCTGATGGGAAGTACTGCTGAACGTTAAGTCCTTATGTAGTCCTTTGAACGTGTCGAAGGATGAAATGTTCTTAGGATGGAATGAGATTGTTGATTGGGTTCCGTTGTAATACTTTCGTAGAATGCGTTTAAATGGTGGTAATGACATACCGGACGCAGTGTTTAGTTGCCTGTCCATAGTGTAATTGGATTCGTTTATGTTTAATATCTGTTCAGAATCGGAAATAACTTTTTGGAATTTGTATGATGTTGAATACGACTGAATTTTGGCAATTGACTATTCACAGTGAACGTATACTGCATTGAATGCGAATTTGAAGCAAGACCGTTCTCGTTCCGGTTGAGCTTTTGCGTGCCTAGAAATCCGTTTGGGTTTGAGTTCATTTCTAAATTTGCGTTTGCGCTATCTTGGAATTCGAGACATGCTATGAAATCGTCAATAAGGGCGACCACAAAATGTTCATCCCAGTACGCGGGCGGTTGAGGTTTTCCTACTGGGTGCCTTGATGTATAATCGATTAGCCCCATTTTACTACCCGCAAGGTGTTTTATATCAAAGTCAAATGGCAGTAACCGGTCTATCCATCTGGTTAGTCTGCTTTGATAAATTTTATGATTTTTATCGCATTGTAGTGCACTAATAAGGGCTTGGTGGTCGGTGATTAGGGTGAATCTTCTACCGAATAGGTAGTACTTAGAATGCTCTATTGCCCAAACTGCGGCTAGCAGTTCTAATTCATTGACTGAGTGTTTATTTTCGCATGCATTAAGAAAGCGTGAGGCATAAGGAATTGTTGCCCAGCCATCCGGCGTTTCCTGTTCCAACGCACATCCGATACCATCACGGCTAGCGTCGCAGACCACACGTGTTTCCCGCCCACTTACAAAATGACGATTTTTTGTTATATTATGAACTGCTTCTAATATGTTTTTAAAAGCTTTTCCATGAGTCTCGTCCCATGTAAAATGGATTTTGTTTTCGATAGATAGCAATGGGCGGAGCGGTGTGCACAATTGTGCTAGTTTGGGAAAAAATTTATTTAGGTGGTATATTGACCCCATAAAACTTTGAGCTGTTTGAACGTTTTCGGGTGACGTAGTTGTAAAATAGCTTCTGTTTTCTTTTGCATTGGAATTGTTCCATATTCATTTATGACATAACCCAACCATTCGACCTGTTTACAACCGAAATTACTCTTGTCGAGCGATATTGCCATGTTCTCAGCATCCAGTTTGTCTAAAATTCTTTTAAGTTTATTCATATGATCTTCTTTTGTACCGTGGGATATAATCAATATATCATCCAGGAAGGCAAATGTATCTTTTTCATTGTTTAGAGTAAGGTCAATTGCTTTCTGGAACTCGGCAGAAATATCAGTAAGGGCGTAAAAACCTGTTTGGAACTGATACGTTCCAGTCGCTTGTCGTTCCAGTTTGCCCCCAATGATGCTAAAATTACATTGTTTTCGAGTATTCTCGCTGAGTTTTAGTTGACTGTGCGCGTACCTAAGGTCAATTGTTGAGAACAGTGTAGTGCCCGGTTTGTTGTGACCTTCCTGTGCTGATTGAGCGACGTTATCAAGGAGTACGTCTATATTTGGCATCTGATACTTGTTCTTGTGTATCATTTTATTAATCTGTTTGGAATCCATCGCTAGTTTTATTGATTGATCTTTCTTCACTGTGATTACTATCGGGCTTATAAACTGCTGGTCACTACATTTTTCAAGTTTTACAATAGAGCCTTGGTCTGTGAGGGATCTGATTTCTTGCTCCACCTTCTCTTGAATATGTATTGGGATCCTTCGGCCCTTTTGTTGCAACGCTTTAAATTCCTGGAGAAATGTTGTGTGAACTATTTGGTTCCGTGCTCTTCCAATTCGTGTACATAACCCCGGATATGTGGATTTTACCCAGTTGGGTATTTTTGCATCTGAACAATTCAAGTCATCTGATATAGCATGAACTGACTTACCAGCTGGTTGCTGTTGTAGTTGAACTCCAATCAAGGGTAGAAGGTTTCTTCCCAATATATTTGCGCGTCTGTCGTCTACGATTAGGGATGTTGTTTTGATCGTCCATCCACCTGATTCGATGGGTGCGATGATTCGTCCAAACGATGGGATTTTATATCCATTGTAGCAAACCATCGTCGTTTTCGTCTGTTTTTATCCGTTTGGCTGATTTAACTGTCGTCATTATCTGATTTGCAGTCTTTTGGTTTATAAACGACGTGGGTGAGCCTGTGTCCGCAATGAACTACAGGTTGTTTTTCCACACCTAACTCGCACTAATTGGCCCTTCAGATCTGTTTCTTCTAATTGTCCAACTGTTTTTTTTTCGAATCGGATTGTATTCGTTGTCGAATCGTCCGGGTGGATTAGCTCCCAGCCGGGAATGAGATCACCGGCTTGCATGTAATTAACGTATGCTGCTACATCCGTGTCCTGCGATAATGATTCGACTGTCTGTTCATCGTGAATTGCGTTTAGGTCAGATGATTTGCATAATTGTGCGTAGTGTCCACGTTTGTTGCATTTAATACAAATTTTGTCCCTGGCCGGGCTTTTTTGGAGGTGCCCTATGCCGAAAGTATTACCACATTTAAAGCATTGTGACTTTTGGTCTGTTGTTTGTCGTCGGAGTTCCCCCTTTGTTGTTGTTGCGGATATCGTCCGCGGCCCCCCTTGTTGGATAACGATTATTGTTGTTACCTCTTTTTTTGAATGAAACCAACTGGTTCGGTTTTCATGTTAGATACTTGAGTAGACGTTGGAGATCCTTGTTGTCGGATAACCAATTGGTTTTCTAAACCTTTCTCCCTCCTGATCGCATAATCTAGCGCCTGTCCGGTGTTTTCGTTTCGGCCAAGAGGTCTTTTTGTCCCTCGTCGTTCGACATGTTTGCGGTAAACAAGTACCGGATGATCTCTGTTTCAAGCCGACCATCATTGCAGTTGGGGCATTTGAAATTTCCTTTTACCACCAGTTCCGTCTGGAGGCAGTGGTACTGCTCTAAGTTTTATGTCTTCCCCTGTTTTCTTGTAAATGATTCGTATCTGTCAAATGTCACGTTTCGTTCCTTTACGAAGAGTCGTTGTAGTCTGTCCCAGAAATCTCTGATCGAAATTTCCTGAATTCTGAGATCCGGATAGTATTGAGTCACTTTTCTTTGACCTTCAGTTCCCAAACACAAGTAGATATAGCTCCTGCAGTTGATGTCCGCTTCTTCCCACGGAATTCCGCCTACTGTTGGGCCAAGATTGTCCAAATGTTGACATTGGTTTTCCCATGCTACCCGTTTCTCTTGGTTGCTTAGATTGCAATCTCGAACTTGCTCGTCGGATTCCCCCTCGATAGAGAGTTCGTACCCCGGTTCTTGAGGTTTACGTATAGCTGGGGGGTTTTGTAAGAGCTTTGTTAAGTTTAATCAGTCCTTCGCGATGATGCCGAGGAAAAGTTGTTGATTCCACTTGTCGCACTCTAACGGTGGTTCCGCTGAGGCTTTCTGCCAGACGGCGTGATTCCCAATGGGTTTTTGTAACTGCTGGCTGCGCCATGTTATACCCACGGTTTGTCTATGCAGTATAGTCTGGATTGAGATTCTAAGTTGCGTACGAAATAAGAAGTAGATCAACTTAAATTCATTCTGTTTAACGAGCATCTGTTTTCATTTGGATCTGACCTCGAAAGCATGTGAGTGTCAGAAACTCATAATAACTAGTACATAACATGTTAGGTTTCAATAATAACGTATTATAACAGATTTCTATAATTTATATAGATATACCAACTGGTTAAGTAGCGCCAAGAGATTACATAAATATAATACTATGTTTCATGTTTTAAAACACGTAGCGTCTCTTCCCTTTAATAGGTTTTCGTATTCTATCCACTGGATAACACATTGCTGATTTAAATTAACCGGAAAAAACGAGCTAAACTTGAAATTTAAAACGCGTTTTTCTCAAATTGGGTTGAGTTTAGGCGAAAACTCGTAAAGACAAAACTTGTTTAAAATTTTAGCAAAATTAATATGGTTTAATTTGTTTTAAGAAATTCTGGACCAAAATTTTACCCCAAAAAAGGGGTCATTTTGGCTTTTCTTAGTTAATCAAAAATTACGCCAAAAATACCCAGTCGATCACAGACATAATTATATCAAAGTGAGCTTCTTATGTAGCCCAACAAACTTTAAGAAGTGTATATTTTCGAAAACTTTGTGTAAGTTAATTTATTTTTGTTTGATAAACAAAAAAGGTCGTTTTTACTATAAAAAATACCAACTTTTTTTAGAAACAATTTTTAAACGATTTGCAATTTGTTTTTGGAGAATATACCCTTGTTAAAGTTTGTTGGGCTACATAAGAAGCTCACTTTGATATATTTATGTCTGTGATCGATTGGGTATTTTGGCTTATTTTTTTGATTAACTAAGAAAAGCCAAAATGACCCATTTTTGGGGTAAAATTTTGGGCCCGAATTTCGCAAAACAAGTTACACCATATTAATTCTGCTAAAATTTTAAACAAGTTTTGTCTTCATGAATTTTCACCTAAGCTCAACCCAATTTGAGAAAAACGCGTTTTAAATTTCAAGTTTAACGCGTTTTGTCCGGTTAATTTAAATCAGCACTGGATAATAGTTTGATTTAACTGAAGTTTTACAAGTCACATTATCAGGCCTCACTTTGCTCAGACTGGTCACAAACCCCATGTAAAAACGCATGACAAAAAACTCATGAACTTAGGAACGACCAACTTAATGAAGAAAAGTGCGCTGATTATCTATAACATTGAATCTAGTCGAATATAAGTTTGCTTAAGAAATTCCGACCCTGTTTTGAGAGATTCTTTAGTCGTATGCATTGAATATCTTTAAATAAGCAAACCAAGATAAAATCATTAATTAAAATTCAAAAGTTTATGATCAAAAATCTTTGAAATAGCTTTAAATTGTAAAAAGTGAGTTGTTTTACATTCAAAAATTATGGATAAAAATTACTGAATTATGGATAAAAAATGAATTGTTTTGAATATGAAATAAACCAAAAAATATTAGTTTTGAATTATAAGAATAGATTATTTTCAGTTGGCAGCTCAGCTGAAGATACAGACAGCCTCGTGGAGTGAGCGCGACCAGAACACTCGAGGAGAGACAGACAGGCACACTCTGGAGTTGCAGGAGACACTGAGTGAGTGCAGGAGGGATCTGGCCATAGCGGAGGCCAGACTCAAGGACCAGGAGGAGCTGAGGCGCATGAGCCAGGAGGAGGTTCTCCAGCTGAAGAAGGAGGTCGACTCGCTCAGGAAGCAGGTCAGAAGCTGGAATATTAGAGACTGGATTAGAAATCGTTAAATGTATTTTTTAAGAGGTGCCGAAATGTTTTCCACTGAATAACTAAAAATTTAGCATGAGGAGTTTTTAAGCTTCTGAGTTTTTAGGAGCTGAAGATACTTGTAATTACCATTTTATTGATCCCTAGTTCATTTTTTTTTGCTTCTCAAAGAGAAAAAGGAAGATTTTTTTTCGGTGAAAACGTTTTAAAACATTAAACTTATTCTTTGACAGAAAAGGAACAGATTTCAACTGACGCATCAAAAATGCAAGTGCGATGACAATTTCCAAGCACAGTAAGACAATTTCTGAACATAAAAGCAAACGAGGCTTGCCCGTTGCTCTGCAAGTTGCACAGAATGTTCCGACCATATTCTTAAACTACAAAATAGTTTTTCTGTCAAATGTTTTTCTGATCTAATCGAAAGCCTAGAACTTGGAATTATTCGATAGTCATAGTAAAATTGGCATATCGCGCAACAGATGTCTTCGAAAATTGACTAGAAAAACAAAAAATTTTTGAAAATGCTTTCAATTTTTTGCGGCTGTATTTTTTGAATTTATGAAGTTTTGAATTTCCAAGTTGGCGCTAAAAAACTAAAACCAAATTTGCTGGAGTAGAACTAAGTTTGCAGTGTTTAAATACAAGGGTAACAGCTTATACTTTACAGGTATCCTGCTCGCTTGATTTTTTTCGCTGGAAGTTTGACAAAAAATTGTTCGGTTTTTTGAATAATGAGAAATTTTCAAACCGTTTGTTGACACCGAGAAAGCTGAAAATGTCGTTCCAATCCCAAAGCTGTTACATGATATGACACTGCGCCCATTCCGATGATTATATGTGGTGTCTGATTTTGCGTAGAACTAAAAAAACGTCCGAAGACTAAAGTTTCCCCTCATTTTCAATGGTTGGAACAAAAAGCGATTGCTTTGTAGTTCTCAAGTGTTAGTTACGGGTAGGCATGTTTCGGCTCTTTTCCAGTCCCCCCTTAATTTTTTCGGAAATTTGATATATGAAAACTTATTTAAAATGACTTTTCATGTTATAAACTGCATTAAAACGTGTCAGCGTAAACAGGTGAACAAATTTTCACAACATTTCTTACATGCAAAATGCCGTGTGAACAATTTTTGAACAGCTTTATTTTGAAATTTTACGAGGGGGGTGGGAAACTGGAAAAGAGCCCATGTTTCGCCCGTTTCCCTTCTTTGACTTTCATTTTATATAATCCCAACTGCTTGCTTGACTATTAATTACTCGTTTATATGGGGTACTTCGTAAGACACTGCTTTTAAATTGAATACAAATTTGCTCGATTAAAGGAAGAATTTCAAATTGATGATTGGATGCCATTTTCGCATTTTGGATAAAATATCGTGTTCAGGTGGATTCTCTGCTGAAGAAGAACTCTGATGTGGAAGTAAGGAACTCTGAACTGTCAATCAAACTGTCTATTCTGGAGGAGATGAGGGAGAAGCAACCGGACGCACAGCAGAAGGTACATCACATCGTCTTACTTCTCTGGTCATAAAAAATTACGTAGTGACTATGTCCCAAAATTATGTAATAATAAATAAATTCGTTTTTTTTAAAGAAGGGAACAGGCTCGATTGTTATTTACATACCTCAAAACAAAAAAAATATTCCGTCTTGGATGAACCCTAAAAAGGCGAATTAGCTGCCTATCGAGTGGTGCCTTCATGAGCAAACAACAAAGAATACAGTTGAATTAACGATTACCAAAAAACTTTCATCAAAAACTCGTTATCACAAATGCTAAGATCCCGTAAATGTCATAATTTAATAGTATCAGGCGATTCGCTGTTGATTTTGTTTTTTCTTTTTGACCTAAATTTAATCTTCTGTCAACTACCAATCCGAATCTTCTTTTCAACTTGTAACCCAGCTTGAACAACAGTTGTATGTAATGGAGCATCTGAAACAAAAGTCTGGTTTTCAATCTATCATTAACTAAGGATATGCTGCGATGTGGTGTGTTTTTTTCTCTGTTTGTGTGACGCATTTTGAGTGAATTTTCTCTTTCTTTCTCTATTCTATCCTGTTTTTGTTGACCGTTAATGCAGCTGGAACAATTGAGAGAAGACCTCTTGGACAATCAGCACGAGAAGCGCCGACTTGCCTCCGAATTAAAACACGAAGTAGAAGCGAAAGAAAGAGCCATGCAAAGGGTGGATGAGTGCGAAGAGAGCATTGAGGCTCTCAAATCACGGGAGGAAAAGTTACAGGATGCTCTAATTGAGATTAGGAAGTCACCGAAACATGATCATCATTCCATTATAGGAAAAGGAGGAAGGGCAAATCACGCGTTCTCAAGTGTACGTCATCATTTGATCACCCGCAGATCACTTGAGTTAGAAGTAGAAAAGCTTCTCAGTAGATTGCATCGTCATCATAATCATCCTTTCAAAAATTTGCTCATATAAATAAAGGAGTCAACTGGAAAACTGATTGGAAATTTAACTGATGATTACACTTGTTAATTTTTCTTTTCTTGCTAACTTAGTTTGATTGGTAGTTTTCGATTTTCGAGCTTGGATCTATTCAACATTCTCTAATTGTGCTATCAGTTTCGTGGGCAGATTCTATGACGGGGGTCGGTGTAAATTTGAAAAGTATTAACAGTTTTAAAATTTAAATCAGCTTATTTGATTTTACGTAATCTATCAAAACAGTCAAATCCTATTTTGTTAAATTTCACGGGTAATTTAGTTGCAGGCAATTAATGTTTGAAAATTAATCATAACCATTTTTAAGGCTCTCTTTAATGCTCGGATTTGAAAATGAGTTTTAACGGTGTACTCTCTTCAAAATTAATGGTCAGTCATAGAAATTTTGGGGAAAAGTTGGCGATCAAAGTGGGAGACCTCGATAAGCGTCTATATGTTTGTATATGCTCTAGACTTCTATACTATGATAAACAATGCGGAAGCTTCAAGCTCAATGGATTACATTTGCCCCCACCTACAGAATGGCGAGAGAATGTTGAGTAAATCATGTGAGAGATTGCACATTTCCTTAGTTTCTTGTGTAAGATTGGTCTTCTATGATCTTTTTCTGAATTAACTGTTTCATTTCTTTTCTTTTGACACTCTTTTTGCAGAAAAGTTTCATGTAGTTTAACTGCAGACCTAAAGTCAAACAAATTGAAATATTGCAATTGTCACAAAGAAATTAATAAACTAACAAAGCTTGTTGTAGTTTCAGGTATTTCGCCCTTAACATTTTTTTGTTGTACGTGGAAGAGTATGAAATATTTCTGCAGGTTTGATTGCTAACGCATGGTTAATTGAAAAAAGAGGATCATTTAATGAAGGTTAGTTCAAGACACTTCAAAGGCGGATGTGGATGTATGAACTAACAAAAGTCGTAAGATTTTATAGCGAAATATGGACTGTTTCGCAGACTACATGAACTCCATGGACCCTATCAATTCAAAGCTGCTCTTTTTTCTGTTCGATAACGTGATCTTTGTGACTTGCACACTGTTGACTGCATTCGTAATTGTTAATGAATGAAGTGATTTTTCGCTTAATTCTTTTCCAGGAAAAATTTTAGCTCTCCAATAGCAAAAATGCAAATGCGGCAAGAAATCGTCAATCGAATTAGTTTCTTATGCGAGGTCACCTAGGTTGCCTATTTTTGTGTTCGATTTTTAAAGCTTAATGACCGTAGTATAGGTCCTGATGAAACGTCAAATGCTTTAATATTCATTGAATCTCTATTTTTTCCCGGAAGTGCGTTCATGCATTTATGAAAACTTTTAGGTCTATAGGGGCATGCATTATTAAGAGTAATGAACGTAGTGAAGACTCTTATATAGGAATTTGTGTTTTTTTTTGTTAAAAGTAGTGAACGTAGGTCTTGCTTATTTTTTTTCAGGATAAATTTTGATTTTTCGCAGTTTGATTTTTGATTTTTTTTCAAGTTCAAGTGCATTTCCATTGTTAAAAGGAAGGCAAACTCCACTATCGAACAGCAAAAGTGTAAAGGTCACGAAAAACGTGATCGACTTCTGATTTCGAAAAAGGAAATAAATTTTCAGATTTCTCAGCGAAATAAATGTGTTACGTGTTGATCCAATTTTAACAAAAAAGTGTCCATCATAAATTGTTATACAAATTCAAAGAGCTTTAAGGCCATCTATTTTTTCTTCGAAATTCAAAAGTTGAATGCGCTTGAAAAAACAAGTCCGTTTTTTTTCAGTTTCCTTGCGTTCATTACTCTTTCCAACTGTTAGTTCGCTATGTTTTTTTTCTCAGGAAAAGTCTTAAAATGCTCTAATAACTACCGACGTGCTTTCATACATAATAATTTTGAGTTCAAGTTAAATCCATCTACTGAAAAATACGTAAATGACCCTCTCTAAATACGAACATGGAAATAGTGCAAAAAACGTAGAACAATTTCTACTTTCGAAAGTGGAATTTAATTAGGTTTCCAGCGGAATAAAAATTGAGATGTTTTCAACAAAGATTTTTTTCCGTTTACTTGAGTTTATAACTCTTTTCCAATTGTCAGTTGGCTATTTTTTTTAATTTCTAATCAATATCATCTAAAAGTTAGGTTAGTTGCACTCTCCATTTACGAAGTTGTAAAGGTCACGAGAAACGTGAACGCTAGTTTCGAAAGAGGAATTCATTTTTCAGAAATCTCAGCGGAATAAAAACTTTACCTATTGATCCAGTTTTCTCAATTGGATTTAATTTTATCAAAAACGCGTCGATCATAAATTGTTCTTTAAGTTCAAAGAGCTGTGAAGCGATATACTTTTTATTTCGAATTTTCAAAGTTGTTTTATATCTCTTAACCAACTGAATCTTAACCAACTGACTCTTAACCAACTGACTTTACACCAATTGATTTATAAGCAACAGACTTTTTTATCCAACTGTCTGTTGGCTATATATATTTTTTCAATTTTGTTGGCTTTGGATTTTTACGATCTGTTTTATCAACTATGAAGGGTATGTTTGCTGGCTGATTAGGATGTTTCTGATCAGTGATGTTTTTTTTTTGAAAAAGTCAAAATTAGTTAAGATCAAATTTGTTTTTTTTCATGGTTTGACTTTGGATTTCTTTTTCAGTTCAGTTCATTTCCTTTCTTAAAAGGAAGACAAACTCCACTATCAAACATTTAAAAGGTAAAAGTCGCAAAATGCGTGAAAGGATTTAAATTTGTAGATTTTCCAGCGGAATAGATAAAAAATTACATATTGATCCAATTTGCTCCGATTGGGTTAATGGCTTAAGTTATAGACCCTTTTCCATGTTTTTTTTTGTTCAAAGAAAGAATGAACTGTTTTTTTTTAATAATTCTTTTTTTACCTAGGCGGTTGGCGGGGGTTATTGCCAGTCGGTAGTAATTTGTTTTTCCTGTTAACAAGTTTGTTCACAGATCTTATGGAATTACGTAGAGTATCAATTGCCATCTTATAATTTTGGCCCTTGGCACAGAAGAAGATGGATAAAGAAGCGTCAATCATCGCCAATTGTTAAAGTTGAGAGTTCTAACGTGATGTATCTTTTCCTTCGAAAGTTAAACAAGGCTTAAACATTTTCAATGAACTTTTTTTCGGTTTCCTCGAGCTTTTCTCACTTATCGGCCATCTGATAGATATGCCTAAATATCAATGAATGAAGTGAGCACTTTTTTTAGGTCGTGTGGTTAGTTTTTTCAGGAAATTTGATTACTCTAAAGTTTGATTTTTCGCGGTTTGGTCTAGATTTTTTTTCTGAGTTCTATTGAAATTAATTTGCTAAAACGAAAGTAAATACCATCTCCAATTACAATTGGTGAAATGGCGCGTAAAAACTGATTGAATCGTAGTAACGTGTCTCTAATTTATTTATACAGTGGGCGTCGAAAACGTCCAAAATATAATGTTTCTGAGAAGAAAGAATTTTTCAAGAGGTAGTCCTTTGTGGCTCTTTTTCCACCTCAGCTTCAATATTTTACTAGTATAATTTTTGTTCACATTGTTCGATTGTCGATTGTTAAAAAAATGGCATGTGTACTGAATGGGCAAATATGAAAAGATTTGGTCTTTATCCTCAATTTTAATTTCTCCTTTCACCCATAGATTTTTTTGCTAATTTAAGGTGGGGAAAGAAAACGGGCCTAATTTTTATACTAATCTTAACATCCGAAAAATTAAAAGATGTCGTTCAGTATCAGTACACCAGGAATTTCACAGTTAGTTTCGAAGTGTTTAAAATCAATAACAATCCATAAGTTTTCCAACTATCTAATAGAACAAATCTCTGATCTCATTTTAGTTCTATTCTTTCAATGTAAACCTTGACAGTAACTCGTAATTTGATTCCGTCTTAATGAAACGAAATATAATCAATTTTTACCGGAAGTATTATGGTGAAACTGATTTTTCTGAAATTTAGGTCAATAGTTAACACCATTTTATCATTTAAAAGCAAAACTTTGCCTAATTTTTAGATCATACTCTCCTAAAGTTTTGTTGGGCTACATTTCAGTTTTAATTTGATGTAATTTGCTTATAGGTTGACCCGGACCTTAAAGTGTTGAATTAAGGAGCCAAAGAGTAAGAACCTTTTTTGAGTGAAATATTCTTTTTATGCTATATTGTTTTGATTATATTTCGTTTCATTAAGACGGAATCAAGAGTTTCATAACAAGCGACTGAACATATGCATATCACAGAATTATAAAATGTTTTCATAAATCAATCCACAGAATCCGAGCTGCAATAAAAAACATTCTGAAAGTGGCCTTAGATAAAAAAAAAGATTCCTCGTATCAGGGAAAATGTACGTTCTGACTGAACCGTAAGGCTCCAGAAAACTTTTTTCGACTTAAAATTTTTTAAAATGGAAGAAATAAGTGTATATTTTTTCATTTTCACCTTTCTTTGGCTCCCACACGCTATGTAAAAGTGTGTCAATTTTAAAACGTTTCAAAAAGACCGAATTGCTCACCTTTATTGAATTTAGAATGTTTGCCCCTTACGTGTGTTACAAGAACTCAACATATCGAGCGTTGTATATTTCACTTTAGCCATATTCAAACCCCAACAATTTTATAAAAATTGATCACAGGTAGCAAAATCTGTTAAAATTTTGGCCCAAGACAATGATATCTTTTCAATGGCTTAATGTTTTATTCCTAAAAATTTAACCAATAATTCGAAATATGACTGAATAAAGCACCACAAGCATGAATATTCTGTCTTTTGCTTTGAAAATCGGAACAACAAAGTTTCTATCTTGTATTAGAAATTATACCGTGCTGATTCAGAATCAAATTAAGCGGACAAAGTGAAGAAAATCTGAAGCTCTAAAAGCGTTTTTCTGAAGCTGAATCGAAATTAGACAAAAAATGACCAGAACAAAAAAGCTTCGATTTTTACCGGAAGTATTATGGTAAAACTGATTTTTCTAAATTTAGGTCAATAGTTAACACCATTTTATCATTTAAAAGCAAAACTTTGCCTAATTTTTAGATCTTACTCTCCTAAAGTTTTGTTGGGCTACATTTCAGTTTTAGTTTGATGTAATTTGCTTATAGGTTGACCCGGACCTTAAAGCGTTGAATTAAGGAGCCAAAGAGAAAGAACCCTTTTTTGAGTAAAGTTTCAGACCCTAATTTTGCAAAATCAGATACCGTCAGTATTTTGTAATCTGATCATTTTATGTCTAATGTCAACTGAATTCGAGAAAAACTAACTTGAACTTTGAATTTTGTCCAATTAATTCAAAGCAACAGTGTAGTATGGGAACGGTTCCAGCAGGTCAAAAAAGTTGTTGAATTAAAATGAAAGCTCAATGTAATTCATTTAACAAATTTTAAAGCATATATAATATTTTCGTGTCCCATGTTCACTGAAATTTTTCTGACTTTACTGTTAAATTTCTTATTGATAAAGATCATTGTTTTCTCGAACGATTAATTTTTTTCTTAAGTGAGTTAGAATTGACTATGAAATAATGTTCAATGTTCTCGGATGTCCTAATATCTAAGTTGCCCATTAGCTTATAGCATATAGATGCATTATCAATTGTCTACTTCGCTCGCCTTAAAAAAGCATGTTATTTTGATAATGCTTCTGTTTTCATGCCATTGAATTATGGATCAAATATAAGATATATTTTCCTTTTCTTTAAGTTCAACGTCAAATGCCAATTTGTTTTTTTTCCATAGTATGTAATGACGTCAAACATATTTTCATTAGCTTTTAAGTTTCTCCGGAAATGAATTTGACATTTTTCGTAAATGGTAGTTGAAATGGTTACAGCCCTCAGTCAACTTTTTACTGTTGGCACTAAAAGCTCTTCATTAGAAGGTGTACTGAATGCTTAATTATACCAACAGAACTCATTTTAACTGACGTCATGTCAAATGTTCTGAAGAAGAAAACTTAAGAATAGCTTATAGTTGAGAATCACCAAATAATTGAATATATACTTCCAAACTCAATTATATCAAGTTATCTATTACCTGGAAATTGTCATACTAGAAAAAACCGCACACGAACAAATGTTGATAATATAGTTTTGTTTTGTTTCAGAAGGCGGCCTTTAAAAACCAGACCAAGCAGTCTCAATTAGGGGGAGGGCCAGGAGGGGCGGAAGAGGGTGAGGAGGATTTCATTTCTATGGACCTCTCTCAGGGAAGACAGCTGGAGAGTGGAGTGCCACTTCAGAAGTTAGTTGGCCTCACTTTTTTGTTCACATGCCTATTCAATATTGTTTCTGTTCACAACAATTCCTAATCAATTTTTGTAGGTCGCAATTCCTATTCAATACTTTTTTGTTCTCAACACTATTCAATTCTTTTTTGTTCACAATTCCTAATCAGCTCTTTTTTGTTCACGTTCTAAATCAATCATCTGTCTTTCGTTCAGATAGTTACAATAAGAAATTGACTTGCCGCTAATTGGCTTGTCGTTCGTTTTGCTGCGTACATATAATCAGCTTTGAATTTTTGGTTCTTTAATGAAATTAATCCTCTGATTTTGTTCCGATAGCTCATATTTTTTTTTCAAAATTTAGTTCAAAATCCGATTTTTATTCAGGTTTCAAATTTTTTATATTTCAACTAGTTCAAGTATTTTGGGGTAATACGAAATTTTCTAATAAATGATATTTCAGCGCGGCATCTGTTGTTTCGCCATTGATTTTCTTTGGCACATAGTAGCGTCACATGTTTTATGTGACGGAAGAATCTGAAGAACTAATTCGCATATTCAATACTAATTAACCATTTTAACAAAAAACTGAAATATGTGAAATTATGTATAACAGGGTTTAAATTTTGTCTATTTCCTCCTACGCTATGCATAATCACCTTTTGATTACCTCCCTAGTTTCAATTATAAAACTTCCTAAATTGGTTCATTCGAACTCGAATATTCCGGTGACCTTTCCCAAAACAATTTGATTTCTTTTGCGTAGGAATTTCAAAGTGTAACAAATACTGAATGACGAAAATATCTCATTGCTTGTCGTTTTTAAGCATGGCAAATTTGTTTAATGAAATTTAATCTAGATCTACTTAACAATCTCCCACCTTCTTTTCATGAAAGGCGGGGGGAGATTGTTAAGTAAATCAAAATATTCGATTTTTCGACCAATCAGAGTGCAGCTATATTCGAATTCTCAAAACAAGATCTAGTGCAAATTTACTGTATTTATTAGAAGGGGTGGAGATTATTTAGTAGATACCATAGAGATTGTTAAATAGATCCTTTAGTCTATTTAGTAAAATTGTTGTTTGTTGTGTTTAATTCCAAAAAATTACATCTTAATGTTCGCTGTTTTTTTTTTAATTTTCCACTCAAATTGATCACTTGTATCAGAAATCAAAATGCTCGAATCTGATTAGCTTCAACGAAATCTATTACCAGAACTTAGTTCGACAACGCAATCAATTAGCAAATGAAGCGCTACTGAGTTTTTTGTGGTGAAATAAGTAGAATGACCCGATTTGCTTTTATCAACACTAAGTAATTGAAAAATCTGTGGGTAATGTGATGAACCTTGAAAAAGCGAGTTTCAAAATATTTTAAGTGTCGAGACAGTTGTGTAAGCTATTTTTTATTACGTTTCAAATGGCATAACTCCCAAATGGCATGAAATTGAAAAATTTTCCAAATGGCATGAATTTCATGCAACAGTTGCATTAGAAAAATCGAGAAAAAATTTTTCGTCAATCATGTAAGAACATTAGTCAAACTGTCAATTTAAATGTTCATTGACCTTTTATCTTGAAAAAATTGTAGAATTTTTTTTTATCAAAAGCGAAAAGCATAAGCTTGCGTTTATTGATAAGCTTCTTTTCCTATACTGATAAGATCAATTTTTCCGACAACATTGCCGCTCAACATTTGTATGGAACCATTTAATTCCAAATCTTGTTCACCTCTTTTCGTTCCTGGCAAAACTTTAGAATTAGAAATTGATAGAAAACGTTTGAATTACAATGAAATTTTGAAATTTAAGCCATTTGGGAAAAGTTTCTTTTTTATGCCATTTGAGAATTATGCCATTTGGGAAGTTACCCCATTTTTGTATCGAATATTTCCGTCGTAAATCAGTTTTCGAAAAAATGCAAATTACAAAACTTTCTCAACGTTTCGAAAAAAGTGCTCTTATCGATTCTTTTTTCAGAATGACCTACCGGTCGAAGATTTATTCGTTTCAATCCCATGTGCCTGACGGCAGAAAATTAACAAAACATTTTTTTTGAAGTGCATCTGAAAATACTTTCCGTTTTTTGGAATGATTAACGCGGTAATTCTAGAACCTGGATATTCTAGCTTATCTGTACAGGGACAGTATTTCGGATGTATGGAGTGTTTAATAATAAATAAATTTGTTTTCAAGATGGGAACAATTTGTTTATTATCTAAAAAGTTTATGCAAAAAAATCACATCTTAGAAGAACGCCAAAGTGAGCCAGTTAGGTGCCTATCGAGCTTAGCCTTCATTCAAGTATTGAAATGCAAAAAAGAAAATGAAAAATGAGAGCATGAATGTACGACGTAAAGATAAACAGACTATTAACGCGTGCTCTGTAGGTCCGATTTTTTGGTATGTCTGATTTTTTTTGGCTAAAGATGATATAATGTCAACAGAAGATAAAAGATTTTTTCCCCCACACTCAATTTAAGCACAAATAGTTTTATTTTGAGTCTTTCAATGATATGTTTAAATCAAGTATTGTACTTAAGTTCAATTTGGGATGATTTCTAAGATAGATTAATTAGCCGCCTATGGGCATGCGTTAATGGACATTTCGCGCGCATTAGTTTTCTTTTAATTTGGTTGTCATTGACTCTGCGTAAACTATTTTGGCTTGGAAGAGGTGCTGGGAATCTCAAACACTGCAGAAAGAGGGTTTTCCCTTACAGACAGACGAAAAAAAGATAAATTTTGAAGGTCAAATGTTTCTCTATTACAATCGTATATTCTGGACGGTAGCTCAGCCGATTACATCGTCATTTGAAATTTGGCAGAAATATTTTTTCTTTGAGCAGCAAAAAAAATGCTCTGCATTTCAATTTTCAATAATTATTTTGTACTTCAAATAAAAAGTATTTATTTATTTTTTCACATTGTTACACAAGTGTCAGCTTAGCGTTTTATTACGAACCTTCTTTTTTTTCTAAGCTTAGTAGCAACTTTTGGTGTCACTTTTGGGGCATCTTGACATCTTTCTGATAGCATGTGCTTTGACATTCGAATAGTAATAAATTAACACAGTTGATGCATTTTGAATTCATCAATTGAACCAAAAAAAGCTATTTGGTTGAAACAACATAACAATCATAAAAACTCGTTTCAGAATTTTTCTAAATCATAATATCTCGTACTTAATTGAAATGCATAATTTATACATAATGTGGTTTTATGCTTTCCGATTTATTACATGCAAAGTTAGTGTGGATGCCTTCAGTTTGTTAAAGTCCGAATTTCTCGGAAAGTTAAGTTTCGCAAAATTGTGTCTACTTGTAATTGGTGCCTTTTTTGCTGAATGGCATTAGCAATTAATTAGCATATGCGAGTGCTTTATTCGTAATTAATGTTTGACAGTGGATCAGCAGCGTGTGTGGCTGAGTGGTTAGTGTGTGAGACTCAAAATCTCTTGATTGCACTAGGTCGCAGATCAAATCCTAGACCTCGACGAATTTTTATTAATTTCAGGCTTTTGTCTATTTTTCTTATTGTATTTTCTAGAGCTGCTTTTTTCGTATTCTCGCTAGTTTTTGCGTAACGAAGCTTGGCTTCTGTGTTAACTAATATTTTTATACACCGCTTATTGAATGAAGATGGTATAAAAAATTCCATTAAAAAGTGGCTAGTTCAAAAAAGTCGAATTCTGTCGGAATAAAAAACACCCGAGCTCAGACATCTCTTCGAAAATATAGAACATAAGTAAATGCTGAGCAGAAAAAATAGCTCCGTTTCAGATAACATAGGTTGCCGAATCGAGTTCTCCAAAAAACAACAACCATTATGAAATTGGGATATAAACATCCTTTTCCCCATTTTTTCTTAATTCGATTCAAACTTGAAATTCAACCGCTGTAAACAGCGACTATCAGAAGAAAAAACATCAGAAGAAAAACCATCAGAAAAAAATCAATTTGTCAAATAAAATGTTATTGTGATTTTTTCGAAGTCAATAATAAAGTCGATGAACTAGAAGATTACATTAAATAAGCTCTTCAATCACCATTATGAAGAGAAAGTTTTGAGTATGAATTTGAGGCTTAATATGAGTACGAATAACAAAACATTCTGTCCAGTTTTTCTCGAAATCGAGGGCACTGTTGTTATTTTTTTGTTTAGAATCCGGAAACCAACTGAAATGATTTTGAAATGTTGCGATACCTCATTAAATTTTTCGAGTATTTTTTGTTTCCTTGTGTTCATTGACACTACACCAATTGTCTGCTGGGTCTATTTGTTTTTTTTTCGGAAAAGTCTGTAATTTTTTTCACACTCAATTTTGATATTTCACTGTTGCTGAAGTTCAATTCATTTTCTTTGTCAAAAGGATTGCAAACTGCACTATCGAACAGCAAAAGGGTAACTTTCACAAAAGAGTGGACGACCTGTAGTTTCGAAAGTGTAGTCAAAATTACTTCTTGATCCAGTTTTCTCAAATTGGGTCATTTTAATCGAAAATATGTCAAACAAAAATTGTTCGTGATATTCGTTTTAATTTGCAGTTATCTTAAATTCGCGGTATCGTATGTTATCACAATGCGCATGGCCGTGCCTTTATTGAGACAAAGGTTGTTTGTATCATAATTATTGGGGAACTATTTGCAGATCCAGTGTTGTATTTCTCGCTGCTCGGGGTATTTTTATGTTGCAGTCTGAAATCAAAATTTTACAAATTTTTGGCTGAATAAGTGAAAAGTAACCCTAATCGCTTAAAGTACTACTCTATACCTTGAAATGGAGACTGATCTCCTGTTAAAGGTCTTAAATAACATTTCACGGATATACCTTCTCAGCTTCTTAGCAGTCGACTCCGCCTTTCGAGAAGTCAAACTTTAAAAAATGAAGATTGATAGGACCTACTATTAAGGCTAAAGTCGGTTTTTTCTTGAGAATTTTCGAATTTCATTTCAGAGAAAGGAACATTTACTATAACTGATCGAGTTTTCATGGAGCTAAACAGATTTTCGTGGAGACTTATTAAACAGATATTCAAAAATCGCTTCAATTATTTTTTGTCTCACTATTTATTAGTCTTACTGAACGTCGTACCAATAGTAGTTTAAGCTGTGTCATAAACTTAATGCAAAAAAAAAATTTCGCTCAGGAGTTGATTATTAAGCGTCAATGAACGCAGTGAAGGCACATAAAGGTCGTGATGATTTTTTGTTTTTTTTTTCGGGGAAAAAAGTCCCAAAATTTGATCATGCTCAAATCGATTTTTACGGTTGAGGAAGTTGCAATTCATTTCATTTGTTAAAAGAAATGCAAACTTTACTATCGGAACATCAAAAAAGTAAAATTTACGAAAAACTTGAACGACTTTCGAAAGTCGATATTAATTTATAGATTTCCCAGAGAAATAAAACAATTACCTATTGATCCAGTTGTCTCAACTTGGGTTAATTTTGTCAAAAAAAATCAACCTAAATAATTCTAGAAATTAGAAGAACTTGAAGGCTATCTGTTTTTTGTTTGAGATTCGAAAGTTGAGATTTTTTTCAAAACAAATTAGTATTTTTTCCCTTTGTCCTTACGTTCATTGACACTATTCTAGCTGTATGCTGGCTAGCTTTTCAATTTCTGATCTTCTACAATTTTTTTTGCGTTGAGTTCGTTGGATAGTAATGTTGGTGTTTCTCTCTCGCCAGGAGCCCTATTTTTAAAAGCGTGAACTTTCCGCTTCCATAAATCTTTTTGTGCTATCTTTGTCTGCTTTTTTTGTCAAGTTGGTGGCCACGTCACGGCCTTTTTTCCCCTTAACAAAGTTTCTTACAAATCTTGCTTGCTTTTCTTTCTTGCTTTTCTTTTTTGAAGCTTAGCAAATTCCAGGTTCGTTCCCATTGGCCTAGAGGTAACGCCGCTGCTTGTGCATCATAATGTCAGCTGCGAGTTCCAGTAGGACCTTGCTTTTTTCAGAAAGTGTACAATTTTGTTTTTTCCGTTAAAAGCTAAATGTTCGGACTTTTGTTGGTCTGCACAAGTTTTGTCGGCTTAGTGGCATCATCACGGATTTGCTTGTGCTGTTAGCAACTTTCATTGTAGTTGCAAGTGCAATTTGTTCTTGTTCAATCTATTTTCCTGAGGAACTTGAAACTTCTTAATTTTTTCCACATTTTTTTTTGTTTCGGCTCCACATTATAAAATTTTCTTGTGCTGTTGGGAAATTTTGTGTTTTTGCAAATGCATTCATTGTAGCTTCAAGAGTGAATTGAAACTTCCATTTTGTGTTTGCTCAAAGATTGTCGGCTCAGGTTCCTCTTCGCAATTTTTGATCCGATGCTAATTAGTAGTCATGAACCTAGTGGATACTCTTTCATAGGTCTTGGTGATTTTTTTTTCACTCTGAATGTATTCACGCTGAATTTCGATTTTTGCCCTTTATTTTTTGCTTTTTTGCCAGATCTTGACAAATGTGATCGACGCTTAATTTCAAAAATGGATTATCAGTTTTCTCTGTGAAAAAATTTTTTTACCTGTTGACCCAGTTTTCTCAAGTTATATTTATCAAAAAATTGTCAAACAGATTGTTGACATTCGAAGAGCTTTCAAGGCCATAGGTTTTTTCTTTGAAGTTCGCAAGTTTTCAAAAAACAAGTTGGTATATTTTAATGTTTCCTTGATTCTCGACTTTTTTCAAACTCTCTGTTGGCTGTTTTTAATATTCATATTTGTGGCATATTGGCCTATAATGAACTTCTATCGTGACATATGAAAACTTATTTTGGTAGACCTAGTTTTTTTTCAACGTTTTTTACTGCTTATTTTTTGTTAGTGTTCTATCCGCACGTGATGCCAATCTCCGCTTCGACTCTGTGCTGATTGCGGGCTTCATTATTTCGTCATGTTTAAGGTTATTCTATGTAATATTTGTGTATGTTAATCGAAAGAATTTTTTTCACTATAAAACTATATCGTCTATTGAAAGGCTTGAGGATTTTTTTTTCATTTTTCCAGTCCGAATTCAGTGTTTATTTCACCAAGTTTGAAACTCTTAACACTATGGTGAAGTGCTGTCGAGGTACTCTCAAGAAATTTGTATCTGGACCCAAAGTATTGCTGCTTAACGCCTTTTACTTTCCTAGTTATGACGTTATATGTTTTTTCAGAACTTTTCAAGTGTAAAATTTCAAAAAATTACCTCTCAGAACTTGAAATTGTCGACCCTTTGTTTGGGTGATGTCAGGTTGCCACCAGCAGTTGCGGTTGCGGCCTCCAGCTGAATATGAATGCTCAAGTTTTCAAAATTGAGGTTTCTTATGGTGTTTCAAAAGTTTTATAAGAATTAAACTAAGAGGCACCAAATGACACACTTAGGGGATAACTAAAATAAAAACTAATTTAAACAAGAATCTCAATTACGCATTCGGTGTTTATGGAATTTTTTTGAATCTGGAAAGTTAGTATATATTGGCGCCGAAGGCGCCTTTAGAAAAATTTTAGGGTCGGTCGGCCAAAACTGGATTTCTGAAAAAGTATCAAAGGGGGGACCCTTTGGGTCGGCAGGGGGTCGAATCCCTGAGGAGGGGGCGTCCGCCCCCCCCCCCCCCTAAATCCGCCCCTGGCTATGGCACCTTGTAACGAATACGCTTGCCTCTTAAATTCTTTCTTAATAGGAGAAAGATTCGTTACAAGGTACCATACGGGGGGCTATGGCACCTTGTAACGAATCTTTCTCCTATTAAGAAAAAATTTAAGAAGTAAGCGTATTCGAATTTCTCTTAGCATTGCAACGAATTCTGCCCCTTTTCCAAAAACGGGGGGTAGTTAACAAGATCCGTTATGTTGACAAAAATGAATTAAGTCTTTTCACGTTTGTTTCAGTGGTGGTGTTTCGAACTTGGACCAATTGGTTGGAGCTCAGCTGCAAGGAAGAACTAGTCAGGCTAAAAACAACCAACAAGTAAGTCATCGCTGCTAGTATCAGTTTTGTTATCATTATTTCTGAGAATGCTAAAATGTGTTGTTTGAAATATTAGAATGGGTCAAATTTTTCTTTTCGCCCAAGATCGAAGATAATGGCGACGTAACGAACTACAAAAACGCGTTCAATTACGTTGACAACGCCTGTTTTTTTTCAAGAGTTAAAGATAAACAGTAATAAACACCTCAAAATGTCACGTTTTTTTTTTCAGTGAGATTTTCAAACACTCATAAACTTGTCTTTTATTGTACTCGCTTATGAGAGCCCGATCTGACGTGCAAAGCTTTATTTCAAACTGGTAATAATGAATGGCTTGTTAGTCACTTAACTCAAACAGCAAAGCTAAAACATACCTGGATCGATACTTGGACGCCAAACCTCGTATTGTTTTCAGTTGTCACTGAAGTAATAAAACAATATATATCTGAGTGCCATTTGACGTGAGGTTCTTTCAATCAGTGCTAGTAATTGCGGTTCAAGTTTTGGACTAACCACATCAGTATATTTGGTCGACCGAAGTTAGTTGAGTCATTTGGTTTTTTGACAAGCAAAGTTTTCAGTCTTGTTCTAATTTGACAGGCTTCACTGAGTTCTGAAGTGTCGAGTATATGTATACAAAATTTATATATCCTGTCATCAAAGTAACTAACAAGTGTATCTATCAGTTTTGTAACGTGTTATTGATGACGTCATTGAAAAACTGAAATCGATTGAAAATTTTTAAACTGAGCAGGCCACGATTTTCCTTACATCTGTTGGGCACTTCAAACCCATATACAAAACTTGCATAGTTGTTATAAATTTTAATCGTTTTTTACTATATTTGTTGATCTTATCTTTCTGAAAATGGAGATAGAGCACTCGGAATTGCCTGATTCTGCTGTTAGTGAAATATCGGAACATCCGCGTGACACAATCGACGTTTCACGAGAGGAACCTGAATATGTGGACCATCAATGGCACCATCAGAACTATAATCCACTGAACTGGATTGAAATGAGTCGATTACTTAAAGAGGTGCACTTTGGACCAAACCGAAGTTTCATGAAAAGGTTTCACTGTGCAAGAACCGTACCAAGACGAAGAACATCAGATGAAAGTTTTGGTTCTAATGAACATTTTTCCTCTTCATCTGATTCCGAAGATGCTGATGATAGGAGCGATTTGCAGTTATGTAACAGGTCACGTAACAGTTACGGAAATGAAAAGAGAATGACCTGGAGTTCCGGTCCGGTTAGAGCGTCTGAACTTTTTATTACACGCAGTTCTGTGACAGTTCTGAACGAGCCGGTTGGAAATTCTATGCGACGTTTAAAAAGAGAACTTAACAGAAATTACTTGAAGAATGATAGAGAGAAAGTTGGGAATTTAGAAAATGATTATTATGATGGCCTCCTCAGTTGTGGTGATTTGAAATCAATTATCATAAGTTCAATCGATTGTTTCGCCAGCAGCGACGTTACGATTAGTTAGATCTAGTTCCTTCGTATCCGACTAAGAAGCCATGAACGTAGTGAAGACTTTTACATATTAGTTTTTTTGTAATTAATTGTTTTTTGTTCAGAAAAAGTCTTTATTACAAATTTTTCACGCTCAAATTTGATTATTTGTGGTTTGACTTATTATTCTTTTCTTCACTTGATTTCCTTTGTTAAAAGGAAGGCTAACTCACTTGATTTCCTTTGTTAAAAGGAAGGCTAACTCCACTATCGAATAGGAAAAGTGTTAAGGTCATAAAAAACGTGATCACCTTCAGTTTTGAAATTGGAAAATAATTTTCAGATTTCCCAGTTAATTTAAAAAAATTACTTTGTTTTCTTGATGTCTTTCTATGATATTTCGTTCAGTGTATCAGTTTTTGGCAATTTTATTTCATTTCATCATCTAAAGAAAAAAGGATAATTATTATATATCGAAAAGAAGGTTCAGTTTATGGTAATCGGAAGCGATATTTCTGATGAAGCAATTTTAATGTTACCAATTTCGATACCTTCCGAAGACATCAATGCTCAAGTACTACAGTGCTGGTTTAGTTTAATCAGACAAAACGAACAAGTTTGGAAACTTTAAGCGCGTCATTTTCAAAATGATTTGACATTAGACAAAAATGATGCGAAAAAAAAATGGAACCGTTTTGATACCTTTTACTCAATCAAAAAATAACGCCAAAAGTACTGGGTCAATCTATGAGCAGTTTGTATATAATTGTAAATCATTCGTGCTGAACGAAGTGTTAGAAGAGGAAAAACTTCTAAAATTTGCACAAAATTTTCAAACATTGTTTTTAAAAAAATTCATGTTTCAATATTTCAAGCACATTTTTTTAGAGTTATTGAACGTATATCTTTTATGTATGTTGTTTTTCTTAGTTTTTTTTCAGGAAAATTTTTAAATTTTGTTTAGGCTCAAATTCAATTTTTCGCGGTACGATTTTTGATATTTTGTAAGCTCAGTTCATTTCATTTGTTAGAAGAAAGGCAAACTTCGTTATCGAACAGAAAAATTGTAAAAGGTCACGAAAAACGCGATCGACTTCTAGTTTCGAAAATGGTATTCATTTCAGACTTCCACGCAAAATAGAAAGTTTACCCATTGATCCAGTTTTCTCGAATTGGGTTAATTTTAACACAAAAGTGTCCATCACAAATTGTTCTACTACGAATTCAAAGAGCTTGAAGGCCATCTAATTTTTTTATTCGAAATTCAGACGTTGAAGGTTTTTCAAAAAAACAGTAGAATTTTTCCAGTTTTCTTGCGTTCATTTCTTTTTTCCAACTGTCAGTTGGCTATGTTCACAATATTTAGTTTATTCACCATGCAAAGTTTTATTACATTTTGACAACGTAAAGTTAGTATTTCAAAGCTGAAATTCAAATGGGGATAGGGGGAGTGGAAAAGAGTCCAACGTTCCCAAATACAATCGGAGGCTTAATTTTATGAAAACGCCAATACCTATTGAAGAAAAATCATGCAATTGAGAAATTTTTCAAAACTTTTTGCTAATTAAGCTTACTTTATGACTTAATGAGAATTTTTTGGTTTGAAGTCCTAATTTTACGATTCGTCTTGATGTCCCGTCGGTTTGATGTCCGGCACCCGTCTGCGTCGACGGTTTGAGAAAGTTATATTTGCAAATTAAGAATTTTTTTCGTTTGCGTAGCAAAAAGTAGATAGGCCATAAAGCAGACAATTAATAGAATCAAGTTAACATCCTCCCCCCATCCCAATGGACCAGGTTAAGATCCTCTATCACAGCGTTCATTTCAAATTAGGTGTGCTAAGCGCTCTTTGTAAAATGCTCAGTTCTGATTGGCCGAAGTTCGAACTCAGAATCAAGTTAACATCCCTCCCTAAACGGTTTGGGGGGCTGGGATGGTTGAGGCGAGCAGAAGTGGATTTAGGGGGGGTCTATTTTTTGGCTAGCGAACAAAAATAATTTATTTATACAAAAACTGGGTAAATTTACCCCTCTTAAACATTGTTGGGGCCTCATAAAGAACTCATATAATTTGGTAAAATTTTGACCCATATTATGAAAATAAACAAACGATAAGTTTCTGTTAAATTCTGAGCAATATTTGTTCACATCCTTCTTTTTTAGTGTCATCGCAATTCTAGTTTTTTCTAATGTCACCGCACATTTCCAATTTTATTCGTTAGATCGAATAATTTATATCAACATTGTAGTTTATCACTAATTCATTGGAAATTGTTTTAGGCTTTTGAAATAATTCTGGCCTTGAGACTTCGTTTCAAACTCGTCATCAATTTCAACACAATTTCAGTCTTCTCTTCAGTGATGTCCATTTTCGACCAATTTGAAGGCTACATTTCCAAAACACTTCCTTCAAAACATGTCGGACGTTTTTTTGCAGAGCAATACTAAAGCATTAATCGAGAAAAAGCAAACGCAAATCTTTAAATAAAAATTCCGTATTAAAGAAACTTTTTGATTTATTTCAAAGATTTAAGACTCTAACCAATAATTTTGTTACAAACTATAGATTAGACTTTTTTCAGAAGGAAGTTAAAGTCGATCCTTTAGTAGAAGAAGTCGTATGCTTGAACTTTAAAGTTCAGAGATTAGAATTAGAGGTAAAATTTGTATTCATCTTTTTGATAACCAATTTCGACAGTCCTAAATCAATCACTACCAAGATAATAAATTCTCCTTAATATATTTCTCCCAGAATATTAACAGCTTCATTATTAGTTAATTAATCTCTTCGCACCTATGGTATAATGACTTCTTTAATCAATTAGAACATATAATAAACGAAGCCAGTAACTGTCGAAATGAGTTTTTCTGTTCATTAAATCGAATTCAGACAATTCGTACAAATTGGCTAAATTTATGTTATATACAATTTTTTTGATGATAAAATTTTGTTTTCTGAAAACTTGAATAGATTTAATTATAATCATCAGTTTAAAGTTCGTACACTAATTTTTACCTTATGACAACTTTGAATAATTTAGTTGAAAAAATTTGCGACATTTTAAAATGTTTTTTTTTAATACGGAAGGTGCATCAATTATCTAAATTTTATGGGGATCATGAGAACCTGCATTGGCCTTCAAGCTTATCTTTTTGTCTCATCCATGACTAATTAAAGCTATGTCCTTGAAGCGTTGATCGTCCTTTCTAATTGGTATTCAGGGGGTTATAAAATAAATGGATCATTCAAGCATATATCATCCATATCAATTGGGAAAAATGCGACCCCAAATTGGAGCGGACTAAGGAGCGTAAAGGATTTTATTCAAGCGTTTTTTCTGATGAGCGGTTTTAAAAATACCTTAAATAGTTAAAGTATTTTTTTGTTTAATGAGTATCGCTCATTTTTTTTACCTCGCACTTCCAATATTTAAAATAGAGGGTTACTCGGTTGGGGCCAATCTTGTGCATGCTAAACAGTTTAATTATATTAACAGAATCCAGTTCTTGAATCTAGTTCACATTGTCTGTAAGATGCCTC